TGTAGTGTTTCACCTTTATTTCCTTCTATGTATTTTATGGTTTCAGGTCTTATGTCTAGTTCTTTAATCCATTTTGAGTTGGTTTTTGTGTATGGTGTGAGGTAGTAGTCAAGCTTCATTCTTTTGCATGTAGTGACCCAGTTTTCCCAGCATCATTTATTGAACAAACTTTCTTTGCTCCATGAATTGGAGCACTTTTAAAGGCCATATACTTCTCAGACCTTTTCTATTGAAGAAGAACACACATACATAAATTGCACAGATCATGAGCATAGAACTGGAAGAATTTATATAAAATGAACTATCCCCTACTTGATGGGTTGAATTATGTCCCCCAGACATAATTCCATGCCCTCCAGAATGATATGTTGAAATGCTGACTCCCAGTAGCTCAGAATGTCACTGTGTTTAGATACAGGGTCTTCAAAGTGGTGATGAAGTTAAAAATGAGATCATGAGGATTGATCCTAATCTGATGTGACTGGTATCTTTGCAAGAAGAAATCGGTGCAAAGGAGGGAGAAAGGCAAAGCAGGAGGTATGAAGTGTTGAGTAAAAGGGGGAGAAATGTCAGATGTAGAGGTCAGAGAAGATTTCACTGAGAAGGTGACTTAAAGACTATAGAAGGTAAAAACTAGGCTGAATTTTATCTGAGCGATTAGCAATCCAGTTGGAAGGGGCAACATGTGCAAAGGTCCTGGGGTAGAAAAAATGCTGCTGTGAAGAGGAATAGTCAGAAGGCCAGCAAAGCTGTTGAGAAACTAACAAATGGAAAAAGATGGGGGATGAGGTTGGATATCTCTTGAGAGGTGCACTTCTCTATATCAAAAATATGTATGTGGATTACAAATTTTCAGATCTCCTTTGAAAGACATTTTTCTTAAGACATTATACTTAAAATAATCTTTTATTATTATCATTACAATTAACAGTCATACACAGTGTACTAAAAGTTTTAATTATAATCAAACATAAAGTAGTATTGATTTGGAAGTGAATGCTTTTTTCCCCTCAAATAGTTCTTTTATCTGTCAATTAATTTACTTATTACTAGGAGACAAGAGTTCAGCACCCAACAGAAACCTAATTTTCATCATTGGAGAACTCAACATTATAAAAAATATTCTGCTTATTTTTCTGCCAAATAGGCAGATGACACGCGAGGAGTTTTATTAAGAGTCTTGCTCAATTCTTTGATCTGCTTCCAATGTATAGGACAAAAAATAACAAGGTGAAATGTTATCAAAAATTGTTTCTCAAGGACTCCAAATAGATTAACACCCTTCGCAATAGTTAACACTCCCCTATTGTTGAAAGCAAATCCAAAAACTGCCTGACTCTCTTCTTGGACTTTGGAGAATTAGCCACAACCCCTCCTGTTCTGAGCCCTGGAGGCTATGCTTACACTCTGGGGCTATGCTTATGCTCTGGCATCAGTGACTGGGAACAAAGAGACAAGTGCCTCCCTTTCAGAAAGAGAAAGGAGTGACTGTAGCAGGGAAGGTGGGAAGGTGTGTGGAAGAAGTCACTCTTGAAAGGCAGCATTTTGGAAAAGAGAAATAGAAATGCTGAGAATCAAGACATGGATTCCCATAAATAACTGTGGGGGGATAAATATATGTGTGTGTGTGTGTGTGTGTGTGTGTGTGTGTATTTGATATATATAAATATATATATATATAAATATCTGTGTGTGTGTGTATATATATATCTATCTGCATGGAAAGTTTTCTTGTACCTCTGCTCAAACCCATGGATTCACAACATGGTATGGAAGATGCACCTGTGGTTTAAATCCTGAGCCATCCCTTTACTATCACTGTGTTCTCAGACTGGTTAACTAACTTGCCTAAACTTCAGTGGCCTCATCTGCAAAATGGGGGCAGGAATAAAGCCATAAAAGGCTTGACCATAAGGCACTCAGCACCAGGCTAGTGCTCAGAGAATCTTAGCTGCTGTGGTGGGGCTGATTCCTTGCGTCTTTCTTTATCAGAGCGGTGTCACCATCATGGCCATTATCCTCATTAAGGGGGCCGGCTGCTGAACCCCACTCTTCTGCCAACCCAGCAGCTCCACTCTCATCTGCCCTTCTCTTGGGCTATTCAGAAACCCTCATTAATTGTTCCTCCTTGAGCGGGAGCTATGATTCATGCTAATGCTCCTAGAAACTGGGAGAGGAGACAATTCATTCTGCAGGAATTCTCTGATTCCCAGCCTCACCTCTACCTCCTCTCCACACTTTGCAAGAACCCCTGTTTGCTGGATGTAAATGTCACCCCCCGCCCCCACCCCGCCACCAAGGCCTGTGGCTTAAGTTGCAAGTATGTATTCTGAAGTCAGGACAATCTGCCTTCGGGTCTCTGCTGCTCAGGCACTGGGAGCCTGCAAGTCCCCTCTCTGCTCTGTCTCCCCATCTATAAAGGGGTAAGTGGTGGTTGCTACTGCCAAGGGCTGTGGTGATGCCTGAGCTTCCCAGGCACAGAGCAGACCATTCAGTGTTGCAGGAGCCTGCGGGCAAGATCAGGAGACCAGGGTTGTCATCCCAACACTGTCCTTTCCTCACCTGGTAGCCTTAGCAAGTCATGCTCTCCCCATGCATACCTCTGTTTCTCTATCTGTGAAATGGGAACCCCAAACCCTACTTTGCCTCATGGTCCCAGATGAGGGTCAGATGAGCTCACAGCTACCACAGGCTTTGTGACCCTCCAGTGGGGAAAGGGGGTGTCCAAATCTGGGAAGGAGCACTGGGGCCTGCACCTGACTCCCTGGCAGTCAAGAGCCTTGGGGAGAGAGTAGGACCCCCCAGAGGTTAGAGGTGATGTGGGGGCCAAGATGCGAGGACTCACTGCTTTGGCAAAGGTTTTCCTAGCCCAAACCTGGCTCCCCAAACAGTGGAGCTGCCTAAATTCACAGGACACTGGGGAGGGGAGTCTCGTCCTGTACCGTGAGACATAGCAGTGGCTCAGTGAATGGCATTTGGATAGGGATCAGATGTGTGCCCTGTGGCCAGGTGGGTATGGGCACGACAGGAGTTTAGAGACAGGAAAGAGGTTCTAATTCAAGACAGTGCCACAGAATGATCTGAATGGTGCCAACGATGTGAAGAAGGAGACTGTGGTGCTGTGGGATGAGGATGTGGGGAGGACAGGGATCCCTCACGGTGCAGCCAGTAGCCTGGTGAGTGGGAGGGACATGCAGAATTCCCTAGGGGACAGAAGAGTGACAGGTCACAGAAGAGATATCAGCTTTCAGTTGGGAGTTGGGTGAGGAGACAAGGCCCAGCAAGGTCAGCTCAGGACTCAGAACAAGGGCTCTTTAGAACTGGCCCGAAGCTCCCCAAGGGCACACACCTGGCTGCTGGTTAGCAAGCCCCAGCCATGCCAGCGTCTGCGCTGGCCTTTCCCTGAGTCACCTCTTGCAGAGAGAGTGACCGGGGCTGGGAGTTGACATGAGCTGACTCTGTCACAGTTGGCTCATACCTCCACACAGGGGAGAGGACAGATTCATGGGGTTTGGAGGAGGCCTTGAAACACATCCTACAAGTAAGTCACACCCAACAGGGTTCAGCGTTGAGCAGGATTCTAAAATCAACTCTGTCACCTCCTTGCTTTGTTCCCTTTGCTCTCTCCCAGCCTCAGTTTACCTGACTGCACAACGGGGAGAACCGTCTCAAAATCTCTTCCTGAAGCCACCTGTAAAGTTTATTAAATTCGAATTCCAGTTCCCCATCTGAAGCTACGGGGTCAGGGCCCGAGAACTCCATCTGGACGAAGTGGCCTGGGAAGCAGATGGCACTTACAGGTCTTCTGTCGTCCTGAAGTCCCTGCTGCAGTCACCCAAGCCCTCCTTTCCGGGGTAATAAACTAGCAAAATGTCTATGACACTTTCTCCTTATCCACTCACTTAGCCTTCACAATACCCCAGATAGGTTAAGACCCCTGCCTGGGATCACACAGCAGTGGATGGCAGGGTTAGACCAGGAGGTCTAGCTCAAGTTCATGTTCCACCTGTGGGTCAAACGCCCCTCTGTGGGTCAGAGACAGGGAACAAGAATGCGGGATGTGCACACACGCCCTAAGGAACATCTTTATCTTTGTAGGAATCACGCTTGTCTGATTATAAGTTTTCTCATGAGGACTGGGAACCCCCACCTCAGCATCTAAATGCATGAAGAGAGGGAGGATGGGCTGTGACCACTGGCCCCAGATTGCTCTGAGGAAACTGACCGAAGGGGTCAGAGCCTCTTCCCCCATCCTGCTAGCTGAGGCCAAGTGCAAGCAGCCGTACCTGCTCTCCTCTTCCCCCCAAATGCCAGCAGCTTTCATTTTCCACCTGGGATGCACATGCTTGGGACCCAGCATAGGGAACAGGCCACGTGTAGGTGTTCTGACCGAAAGCCAACACCTGCCTCCCACAGAGTGTGGTGTGTGAGGAGGGATGGGGGAACCGGGACGAGAGGTGTCGGCCAAGGGGCCAAGGCGAGTGCTGCATTCAGGGAGAATTCAAACTCCCTCCCGTGCACTCTGGAGTCCTCTGAAGTGGCTCACATTTTTCGGTCATGAACTGAACTGTCTTCCCTCCTGGAGCAGCTACAACTGCCAGGTACCCCGAGTGCAGCCCCAGAGGGAAGAAACACCCAGACCCAGAGCGAGGGTCCTTCGCGGAGACTCACCCCAACTGCAGGGAAAGTGGAATCTTTTATTGAAAGTGTGAAGTACACAGTGGAGGCCACATGGGGTCCAAGAGGCTCCATCCTCCAGGTGGCCCCCTCCCCTTGCTGGGGGGCTGACCACGGGGCTGGCCATGGACGGGATAGTTTACCAACAGGGACTATGGCTGGATCCTGCCTCAGGGTGAGGGCAGGAGGGAAAGGGGCTGGGGGCTGGGGAGGCTCCTGCTGTGGGAGGCTGAGGGGACTCGGGACTGGGGACTCTGCCCTGAGCCTCTCTGGGGCTGGTCTGGATTCTTCCAGGACTTCAGTGGCATCTCTGCCTTCATCACTCAAGCACTCAGCACCAGAAGGTCCTTCAAGGGCAGAACAGAGCAGCTAGTTAGTGGGTGGAGGGATTGTGGCTGCAGCCTCAGCAGAGTCACTTGCCTCCTACTAGGGCAAGTCAGGCATCTGGGAAGCAGCAACTCTGAAGAGCGGTGATGATGGCCCCGGGGGCCTGAGGATCATGCCTGTACCAGGAATCTTGGTCAAAACACTTCCCTCCCTTCCCCTCATCTCCTTCTTCCCAAATAAGACAAGTAGGAGCTTCTCTCCACTCTTCCAAATCCAGTTTTCATAATTTAAAAAAAGCTACAACAAAGTATATGATAGATTATAGTCCACAGAAGAAAATAAATACCCATGACTCTGTGATTGTGTTTACAATTGAATAAACAAAGAAGAGACGGTTCTTCCTTACAGACCTGCAACTAATGAATGTTCAAGGAATTATCGAAATAGAAAACCACCAGGAGGAAAACATCACATTGATAACTGCTGCAGGGGAGAACCATCAATATGATGCCAAAATTAGTGGGGGGTAAACAGGACCTAGGCATCCTCTCAAAGTATCTCCCCACATGATATCTATTACTTACTAAGGGAAAAATAACAATGGAGAGATCTGGCAGGTACCCCTTAACCACACAAATTCAGCCTGTCAAAGTCAGTATGCCCGGAATAAAGGCTTGATGGCACGTGCCTCTGATGGGGGGCACTCTGGAGGGCACAGGTCAGTGGTGGGGTTCTTGCTAAAAAATACATAATCTCATTCTAATCATGAGACAACATTGGTGAAATCCAAACTGGGGGACAGCCTACAGAATGTGCCAAACACAAGGAAAGGTGGGGACTGTCACAGGTGGGAGGACTTTCAGAAGGGGTGAAAACCACATGCTAAGTGGGGTCCTGGATCCTGAATCAAAGCATGTTAGCAGGGAAACAGTAGCTTTATATCAATGTTAATTTTCTGGTTTTGCTCATTGTGTTCTGTTATGTAAGATGCTAAGTAAAGAGTATTCTGGAGCTCACTGTACTGTTTCTGCAACTTTTCTGTAAGTCTTATAAAAGTTAAATTAAATAACTGGACACTCATAATAATAAAAGGAAAAATAACATCATTTGCAGAGGGCCTACAGGAACCTCTAAGTCTTTCTTTAAAACAGTGGTTCTCCACCTTTCAGACTCAACGTTACATTGTACATCTTACTACTAGAATTTGTATTATTTCCTTTATTATTCTGAAACAAAATTTATATTTTAAGCCAGTGCAATTCTCTGAATGGAATATAAAGGCTAAAAGGTAAGCAATTCATAATAAAATATGTATTTTGATATAATTATTCAAGTATGATTATTCAGGAAAGAAAAATTCACCCCTACTAATTTGAAAAAGGCTCTTGGTTAGAGAGGGGATTTGCAATACAGCCCTGGTAGAGAACCACCATTTTGAGCTACCTCAAATATCAGTGCAAACTCTTTACTAAGCACTGCATGTGCTTAGCAAAAGGTTAGATGATGGTGATGATGACTGAAAAAGAAGAATTTGTGCCAATCCCATTTCTATTTCTTAACCCCTTTGAAAACGTGAATGATAGCTACTGACACTAAAATGCTGTGTCTCATGCAGTTTTTCGCCATAAACTCCATAAGACAGGAATTCAAGAGATGGGACTAGGACAGGTCATTGCTCACGTCCCATTTGGTGGGGGATTGCCTCCAGGACTGAGGTCCAATTCCTGCATGAGAGTGAGGAACTAGACTCTCTGCTCCCTGCTGGCAGTGATGCAAATTAGTGCCTCCTTTTGGAAAGGAAATTGTCAATCTGGGGCAAGGCCCATTTATTCCACTTCTGGGAGTATGTTCTAAGGAGCTAAGCCCTCAAACCAGAAGCAGTTTGGTGCACCAAGATGTTTATTGCAGCACTCATTATTATAGTGAAGATGATGATAATGATGGATGCTTCTAGAATGCTTATTCACAGAGTCTCATTTTCTCTTAAATGCAGCCATATAGATGTTTGTGATTAGCCCCTTTTTACAAAGGAGAAAACTGTGGCTCAGAGAAGTTAAGTGGCTTGCCCACAAACACCCAGCTGGAAACCAATAGAGTCAGGATTTGAACCCACATCATTGGGCTCCACTGGTCTCCTCATTCTTTGACTGTAATGCATTGATGACTCCTTGATCAAAGTCATGTTTAAAAATAAAACTCCAGAAAGGTGGAATGAAAAACAGCTAAGTGTATTAAGTAGTCGTTTCAGGATTGCAAATGTATCTAGGATAGTAAATATCTGTTTGTTTAATATTTTCTGTATTCTTCAAATTTCAAATACTGAGCACATGTGATTTTTATATTTGTGATATAAAACATTTGTGATTCAAGGGACCTGCGTGATCATGATTAGCAATGATTCCAGGAGTATTTACCAAAGGCCCATTGCTCTGCTGAATGGAGGAGTTTGCAAGGGCCACAGACCTCTCCTTTTCACTGCTGTATCCCCAGCCCTATGCACATTGTCCCCTGAGCAGGTGCTCGGTGTGAGTTTTTCCGGTGAACTATATCACATTTCCACTTTGGCCAAGCCCCTTACTGCTCTGAACCTCAGTATTCCCACCTGTAAGATGAGGACAATGGCACCTGTCTTGAGGATGAAATGAGACCATGGATGTGAAAATCTTCATTGACCTCTTCTCAGCAGCTCCATTTCTGCTTCTCCTTGCCCACCCTCGAGACGATGCTGCTGCCCACCCCTTCCCCAGCCTTCTCATCCTCCTCCCAATTCCTGGGCATGGAAGGGAAAGCAGAACAGAACATCCCCTTACCTCCAAGACGTCGATGTCTGCATTGCTGAAGTCAATGTTGAGGATTTTGGGGAGAGGGACCCCAGAGCCCAGCATGGCTGTGAAAACACCAGTCAGGCATGGTCAGCATGGCCAAGAGATGTCAGCCTCACAGGAAGCCACAAAGTTTGCAAGAAGAACAGCCATTTTGCTTCTGCCCATAGACCCCTGCCCTTGTACTTCCTCCTGCCTGCAGCACAGCTATGGCCCTAGTCTGTCTCCTAAGCTCTGAGCTCTGAGACTAGTGCTGCCTCCTCCAGGAGGCTTCCTCAACGCTGGGCCAAGCAGCTCTGGGCTCCTGCTTCTCCTCCAAACTTCTCTGTTATAGAAATCGCAGGGTATTAATTCTCTGCTTCTGTGTCTGTTGCCTCTCCAGGCTGTGAGTTGCAAGCAAGGACTGAGTCTTGCATCCCTCAGGCCTGGACCGGACACAGAGGACAAACATTCGCTGAGCAAAGCATGAGAGAATACAGGGACCCATGGGATGTACTGCTAATTTTTAGATTGTCAGAGCCTGAGTAGACCTGCAGATGAATACTCTAGAAAGAAAGAAGGAAGTGAGGGAACAGAAGGGAAGGAGGAGAAGAAAGGCGGGGTGGGGGAGGGGGCGGTGATGGATTAGGTGAAGTTGAACAGACTTCCAGCTTCCAGCAGGATTTTCCAGAGAGGGGAGGACATTGTGACTCTATCCCAAAGGAGTATTTTCAGCGTTTCCCAAACTTGCTGGTCATGGAACCCTTTTCTCAGAGTATTTTGTGGGACTACTTCTCTCTGGAGCCCATGTTGGGAATCATGGATCCAATCCGATCTCTCACTTTTGAGAATGGCGTATTGCATCACAGCAAGACAAGTGACTTACTACTAAGTCCACACCATTTCTTGGTGATCAAGCCAGGGGCAGAGTCTATTTCTCGCCTCCCAGGTCAGCCCAGCCCAGCCCAGCTCCCGGCATCATGATGTATGTGCTTTACCACAATTTAAAACAAACACATAAAAGTAAGTCAGGGAATATCTTGGGCCATATTGAAAAACGGAGAAAGGAAAGTTTACAACGTGCCCAGATACTGAGATTAGTAGCTGCTAAGAGGGGAGATTTTCTGTTTCTAAATTGTTCTTGACTTCTTGTATAAAAGTTGCATACATATAATTTTCATATACAGTCAGAATTTTACATAAGTAACCTGAAAAACAAAATGATCAAATTGGGGGAAAATATAGCATAAGTACAAGTAAGGGAGCCTTGATGGACCCCTGGGACAACCTTTGCACACAGAAGCTTAAATAAGCTTATAATGAAGTTCTCTGAAATACTATTGAGGTGGAATGGCTGTCCATCAAGTGTGCCCATCAAACCAGCAGCTGCCTAGCCCCCTAGCCATGCACCCACATGCATCCCCACCCGGGAAGGTTCCCACTCTCACCATTCATCGCGGGCATAAACGCCAGGTCGAAGATCTTCCCAACCAGCATCTCCATGATGCCAACCTGCAGGGGATGAAGGAGAACTTAACCCAGACAGCAATTTCCTCAGCTTCCAAGGGCTCCTTGAGGCCTTGCCTGTGGCCCCAGGGGAAGCAGAACTGCTCTCAGAGAATTCAGGGGCTGTCAGAGCTCCTTGACTCCAGAATCTCTGAGCAGGACAGCTCCAAGGTGCATCTGGTCCACCTCTCTGAGCACCGGCAGGCTGAGGCAGCATGAGCCCAGGGCTGGCCCAAGGCTCAAGGTGAGGCAGGCCCTGTGGGAAGCCAGCTCCTCCTGGGAGGTCCAGGGTGGCTCACTCTGAAGCCACAACTGTGTCACAGGTGCCCTTGGTCCCCATCCCAGCTCAATACCCATGGGCCTCTGGGCAGATTCCCTTACCTCCCTGAACCTCAGTTTCCATAGCTATAAAATGGGCCAGTAAGCCCAGCTTGCAAGGATGCAGCAAGACTTATGGGCAGATCATATAAAATTGAGCCTTGAGCCTTTTCTCTTAACTTCTCTAAACCTTAGGTTCCACATCTGAAAATGGAATGGTTATACAAACCAAGTACTTGTTCCTGTGTGTGGAACACCTGCCCTGGTGTGGGACCACATCACACTGCCCAGAGCGCTGCTCTCACACCCCAGCACGCACAGGCTGTGTGACGTTGGGCAAGTCACTTAACCTCTCTGCATTTGGCTCCCTCATCTGGAAAATGGCTAATAATTGTACTCAAGTCATAATTTTGTTGTGAGAATTAAATAAGAAAATCTTGAGGGTTGTTTTTGTTGGGTTTTTTTGAAAAGCTTAATTTAGTGTCTGTGGCACAATTTCTGCCACACTATAGTCATTCATCACATATTAAGTGCTGGTGTCTTTATCACATAGAATCCAGAAATATTAGTTGTAGACCCGGCTCTGCTCCACAGAGCTGAGAGGCCTGGCACCACTGTTCTCTCAGTACCAGCGTCTCCCTCTGTACAATGGAACGGGCAAAGCTGAGCCCTCTGATTCAGGAGAAAGCAGGCCTGGAGGACACGGTGTCTCCATTTCCTCCCCTCTCAAGTGCCGGGGTTTGGGCCAAGTGGCCAATAAGTCAAATAAACGCAACAGCACCATCAGCAACGTAGGCGCCGTGATTCTGGGCTCTGCCTCGATCTGTGGCCTCCGTTTCCTCATCTGTGAGGTAAGGGTGCTTTGGAATACGAGTGCTTTGGAATTCACCCCAGGCCCAGCCAGCCTCATGGGCATGCCGATGATTTGACCCTGTGACCTGGGCTCAGTACTTACATCAAAATTGCCCACATTTGAGGTTTTGAGGTTGAGGTTGGTCCTGCAGAGAGAGAAAACAGCTGGTTAGAAGCAGTGATTGCCCAAGAATCACAAGGGGCTCAGAAGCCCCCTCTACATCCTCACAAAGATGTCTCGATCTGGGGGAAATTAATAAGAAAATGTTTGTCCGCACACATGGCGCGCTGACTGTGGACAGAGGTGATGCTGAGGCTTTATGTGCCATATGCAGGGAGCTCACATCGTAGTTCTGCCACCTACCAGCTGCGTGTTTTTGGTCAAAGCCTTTAAAGTCTCCGCACCTCAGTTTCCTCCTCTGCAAAGTGGGCAGCTCCAAGGATTAAATGATACAGTACAAAGAAAGCCTTTAGAATCAAATCTGATGTAGGGTGAGTGCCAGGCTCCTGTTAGTGAGCCTCTCTGCCTGGCTTAATCTTTTCAGTAGCAACAGGAAGAAAGGAACTGAGCTCCAGGGGTAACTTGAGAGGAGTGGCCGTCGTGCTCCCGGCCGCCTGCCTCCTGGCGTCCCCTCCACTAGTCTTTCTTTGCGTTTGGCCTATGGCCATAGAGCTCAGGGAGGGGAGCCTAGGACTGGTACCCCAAACCTGTACCTGGTCTACTGTGCTATCCTGAGCAGGGAGGCCAAGGTCCCTGCTCAAGGTCTGGCTCTGCACTGTGAGGGCCTCCGTCTCCCTGCATTTGAATCTCACCTGCAAACTGACAGTCCTACCTCAGAGAGGTTCAGCTAAGGCTCGTGCATGGGCAGAAGAACCACAGGCCGTCAGGGCCAAGTAGGAGAGAAACCAATGAGCCTTCTCAGCGGGGAAGACTCGGCTTCAGATGTTTTTTCTTTCCGAATTCCACCCCAACCCCGTTTTCCCCTCCAGTCAGTCCATCCATATTTGTTGTAAGAAGAAAAACTTTTCGTGGACTTGGCACATACTGACAATTTTACATACTATCTCATTTAATCTTGAAGGAGGGATAATAGATGTACTTACTTCCATAGGCTAATGTCAAAAGAAATGAATTAAGATGCATTTAGGGTTTAGTTTAATAGTTATTACTGTTATTATTATAGACCCTATGAAGTAGAAATTATGATTCTCATTTCCAGATGAGAAAATTGAGTTTCAGAGAGGCAAAGTCACTTGATCTACATCACACAGCCAGTGAGTGCTCCCACTGGGATCTGAAACCAGACTTCTTGGCTCCAAAGCTTATACCGGTGACCATTCCACGTGGCTCTAGGTCAGACAGATCTGGATTGGCTCACATACTGTCTCTGCATTGCTGTGTGGCCCTAAGTAAGTACGTCCACCTCTCTGAGCCTTCATTTTCTCCTCTTTAAAATGGGAGGATAATAACCTGACTCTGCCGGACCATAATGAACGAGGTTAAACAAGGTAATATATACGAACTGCCAGCTCAGAACCCGCGCGTGGCCATTGGCAGCAGTGTTGTTATTACTGATGTCATTGTTGCCAGTGGTCGGTTCTTTCTAACCAGCTCACAGCTTCACCCACCCAGCTTGCGCCAGTGTTCTTGGAAGTCAGCCCATTTCACCTTTTCTGCCTTTTGGATGTATTGGGCGCTGACAACTGTGCCAGGAAGCCTCCTAAATCCCCCTTGGAGTGCCCCCTGAGTTGGCACCAGACAGCAGCACCAAAGAGGCCTTTCTGCCCAAAGTGCAAACCCCCTTACTTGTCCAGTTTGGCATCAATCATGAGTTTATCTCCTTCCACAGAAAACATGGCCAAGAGTTCTGCATCCTGGAGGAAAGGGGAGGAAGAAACGGCGCTGTCATCTGTGGCCATGGCTTGCTGAAGCTCGTGTGTGGCAGGCACTGGCGAAGTGCTTCATTACCACGGGTCCAGCTGCTCAAGCCTCTCATTCGCTGACAGTCCCAATGACGCCCATCTAAGTGTAATGGATTTCCCCCCTCTGGAGGGAAGGCATTAGGAATAATATATCACCTACATTAATTGTTATTCACAAGTAAGTCACAGCAAAGGTTGAGTAAATGTCTCTCAGTAAGCCACAACTGGCGAGGGGTGTTCCCCAAGTTTCTCTGAGCTGTCTCAGAGGAGGTGAGGTGGCCTGCGGTCTATGAAACCTGCTCCAGACGAGCCTTGCAGGTGAGGTTGGGCAGCACGACAGCCAGTCAAACTTCCCTGCCTCCCAGGGAGGGCACAAAAATTTCAGACTCCTCATCCCCCACTCCAAGTAGAAACCTTCTTGTAGAAAAATCCCTCTTTGTTTCTCTACTCCACACTCCCAAAATAAAATATGTAGGTCTTGTGAAGAAAAAAAAAAACTCCCAACAAATTTGATGATGTGATGATTAATAACTGGGATGATGGAAAAGATCTGGGGGCTCTGGAAGTACATGGCAGGGACCTAAAGAAGCATGGGAAATTGTTCTGTCCATTAAAAAGGAAATGGTATTTGAACTGAGGCCTGGAGGATACTGTAAAATTTAGCCAGATGAGAAACTGGGTGTAAGAGCGATCCAGGCAATCAATGGGAAGAGCATGTGCAAATGTCCTGGGTGGGACCAGGTCTAACATGTTGAAGGAACAGTAAGGAGCTGAAAGGTGGCCCAGGAATGATCTGGAAGAACTTTGTGGGCCATTGTTAGGTGATTAACTTTTGCTTCAGGATGGAGAGAAAGCCTTTTGAGCAGGGCAACATGATTTTAATAGGATTCCCCTCTAAGAAACAATTATGGAAATTGTTTTATTTGTAAGTATATCCTTTAAGTGCCAGACAAGAGATCTGGTACCACCTGGTACCATATGTTCCCCTTTCTTCAGTATCCAGTAGAAAGCATAACACATAGTGGATGCCTTAAAACCACCACTGAATGCAAGGCCTGGGTCTACTCCACCATTATTCTGGTGTACAATCCATGAGAACGATACTAGCCAATGCTTTTGCTTATGTATGTTGGGTACTGCTCTGAGCACCTCCATCCCCAAGTGATCAAGGAAAAATTCAAGCCCAGAGAGGCGTAGTGACTCACCCAAAGTCACACGCCCTCAATTAGAAGCAGATCATCCTGCTGCAAAGCCAAGCTCAGGGTCACTACGCTGGGGATCATGGGGACTTGCAGGGATCTGAAACCTCCAGGTGGCTGCCCATACCTCTAGACACTCACCACCTCGATGAGGCAGATGGTGGTCTCGACATCATTGGGCTGGGAGACTGTGACCTCGGCGGTGGCGAACACCTTCACCACCGCCTCGTCTTTCTGCAGCGTCACTGAGGGCGGATTGGGCACCTGGATCCTGATGGTGAGTGGGCGGTTATCGGGGTACTGCTGGAACACCTGTGGGTGGACACCAGGTTGGGGTGGGAGGAGCCCTCGATAGTGGGGGATGTACATGGGGTCATCAGCCAGCCTCTAAACACAGCACAGGGCCCCACCCTGGATTCCTTCCCATCCAGCCTCGTCGTGCGTGTCCTATAAACCACACCCACACCCACTGCTGGATTTGGGCAAGGGTCGCCCTCTGCAAGCCTCTCACAGGGCTGTTGTGAGAATTAAGGATGATAACACCAGCAAAACTTTGAGTTCAATGCCTGATGCGAGGAAACGCTCCACCCTTGGTGTGAGTGGCAGGTGGGGCCACTTGGGAGTCCAGGGCCCCAGCTGGACATTTATGACTCCATGAATCATCACCCTGTTACAGATGAGGAAACTGAGGCTCAGAGAGAGGCAGTCGTTTGCCTGATATAGTATGATTGGTGCAATGCTAAGCTGGAATTCAAATTCCTGTCTGTCTGCTCCAAAGATCGAAGACTCTTGCTCAAAGTCATAGAGCAGGGAAGGCCAAGACAGGATTCACCTGTGCAGGCCAGACCACTGCTAATCACTGCTCAGGAGCTCCCCACCTCACCCTTGCGTGCCCTCCTCAAATAGGGGTCTGGCCTCTAAGCCTTTGTCGTTACAAGCGGGGAGGGTGTTTTTGGGCTCCACCCTAATATTCAGCATCTTCCCTTTCCACAGGGCTCCCAGAAGGAGGGTGACGCTGAAGACAGGGAGACACACCCTCCTTACATACCTTGGGGATCAGGGCTCCCAGCGTGGAAGTGGTGAGTGGAGGCAGCTCTTCAAACTGCAGGACAAGAAGAGGGCGCATGTGAGCTCCTGAGGCCACAGGGACTGACAGGAGTTGCTGACATGGTGCTTAAATTCCTGCAGCCTCTCCGTTAACCTGAGGGGGCAAGTCGTCCCCTTTAATGTCCCTTTGGGAGACCCTGCAGCCACCACACAGACCACAGTAGTCATTTGGGGGTGAAACGGACAGGGGCAGCCACTTAAATTCACAACAGTGCAGGAGACAAGAGTGGGATCTTTCTTCTTTAAAAATGGGGTTCTTTATTAAAACCAGGTGAGCACCAGCCTGTTCATGTGTACAACCCAATGTCCACTAAATGCATGACTCCCCCATAGTCCTGAACTAACTGGACATTATATCAAGAATTTCTCTTTAAATCAACTCACTTTTTAAAACCTCAAATACTAAAAAGTGGAAATCCAGGACTCCTGCACAGAAGAGGTAGCAGCTATAAAACTAGAAACAAAGAGAGCAAAACAATGCCAGCCCTTTCTGAGTGGATTCAATTATTTGTGGAAGGTTTTGGGGGTGAGTTCTATTTGCTCTGAGTTAAAAAGAACTTAAAAGTGCAAGAGAGGGTTAACAATATACTGGGACAAAATGGAGATGTTCCTCTTGTTGGAATCAAGATGGACATAATTTTGGAAAATAACTCGTTCTTATGAAATACACATTGAAATTAAGGGTTTGTCTGAAAAATCAAGTTGTTCAGCAAGAGATGATAGATAGATAGATAGATAGATAGATAGATAGATAGATAGATAGATAAAAATAGATAAAATAGATAGAAATACCCATGGATGGAGGCATGGGTAGGTGGGTGGACAGACAGATGTGTGGACAGATGGATAAAAATGAAGCAAATGTGACAAAACATTCACTGGTGGATCTAAGTGAAGGATCTCTGGGTCTTGCTAGTATTATATTGCAACTTTTCTGCAGCTTAGCAATTTTTCAAAAGAAAAAGTTGGCAGAGAATATGCCTCTGGAGCATAACTACGGAGGGTCTCTTCTTCATGTGTGATTTAGTTACTTAATATCAATGTTTTCCAAGTTAAAGGATTCTAAAACATTTCAATTGAGAAACATATATATGAATATATATTATGCTTTTTAAAAAGGATCCTAATAAAAGTCGATAGAATTGAATAAGAAGCAATCTTCTTACCATATAATTTGATTTAGTTTATTGCCATGCTCATGAATCACCTAAAATCCTTTCAGGCACCATGTTGGGTAAACACTGACATAGTTAATCCACATCCATCTATTGAGATGAGTCAGGATGTGAGCCGTCTACAGCGCTCCCCTACAGCCATTGCCTGCAGGCCATGGGGACTAGAATGGATCAATGGGAAGCTGTTTGCTGCCCAGGCTGCCCCCTCCCCCAGGGGCCATGACTCACTGTGCCATCGGTGATGTCAATATCCAGTGCCCCTTGCTTCTGCAGGAGAGTCAGCACTGAGCCCAGGAAGTTGGCAGAAATGGCCAGCTGGGAGTTTGTGTTGTCACCCATGGGGGGCAATTGTGGCATCTTTTGCCTGGGGTTCACAGCTGGCCGCCCCAGTGGATAATCGATGAGATCTCCTCCAGCCTCCCCAACCAGAGACTAGGGAAGCAAAGAGAAAAGCGGTCAGAGGGAGGGGTGCAGTGCAAAAAGTGAAGGGTAAGGCCTGAATCTGCCTCCAGGCAGCCTTCCTTGATTCAATCTACTGGGTCCAGTGGCTCTTTCATGTATGACTCCCAGCTTGTGTTCAGTCTGTGAAGAAATGTACTCTCTTACAGTTCCTGCTTTATGACCACTTATAATTATAGCCAACATATATCACCATACATTTTAAATATCTGTATGACATAGATTCCCCATCAGCCTTGCCATGACAAATTATCACATTTATGTACCTGCATAATACACATATCTAATCTCTAAAGACCAGACTCCTCTCCTTGGCCTCCAAGGCACTGGAGTCTGGCCCAGGCAACCATCCTGAGTCATGCTGGCCTTCATTCCCTCTTCTGCAGAGCAGTCACCAGGGCTTCATCAGTCCCTGCCACCACCTCAGCAGCCCCACCATGGTGCTTCCCACATGCTGTTCCCCCCTCACATTCTTCTCTTTACCTCAGGTTGCCTCCTCCAGGAAGCCCTCCACAACTTCCTTGGGTATATTATATCCCTTGCTTTAAGCTATGATACTTGGGGACCCTCTTGTACAAAATCATCATCTATAATTGTTCATTTGTTTGACTGATTCTTGGGTGACCTGGCCCCGCCAATAGATTGCAGGCTCCCTCAAAGCAAAGGCCTTGTCTGGCTCACAACTGCACCTCCCCTTGCCCAAAAGTCCATGCACTCACGTTGAGGTCTATCTCCAGGAATTCCCCGGTCACAAGTGGAAGGCTGGAGAAGGTATACTGGACACTTCCTAATATCCCCAGAGGAATCAGAGCTGCAGACAAAAATGGGAGTCACTGGATGGTCCCCTTCACCCACCAGATGCCTTCCCTCCTTGTGCTCTGCGGATGGTGGTGCAGCAGGCTCGTTCCAGACGTCATGGAACAAACAAGAGTTCTAGGTTCAAATCCCAGCTAGGCCACTTCATGCGGGGTTCAGGCAAGACACTGCATCTTTCTGAACATCAGTCTCCTCCTCTGTAAAATGGGCTAAATATAACTCCTTGGACTATGTTGGGGGAAGGGTAGCAGTGAGTTCCTGGATATTGATATGTTTTGTTAAACTGTAAAGTCTTGTGCTCCTGGGAAGAAGCTTTAGGGTTCCACAGTGTGTTGCTGAGTTTGATCTGGTATCTCCCTGATGGCTGTGATGACAAGCCCCCTGCTGGGCTCTTCCTCCCTTGTTCCTGGTCACAAAGGGACAGAAGTTTACCTGCCTGGGAAGCTACCCTTAAACTGTCTGCAGCCCCAGAGAAATGGGAGAACTATTAGAGAGGGCTGCCCTGTACGACCACAGGTGTTGTGCACTGCACAACTCCGGTGCCTCTGGGACATGACAGTCAGTGTGAAAAGGGCTCCTGGGGGGCCATGCAGTACATGCACTGCACAAGCACATGGGGCAGGCTGGCCTTTGGGGCATTACCCCCAGGTTGAGGAGGATGCTGGAGCCCAGTTCCAAGGACCTGGCTTTCTTTGGGGTGTCTGCTACTCACTCTCCATTCCCTCTGTGGCTGGAAGCTGAACCTCTTACTTTAGAGATGAGGAATCTCAGAAGAGTCTCTCCAAGTCCCCATGGCTGAGAGGGCAGAGCCAGGGTTCAAATCCCATCTCCTGACTCCCTGTCCAGAGTGGTAGCCTCCTGGCTCCAGGGGAAACTCCTCCCTCTGGGACTTGGAAGGATGTTTGGGGACCAGAGGAAAAGTCAGGTGGCCCCTCCTGTGATATCTGCCACACAGCGCTTCAGTGGCCGAGGGCAGACTGCTGCCCCCAGCATACTGGCTTTGCTCCCAGACATTGCCAAGTCCCCGGGGCACGTCTTCAGGCCAGAGCAGGCACTCATAATGTTGGCCAAGGGAAGCAAAGCAGGACAGACTTACAGTCCACAAGACCCAGCTGGTCGTTGACAAGTCCCAGCACCACGTCCACGATGGGGCAGAGCTGTGGGAGAGAGATGGTGTGAAGTTCTGGAGGCCACACCAGAGCTCTGGCAGGGAGGCAGCTAAGCCACCACCTGCTGCTCTTGCTTGGCCCGTGGGGAGGCGTTCTCGTAATGCCATTTTGCAGAAGGGAAGACAAAGACTCAGAGAGGTGTTATGCCAAAACTGGGGTTCAGATCCAGTTTTGGGGTTCAGATCCAGAACTGGGGTTCACACACAGTCTGTGTGATTATTCTCAAGCTCCATCTCCTTATTTCTTCACAAATCTGTCCCTCCACATTCCTCAGGGTCCTTCCTGGAGCCCCAAAAATATGCCCATGGCCTGCTGGGTGCCCTGCATGTCCACAGGGGTGTAGGGGGGCCATGTAGTCCCTCAGTCTGAGGAAAGCCTGTGCTCTTTGCTCCCCATCCTGGGAGGGTTTCTTACCAAGTCAGGGAGAACGTTGGCCAGCACTCTGTTCACTAAGTTGTCCACGAGGTTAGGGAGAAGCCTAAAGAGAAATACACTCATATGTTCATAAGCTCTTTCAATGCGCTGGGTTATGCTCTATGTTTATTATCACAATTCCAAAGGGAAAAGGATTACCCCATCTTCACCACTGAAGAAACTAGAGCTCAGAGAGGGAGACACAAATTCCCTAAAGTCACACAGTAAGAAATAATGGAGCTGGGGCTTAATGCCAAGCTGCTTCCAGAGCCTCTGTTCTTACCCATGTGACTTGCAGGAGACAGACCACTGCACCATGGCCCCGAAGGGCCTCACACCCTGCTGCTACTCACCCTCGAAGCAGCTTGACCTTGATGCCCCCCAGGAGGGTGTCACATCGCTCAATAACCAGCCTGGGGTAGCCCGTGCGGTCCATGGTCAGCCGGACCTTGGCTGTGATGTTCACCTCCACTGCGATGTCCAGGAAGCCAATAAGACTGGGGGAGATCAATAGGACGGGGCCACGGTGAGTCAGACCCCAACCCAGCAGCTCAGCTTCACTGGGGGCCTGCCTGGCTCTTCCATAGCCCAAGCTCTGGCTGTCCTGCCATCTGTCATGCCCTGGCTCATGTCTAGGCATCCCAGACCAGAAGACTCCCCTCGTCTCCCCAATCATCTCTCCTCCCCCCGCCACCCCCAGTCCATTAGAGCTTCAGGCTGGGAAGAGGGTCAATAAATGGACTCTATGTGTAAATTCTGGTTTCCAAGGTGACGCTTACGCGATCACTCAGTTTTGTCCTCATCCATTAAGGATAAATGATGTAGAAGCCCACCCTCTGAGGTCTTCTAAAGAGCCCTACTATGTGGCAGGCACTATCCTGGGAGGCATTTGGTGGCCTTCCCACACTTGGCCACAGTCACCTGGGAAACGAGGTGTCCTTTTATGGCCATTGTAGTGAAGCTGTCAAGGCTCAGTGACATTAGGGGACTGGCCCAAGGTCACACAACTTAAAAAAGAAAGTCAGGACTCAAATCCTCAAATCCAGACTGTCACCTGACTGCAGTCTCCACCACACTCGGTTGCCTTCTCTGCAGGCAGGGACTACAAGATGACCCGAGCCCCAAGGACAAGCCATGCATGTGCCAGTATCACATTAAGTTCTCCTGTCCCCTCATTACAGATTTAGAGAGGGGTGACAACCTGCCCTAGGCCTCCTGACCAGGAGTGGGGTGGTGGGGACCACCCAGGACCCAGGGCACGCACCTCTTCCCGTTGATGGCCACACGGGTGTACAGGCTCAGGTAGACACCTACACCGGGCAGCAGCCGCACGGACACCCGGGGAAGCGTCAACTCCATGATGCGCAGCCTGTACGGGACAGTGTGGTAAGAGGGGTCCAACCCTACAGTCTACCCCCGTCTACCTGGGAGTGTTCTCCCTCGTACCCCTTCTCTGCACCCCACTCAGTCCTCCTGACTCTGAAGGTTTGTGAACTTGGAAAATACAGAGAAGTTAGAGGCAAAGAGAGCCTTGGTCCAGTGACCTGCTATTTACATTTCTGTGTATTTCCTTTGAGTTTTTCTCCTGTAAAGATGCCTTTCCTTCTAGTCCCTGTCTCCTGCCTCGTTCCCTCCTACACATTCTTCAGATTTCAGCTCAAGGTCTTCTTCCTCCAGGAAGTGCCCCCGGATCTCCCCCACTAAACACACCCTCATTTCTCCATGGGCTTCTCACCACAGTTGTAATTGTATGATTTTTACATTCAGGCTTCTTTATCCCACCAGCCTGCAAGCTATGTAAGGACAAGAAATGAGTTTCTTCTTGGCTAACTATGGGGGTCATGTCCCTAATGCCAGTACAGTGTCTCGCGCTTAGTAGGAACTTTAAATAGCTGTTCCATTAAACAGTGACTATGAAGAGCTGCACATAGTTGGCATTGTAACTTATATGTATAATTTTAAATCTTTGGGCTCTTTTCCACTTAAAACTGTCTTCCTATCACCACTGCACAGATAAGGGAAACCGAGGCTCAGGGAGGTGAACAAATGATCCAAAGTCACACACAAATATAAAAGGTTGAGCTGGGACTCAAATTCAGGACTGTTTAATGATAAGACCCCAAACCACATAACTTGGAATTTCAAGAAGTCCTGTCCTGAGACCAAATCCTATGCAGAGCCCAGGTCTCTGGGGGAGATCATCCCTGTTTGTGGGGTTGTCAGGAGGCTCGATAGAGGGAGCCTGGCCTTTCCTTACCCTGTGATGCCTTGTACGGTGCTGAGAATGCCGCCCTCGCCAAGCACACCCAGAACGCCTCCTCCTCCGAGAAGTCCTCCATCTCCAAGGAGACCACCTCCGCCGAGCAGGCCACCTTGACCCGACAAGATGCCATCCGCTGCCAGCATGCCGCCAGTGCCCAGCAAGCCACCAGGGCCCAGTGCCCCGGTGGCCACACCAGGTGGAAGTTCTCCAGGACGTAGCTCTCTCCGGTGAAGCCTGCCCACCGTTGCGGAATCTTTAGCTGACCTATACCGCCCACGGCCCCTGTGGCCACCATATGAACTCTCGCCATTTCGGAGGTCCCTGACGCTTCCATCAGACTCAAGGATCTCACCGTATCGGTACTTGCCACCCAGCTGAGCGGTGTTGTCGTTGGTCTCGATGTGACCATATTTGTAATTACCACCAAGCTGTTTGCCATTGGTATATTTTGGGGGGGGATCTCGGATGTGGAAGTCATTGTAGCGAACGCCACCAACACCTCGGGGGAATTCAGCGCTTCTGTAGTCATCATAACGGTGTCGGCCACCACCCAGAAGACCACCACTGCCACCCAAGAGACCACCACCACTACCACCCAGCAACCCACCACCACTGCCACCCAACAGTCCCCCACCACTGCCACCCAACAGTCCCCCACCACTGCTACCACCACCCAACAGCCCCCCACCGCTGCTACCACCACCCAACAGCCCCCCACCGCTGCTACCACCACCCAACAGCCCCCCACCACTGCTACCACCACCAAGCAGCCCCCCACCACTACCACCTAGGAGCCCCCCACCACTGCCACCCAGGAGGCCCCCACCACCACTACTTCCACCCAACAGTCCACCGCCAACTCCGCCCAACAGGTCATCACCCCCTCCACCTCCACCACCAAGCAGGCCCCCCAGGAGACCACCTCCCCCTCCCCCTCCACCTCCACTTCCACCAAGCAGACCCCCAAGGAGAGGCCCACCACCATCACCACCAGCTTTACCCATGGGCACCTCTCTCAGGGCCGTGCGGAGAGCATCGCTCTGCTGCAGGGTGCCCGAAATGGCTGAAGAGAAAAAAAGGTACGAGTCAGAGGTCTCTCGCTTCCCTCCACCTCCCGCCCCCGTCAGCACCTTGGAGTGTGGCTCTGCTCTGGGCCCCACCTTTCCAATCAGAGAATGAGAGAATTTCAGACAACCCAGCCTTGATGCCTTGGTGAGCTCATGAGCTGCTGACTTTGACCTGCTCACACTCTAACTAGATTTGGGCACCATTCAGCCACACCTCGCCCGCCCAAGTTCTCCAACTTTACCGTTTTAATAAACCTGCTTCCTCAAGAATTATCCCAACTGATTCCTGGGAAATCGTAAGGGTCAGAATTATCGCCCCATTTAACAGACAAAGAAATTGAGGGCTGTGACATTCCAAGAGGAAATAGCCTTGGGTGGGAATGGGGACAGTGAGGTGTCCTCATTTGTCAGATGACAAAGTGAGATCCCAAGAATTGGAGGCACAGGTAATTATAGCTTCCACTCTTGAGGGTCTTCGATACAGGGACTGTGTTAAGTTTGCAAAAGCTCATCTTGTTTAATTTTCTTTCATATCCATCCTCTGAGATGGAACTGTACCTACACCATTTTGCAGAGAGAAACAGGCTCAGAGAAATCAAGTCATGGACTTAGGGTCATGCCGTCCACACTTGCATCCCAGGAAGGCTGACTGTAGGACCAGCTCATAATCACTGTTCTCTACTGCCTCAAGCATAAAGTTCCCCCAACATGGCGTAACACCTAGCAGGTGTTCAGGAACTGGTAGCTAAAAAGGAAAAGGGGAAACTAAGGCCCAGAGAGGAGAATTTATCTATGTGCCTGATGTCGAATCTGATGGTGAGGGAAGAAGGTTCTAGGGACTCAGAGCAGGCTGGACTGCCCTGCCCACCCATGCACCCCTCCATCCCCCTGGGCACCCAGACTCACCATTGCTCAGCACGTCTTTGGTAACCCTGAGGACAGTGTTCGTCTCTTTCTCGGCGCCACATACAGCTGCTATGGACAGAGCAGCCACAAACCACGCTGTCCACATGCTGGTGCTGCTTCTCTGCTGAGGAGATTGTGCATCAGATGGCTGAGACCGAGCATTACCACCCTGGCTGGCAGGTGGAGCTTAGCACCCCCTGCTAAGAGTCCTATCAGGACCCTGAGCCAGAAACAGGAGATGGATGGGGGTCACACAGTGGGTGGGGTCCCGTGTTCCTGATTCCACCTTCTGAGTTTTAAATGAATCTAGAGACACACAGCAGACCCATTAACTAATCTGTCTATTGTACATTAGTCTAGATTAACTTGTGCATGCATGTTTGATTATTTCCCAAGACAAAATTTCCAAATGGAAATTTGTTGGGGGAGGTGGGGGCAGGAAGAAAGCATGGTGGGACATGGGGCTCCAATCAAAATAGAAAACTGGTTCCCAAAAACTGGGAAAATGCTCTCTCCAGCATCTACCTATCTATCCACCCATTCACCCATCCATCCTTCCATCCATCCATCTTCCTGCCTTCCATCCATGTCCAGCCGGTCATCAGATACACTTTCCCACCTCTTTGGAGGAAACAGTCCTACCCCATGTGGTTAAGATTAAGGACTCTGAATCAGAGCTATTCTTAGAGAGAAACTACCTTTTTGGACTTCTGCATTCTAGTCACTAACACGTTGTACGTGGCACATAGTAGATACTCAATAAACCACAGTTGTTGCTCTTGGTTGGGGAATATTATTTCAGATCCCTAAGAAGTGGGTATGGAGTGTTATAAGATTGTAGGGAATGGAGCTAAGATGAGCTGGTCATCCTCTCAGAAACTTTATTTTGCTGCCTCCATGCCTTTACCTTCTTTCACTCTATGAGCCCAGTCTACCCAGTGACCAGCTTCAGAGAACTGGCACAGAATAAGGTCTCCATTCCGGGCCATTCTTATGTACCCTCTCCTTATGCACCCTCTTCATTTTTTCCCTGCCCTGCTTCCCTTGAGGTTCAACAAGTCCCCGGTTTTTCCCCACTCTCATCTGTTCCTAGGAGACTATCAGAGGTGCTCATTTATACTAGAATATGAACTACTGATATATGCAAGATTTTTTTTTTTCTGACTTCTTCACCTCACCTAACTACACTGCCCAGACAGTTCTGGACAGTTCTGGATTCAAGTTCTGGAATCACCACTTCAGTGAAAGAGACAGGCACCAAAAGAGGAATTTCTGACATCAGTGAGCAGCTGAAGAAACTCAGAGAAGTAGTAAAGGTCCCAGGTCCCCAACACCCCAGGGAAAGATGAGTGCAGCACCTATGAAATTGACATGATGCAGGCCCTTTTGTTCATCCCTGAGAGGTTCTCTGGCTATGTCTTCAGACCAGACAAATGGAGCTCAGAGAGGAGTCACCTGGCAGGTCTCCAGTCTGGAGCTCTCATTGCCACCCCAGGCCTCAGCCTCCCCCCTGCCAGCCCTCCTTACCCCTGAGGAAGTCCCTGCAGCTCGGTCTCGGTCTCGAGAGGTCCCGTTCACCGGGCCCTCTGCTTTGGGCTGAGTCTGGTCACAGGCCAGCCTTATATAGCCCCCAGAGTCTGAGCCCAGACCCAGAAAGGGAAACACCAGGTAATTACAAGTGACCAGAATCCAGATTTGCTCTGCGAATCAGACATTGAGCTCCAAAACCACAGAGGTTTGCGGTTTGTGTCTAATTCCGAGAGCTGAGTTCAGCCCCGGATGGTGTCACACGAGCTGGCGTTTATCAGCCCCAGGTCTGGGCACATTTCTGGAGACCCCACTGGGCCCCCAGATGGGAGAACTGGACACTTGCAGATACATCTGTTTCCTGGAGGGAAGGCCAGTGCAGCCCACTGCAGATGGCCTGGATTGTACCCCTCCAGAGTGTGCCCAGACTGGACTCAGCGTCAGCCTGCTCCAGGTTCAAGTTCTGCTCAACCCTTGACTGACTGCATGACCTTGGGCCAGCCCCTTCCCTTCATTATTCCATCAGTTAAGTGGGCATGACACCTGCCTCGCAGGCCTGATTCAGGGACTCAGACTGATGGATATGGAGCTGACCCTTCAAACTTGATACTGGTGCAAAGAGGATGAGAAGATAGTTCCTTTTTTTCAGCGGCCTAAAGAAGTTTTCTCCCAATATTTCATTATGAAATGTTCACACAGGCGGCAAAGTTGAAAGAATTGTACGGAGAACACCCATCTGCTGGTCACCTAGCATCCACCAGCTATTCTATCATTAATATTTTGTTACACTTGCTTCATCACGTCTCTCCATCTCGGCTGTTTTTCATCTTTTATTACATGTGTTTCAAAGTAAGCTGCAGACAGCAACACATCCCCCTAAACACTTCTACAGTGTGCCACTGTGAGTCTCTTCTTTAGATGTAAGGTTTGTATGTAGTAAAATGCACAAATCTTTAGTGTTCACTTACTGAGTTTTGACAATTTTATATAGCCTGACCCCTGATATCTGAAGTTAAGACATTTCTGTCTTCCCAGAATGTTCCTCCTAGTCCCTTCCCAGCCAATGCCTGCTCCCACTTCTCAAAGGCAGCCCCTTCCGGGTAGAGTCCAGACCTCACGTGTGGCATTAGAGATGCTGCTCTTTCCTTTCATCTACCCACCCCAGCCTCCTGCCCCTGGGCCTTCGCACATGCAATTCCTGCAGTCCAGAGTACTTTTCTCCTGACTCCCTTGGTCAAGATCATGCAGACATGTCAGCTGCTCTGGAAATCTTTCTGTGACAAGCCCCAATCTGTACCACCCAGGGCCTGCTGCAGGCCATGCTGAGCTGGCATTGCTCTGGCAAGCCAAGCAAAGCAGGCCTGTGTCCACTCCTACCTTAGCACAGGCATAAGTGCCAGTGTAGCCAATGAATGAATGTTTCTTTATTCTCCACTGGAAAGGGAGTCTTCCTGCTTCCCAGATACCAACCCCAGCTAAGTCCCACCTCCACGTTTAACAGATGCCATCTGCTCCCCATTCCCAGAGGCCCACCTGAGAATTCCTCTGGAATGAGGGGGTCTCCTCTCGCCCCACCTAGCCTGCACTCAAGTCAGGTAAATAGTAAAGATTTCTCTGAACTCTGAAAGAAGATGTTTCCTCCCCACTCTGAAGCAGACACAGCTGGCATCTAGTCCTGGCTGCTGGGTCAGCCTCCTCCGGAAATTTCCCCATCTGCAGTGGGTGCGTTAGTGAAACAGGCTTTGGAGTTGGATCCTGGCTTTGAATTGTGTTGCCAGTTCTCCCCCAAGCTTCTATTCCTTTGGATTTGGCATGGTGACCAGACATCCCAGCCTCACAAGGATATGGCAAGGACTGAGTGACTCAATCATGCAGAGCACTGAGAACAGGGTCTGGCACACAGTAGGTACTCAGTAGGTAAGATTTCTACCCTCACCACCCCATTTCCCTGCTGGATCCACACAGTAAGTCTGCAGAGGGCTGGGAGGCAGCACTTCAACACCCTACCCGCCACCCACCTTACCATCTGTGGGGCTGGGAGGGACCCAGGGCTGGGAGGCAGGAGCACACACACCTGTGTTCCCACAGCCCAACTGCCTTCTGCCCTGGACAATTAATTCTCCTTCCAGGCTTCCGTTTGGCCATCTGAGAAATGGGTATAATTGTACTTCCCCAGCAGAGTTTGGAGGATTATATGGAAACGTTTGGAATTTCCTGGAGCCTAATGGGAGCTCGGGAGACAACAACCTCTCCTGCCCAGTCCCTTTGCCTGGCGCTCTGTGTGATATATATACTTGCTGAACAAACGCATTACCTTTTTTAATTGAAATACCACCCAAAGACAGCAAGTGCGGCACTTCTCCGCAGTGACCAATGTGCACGGTAAACTGTAGAGGGCAGTGCACACACAGAGGTGGCCATTGTCAGGCCACAGAAGTTCTGTGCCCTTCCTCAGTCCTGAGACCAGGCCTGGTGGCCATGAGGCTGGCCTGCCCCCTGGGGCCGGCGGGATTAGTGCAGCTCTGGCGCCAGGGAGATCGCCTGGCTTAGCGTTCAAAGGCACCTTTGTCCAGAGCTGGAGGGACCAGGCCCTGGGAGGTGACTCACCTGCAGGTGACTCAGCCACGCGGGGGACCCTGTTGGGGGCTCATGCGGGGGGAGCTGCAGGTTCCAGGAAACAGACCAGTCCTACCCCGCCCTCCGCTCGGCTTCGGTCTCCCTCATCAGCTGCAGGCACCAGGGCAGCCCAGCGAGGGGACTCCCTTTCCTGTCTTGTTTCACCCCCACCCTAAGTGTGGACGTTCAGAGCCCAGGCTCTGGTGCCAGGACTTGGGTTCAAATCCTGACCACATCGTTTCCTGGCCATGAGGCCTTGGCAAGTCACGTGCCCTCTCTTTACCTCCGTGTCCTCAACTATAGAAAACAGTTCCTAAAAAGCAGGGTGATTCCAGGAGTCAATAACCTAATGTACCAACCCCATTTCTCTGAGTTTTAGCTTCTTCATAGGCAAATAGGGTGTTAATACCCACCAGCTCAATCTTTATGAAAATTAAATGGCCTAAGGGATGTTAAGCATCTAATGTGCTGCCTGGTATACAGTGGGTGCTCAATGGAGGTTAGCTGCTCTCGTTGCTACTCTGCCACCATATGAGGCAGATACCATCGCTGACCGTGCAACACTCTCAGTCAAGTGCGAGAAGGTGACCCAGGCAGTGACAACCCAGGATAATGGAAATGAAATCACACACAGAGGAGGAGGCTGGAGGCCAGCGTGCCCTGCGTGCTGGGGATGCGGGAGTGTGCCAAGCACACTTGGTGGAGCAGAAGACTCCAGGAAAAGGGAAGAGGCGTGCAAAGACCTGGCTGTGCAATATTGTGTGTTTACTGTGTGCCAGGCCCACCACCCAGCACTTTACAAGGATCTTCTCATTTAATCCTCGAACCACCTATGAGCGCGGCCTACAGTGTGCCCAGTTCATGGATGAAGAGCCTGAGCACAGAGACAACCCTGTCCCTCTCCACGCCCAGGAGAAACGGGGTGGGGCCTGCAGAGGCAGCCTGCAGGGGTACACGGGTGGGGGCGGGGCGGGGGGTGGTGGTGACTGCCTGTTGGGAGAATCCAGCCTTTGAAGGGCTGTCAGTGGGGTTGAGAGATGGTCAGATGAAGTGAAGAATGGCCTGGAGGAGGATGGGGTGGGAGCAAGGCGGTGGGAGACCAAGGAGGGGCAAGTGTGGTCCTAGTGAGAGAGGAGACGGGTGTGCAGGGGTGCGGGTGGAGAGAAGGGGACAGAGGACAGCCTGGTGCCAGGCAGAACAGTGCAGCAGTAAGAGGAGCTAATGGGCACTGAGGCTTCTTTTGGGCAAATCACCATCTTGAGTGCTGGTTTAGCCCTGAAAACCTTATTACATTTCCTAGATTCCTGCTATGAGTGAAACCATCTGGTATTTTTCTTTTTCTTTCTGGCTTATTTCGCTGAGCGTGATCCCTTCCAGCGCCATCCATGTTGCTGCAAATTGCATGAGGTTATCTTTTTTGATTGCTGAGTAATATGAAAAATACCGGATGGTCTCACTCATAGCAGGAATTTGGAAAACCTAAATAAGGGACCAGGAAAAAGACTAATTAAAATAAAGTAAAAATCAAAATCAACAAGCACCTATAAACCAGAGACACACTACGAGGGGGGAGGAGAGGAAGGATTAGACTCAACATAGGGGGGTGGGAATTGTGTGGGGACTATAACCAAGATGAACATACATACATTGTGCAAAAATGAAAAATGATGTAAAAAATATATAAAATAAAATATAAAAAAAAATAATAAACCTTATGACGGTCATCCTCAAGTAGTTGATGAAGAAGTGAGATTAAATGACTTGCTGGAGGCCACCAGGGTGGGATTTGAAATCTCATTCAACCACTGGTGGTCGGGAGCAAGGGAAGTGAGGAAGGAGTCCAAGATAAACCCCAGCATGTCCCTCAGCACTGGGACTGGCATGTAGGAGGTACCAATAAATTTAAGGCAGATGTATGGGAGGGAAGAGAAGAGGAAGAAAGGAGGGAGGGAGGGAGAGAGGGAGGAAGACTGGCTGCACGGGTGGATGCAGCAGTGGGTGAATGAACTGTAGATGTATGTGTGGATGGGTGGATGGATGGGTGGGTGGGTGGATGGATGGGTGGGTGGATGGATGGGTAGATGGGTGGGTGGATGGATGGGTGGATGGATGGGTGGATAGGTGGGTGGATGGATGGATGGGTGGGTGGGTGGATGGGTGAGTGGATGGATGGATGGGTGGATGGATGGGTGGATGGATGGGTAGGTGAATGGATGGGCGGGTGGATGGATGGGTAGATGGGGGTGGATGGATGGATGGATGGAGGATGGATGGGTGGATGGATGGGATGGATGGGGGGTGGATGGATGGATGGTTGGTGGTGGGTGGGTGGATGGATGGGTGGATGGATGGGTGGATGGATGGATGGATGGGGTGGATGGATGGGGGGTGGGGGGTGGATGGATGGATGGGTGGGTGGGTGGATGGGTGAGTGGATGGATGGATGGGTGGATGGATGGGTGTGGATGGATGGGTGGGTGGATGGATGGGATGGATGGGTGGATGGATGGATGGGTGGGTGGGGTGGGTGGATGGGGTGGGTGGATGGATGGGTGGGTGGATGGATGGATGGGTGGATGGATGGGTGGATGGTGGATGGATGGATGGATGGGGGTGGATGGATGGGTGGGTGGATGGATGGATGGGTAGATGGATGGGTAGATGGGTGGGTGGATGGATGGATGGGTAGATGGGTGGATGGATGGATGGGTAGATGGGTGGGTGGATGGGTGGGTGGATGGATGGATGGGTGGGTGGATGGGTGGGTGGATGGATGGGTGGATGGGTGGGTGGATGGATGGGTGGATGGATGGGTAGATGGAAGGCTGATCACAGGCTCATTCTTATTGGTGGACACATTTCCAAATGGACTCCAATTCTCCTCTGTTCCCCAGCCCCAAATCCTTTGAATCAATCTCCAACACTCTGCTTTCACCTCTTCACTCAGACCCACTCATAAGTGTCCACTTGGGTACCCATCTAAGCAATGGGGAGAACCCCAGACCTAGAGGCATGACCCCTGTTCCCCATCCCAATGCTGCCTCTCGCGGCCTTGGGCAGCTGGGCCCCTCTCTGCCAAAGAGTGCTTGGCGTGCCTTTGTGTTGAGCTCCGTGCTGAAGCGTGGCCTGGCTGATGTGCAGCTGGAAGGAATCCCTCTGGGGTAGGACCCATCTTACTTATCTGTGCTTCCTTGAAGCTGGTTCCTTCCTTTTCCTTTTGGAAGACTCCTATTCACAAGTCAGCTCAGATGTCACTTCTAAGAAGTATCTCAAAAAGGGGCAGAAGCATATAGACTCAGAGACAATGAAAGAGGAAGAGGGGGGGAAGGTGAGACAGGGAGCTCCAGGCAGGGGGAGGCAGGACAGGACACAGAGGCTGCCCAGGTCAACCAGGTAAGTTTGGGAAGCAAAGCACCAGTGACTGGGCCCGTCTCTCACGGGTCCACATTTGGAGGTGGGGAGGGCATGGACGTGCAGGTCAAGGTGTCCCTGTGTGATTGGGGAACAAATCAGCCAGGAGGTGCTGAGATAGAGGAGTAGTTTATTGAAATTTTGGGACTTGCCATGGAGGCCCCAAGCTCCCTCCAAAGCAGAGTCCTGTGGCAAGCCTTGCCACCCCTACCCCAGACTGGGGGCAGAGCTGCAGGGTCAGAGCACCTGGGTGGGCCTGGGTGGCTAAAGGACACATACTGTCACCGACACAGGCTAGAGGTTAGAGGGAAATTAAGACAGAGTGGGCAGGTGGACAGGACTCTGGCCGTCAACAGAAAAGGACGGTGGCCGTCTCTCAGCCTCAGGATGTCACGGTCAACACAACAGCATTCTGCAAGGAGCAAAACAATTGTCAGTTAAGCCCCCTGAGTCCTTGTGCCCAACACCCCTGCCACACCCCCACTCCTGTACCCATCTGTGTCCCCCATGCTCTGGGGTTAGTGCTGGACCTGGAACACAGCAGGCATTCATGAGACAAATGAATCAACAAATGGATGAATGGTAAGTAAATGTCAACCAGTGTAGGACAGGACACTGACTTCAGGACTTAAGAGGCCCAAGTTCAAATGCTATTTCTGCCACAAATTTCCTTCAACTCTGGTCTTCATGTGAGAAATGGGTGCAGAACTCCCTGTCTGCTCACCTCCCTGAGCTGTTCTAGGACTCAAAGTTGTGCTGGGTGGAAAGGTTCATAGGCAGTGTGGCTATTCAGCAAGAATAGGATCTACTGGCTATACTGCATGGAAAAGGGGGAGGCATGGCATTGTACTTGCCACCCCTGGGCCAGGGGAACTGTGAATCTGTAATTCCATCCTATGAGCCAAAAGTGTGTCTGAGTTTAGCAGGAAACAATTCTATGACTAATTGGCAAATGTCTGTCCTAGGCAAGTAAGGAAGGCCTGGTAGCACATATGTCAAATATTTGCCAATCCCACGTTAAGTCATTTGCAATTCTCTGAGCAAGTTAGAAATGGTGCAGGATAGACCAGATGATTTTTCTTATAAATTTTAAGCAGGACTCTCCAGATAGTACCCAATTTGGGGAAACACACCTCTATGATTTCCAGGACTGCATTGGCAAAATTGACGTTGAGAACCTTAGGCAGGGGAATTCCAACACCCAGATCCGCTGTAAAGAGGGAATAGTTGAAAACAAAGATAAATGGAAAACTGAGGTAGGACCTGCAGACCTTATTATACCACATTCCTTGATTCAGACATTTCTCTATTCGAGGACTTAGTTTCCCTATTAGCAGACTCCTACTCATCCTCCTAAACCCAAACAAAAATGCCCCTTTCCTGAATTGTTATCAGTGGCTGCCCTCAGCAGAGCTTCTTCAAGTTTCTATCAACCCCATGCACATTCTTGGTCATCTATATTCTGGTCATTTGTTTATATGACTATTTCCCTCTGGACTATGAGCTTGAAGACAGAACCCAGATCAGATAGAAATCAGGGCCCAGAGGCTGGTGTGATATAGGTGCTAATCAATGTTGTTTGAATGAAACACTGCTGCTGCATCTTAGAAATATGTATCGACCCCCTCCAGCCTCAGTGTCTCTATCAGAACAATGAAGAATGGCAACAAATTCAACAATCTCAAGTTGAGATACTCTATCATCTAAAAAGACAGTGAAGAATATCCGTACCATTGAGCTTCGGCACATATGCTGCCCGGACCACATCACTGAGCCATTCTTGTAAATGGGAAGCCTGCAAGAGAGAACAGGTAGGGCTAGAGGAGTGGCTGGCAGGCAGCAGGGCCCTTTCCAGGTAGGGGTGGGAGGAGGTCCAGCTGTTCCAGCCTAAGAACACATTTTCCAGTGGGAGCAGGGCCTACTGGGGTGGACTGTCCACTAGTGACTCCACAGGGGACTCTGTGATTTAGGCTGGCTGTACTCAAGGCCCAGAAGCTAGAAAGAGCTGCCTTCTTAGAAGGAACTGTGGGATCTGAGGAAGAGTGAGCTAAGTGTGCCCAGCTTCAGTTGCTGTCTAATCACAGATTCCTATAGGTCTATGAGCCCTTAGAATATTCTAGGACCTGAGGCCATCTTGAACCGCAGAACTCTGTGAGAAGACTTAGAGGCCCTGAAATGTTAGAACTTTCTGGGCTCAGGCACCTCATTTCATTACAGAATTTTGAACCTATGTGAGGTTCCAAACATTTACAAATTTCTGAGTTTCCAAGACTTCAGAAAATCATGAGAATCACTTCCCTAAGATGATGATTATTTTGCCAAGATACACACACATGAACATACACACACATACACCTGCCTTGATGTTCACCCACTCTGGCTTGTTGGGGCAGAACCCAGACAGGAGCCAGCCCGGTCATATGGCCCATGGGCTCATTTTGCTATCGCCCCGCCCCCACCTGCAGAGCCTCACCACCACCGAGCGGTTCACCACACCCCTCCACCACACCCCTCCAAGAACTTACATCAAAGGAATGGGCAAAGGCAGAGGCCAGTTTGACACTGATCCTGGTGGAGAGAAGAGAGAGGTTAAGGTGCCCTGTCTCCCACCACACCTGCTGGGCAGTTCTCTGCCCACCCCACCTTCAGCCTGCCCTGCCCCTAGGAGTCCAGCATCAGAGAACAGGGGTAGGCCCAGCTCTGCCTCTATCTGGCCCCAATCAACAACAGCCCGCCCACTTATAAAATGGATGTGGAGGCACCTAACCTCCCGCCGAGATACCATGACTGCCATCTTTGACTCCATGGCCCTCGAGCCCCATGCTGACCCCTGAGACAAGCAGCTGGTCCTCTCTGAGGAGCAGGCCCCATAGACCGAGCACTGGACACAGCGCCCTGCACGCAGCAGGTGCTCTCTGAAGACAATACTACCCATGGCCCACAGGAGCCCACATGCAGGTTGGGGCTGGAGCTCAGCACACATCTTTTTTCCAGAGGGTTGAGGCATGAACTGCCATCAGGATGGGGAGACAAACCCAGGCAGCAGGCAAAGCCTTTTTATCAAGGTTAGAAATGGGGCAGCAGTGAGCAGTTGTAGCCTAAGGGGGCTGAGGGTCACACTAAAGTGGGGTCAGGCAAGCACTGGGTGCCTACGGCTCAGGACAGGCAGGTCCCAGAGATCCGTGAGACAGCCCCTGTGTCCAGGGGAGGGACAGGCAGGCCGCAGCCCTGGGTCATGATGAGAGTCCTGGGTCAGGAGAAAGAGAGGCCCAGACTGCAGACCTGCTTCCAGGGGTAGGTGCCATGCATATGTAAGGAAGGAGGTCATCAACATCACCATCTTAGTTATTTTTATCATGAGTCCCAGTTACCCTAGGGACAGGCAGTTAGAGAAAGAACCAGTCCCGGCAAATACAGCACTTTACAGCAGCCAAGGGCTGTCGTGCCGGGGGCTAGCCTCTGCGCCGGATTCAGGACTTTGGGCCCTCATCTCAGCAGCAGGTTTATCTCCGGGGCAGCCTCTGAGCCAGTGCAGTGGACCAGGCCACTAGAGAGTCTGCACCTCCGAGCACCAGGGGCCTCATCTTTAAAATGGGCTGAACTCACACCCTATCCGGCAGCTCCTGGAAGATGCTGGTAAAACATCTCGTTGGTGCCCAATTAGAGGGAGGAGGCTCCTGTCAGTCCCTAATTCTTGTTCCTAAAACTAAGGCCAGGATCCCCATTACCGTTCCAGGGACAGGGTGAGGTGCAGCTTGGTAGCCGAGGGAGACAGCTGGGCAGTTAAAGTCATAACCTGCATGGGAAAAGCAGAAAGAGGTTACCCTGGATTTGACAGAAGGCGCCTTAGCCGACAGGTGAATTTCTATCACCTGCTCCCTCTGCTGACCCTTATCTGGCCTGACTGGGTGTTAGGCTGTGAGGAAGTCACTGGAAGGTTCTAGTGCTCCACAACCAGAGTATTCAAATTGAGGCTGATCAGCATTGTGTGAGAGGAAGTTCTGGGGTTAAGGGGAGGTCTCTTAACCCAGCTTGCAGTTGGATGAAGGACAGCTTCCCCGATGAGATGAGCATGAGGAACTAGCCTAAGCAGGGGGCAACCGCACACCAGGTGTGGACCCCTCATGAACCATGACAGGGAATCTGGTCTCCCTGAGCAACCGAGGCTTAGTGCTCAAGGATGGGAAAGGAGGCATTGAATCCCAGGGCTTGGGAGCCAGGGCACAGTGAGAAGGGAGAGGACCCACCTCTGCCCGGATGTATGTCTGGGGGAAAGTACTAGAGGTGGGGGAGAGGCAGCAGACTAGAGGTGGGGTCTGGGAGGAAGCTGGAGTAATCCCCAGCCCAGAGCTACCTGAGCACAGAGATGGAGACATGGGGACATGTGGAGATGGAGGATCGGTCACCCCAAGGAAGCAGAGCAGACAGGTCTGGGGTGGGGACAGATGAGCATTGAGGGAGCAGACCAGAGTCTACGAGGGTACTCAGGTCTCAGCGCAGGTGATGACTCCCTGTGCTATGCATGCGGGGCTTTCCACCCTGAATGTGGGGGAGAAGGGAGAACAGGGATATACCGTCTGCAGTCCGGAGAGGGTCTACCCTGCTCAGAACCCCAGTGCTGGGCTTCCCACTCACCCCGCTCAGGTCAAAGAGGGCTTCCGGGGTCTCCTTCTGCTGGTAGGACTGCACGTGGATGGTTGCTGGGATGGAGACTGTGGCCTTCTTGTTCTGGAGTGTGATGGTGGGCGCTTCTTTCACCCGCAGAGAGAGCAGGAGGTTCTTGCCTGGGGTCAACTTCCCCAGGGCCTGAAGAGAGGTAGGGGCAGAACAAAGGGCATGAGGGCAGCCTGGATGCCCCAGTAATGGAAATAAGCAACAAACACTCATGGACCCCCCCGATGGTGGTCCATGTAGGGGACTGGGGTTACAGCCTGCACCAGACAGGCCTGGTCTCAGCCCGAGTAGGCTGACAGGCAGATGAAGAGACACGAAACCGTGGAACAAACCTGATCAGATTCTTGTCTTCCTCAAAGCCAAAAATCTACCCTGAGGCACAAAGGCCTTACATGACCCATCCTCTGTCCTTGTCTCTTCTTACCTCCTTCCACTGCCCTCCTCATTCTCCCCTTTCCATTGGCCCCTCTGCTGCTCCTCCAGCATGCCAGTCACTTCACCTCAGGGCCTTTGCAGGTACTGTTCCCTCTGCCTGGCAATTTCATCTCAATACATATATGGTTCCCTCCCTCATCTCCTTCAGATTTCTGCTCAAATGTCACCTTCTCAGTGAGGTCTCTGCAGAGCATCTTTTTAAAGGACACTAACCCTGTGCTCCTAACCCCACTCAGGTTGAAGAGAGCTTTGACCCAACTTAGCGCCTCTATTCTTCTCCACCTTCTGATCCTGTGTGAGTTCTGCCTGCTTATTCGTTCAATGTCTATTATCCCCACCAGAATGGCAGCTCCTAGAGCACAAAGGCCTCTGTCTGCTTTTTACCTTTTCCTTTTGCTGCACACTCAGCACCTGGCACAGAGCCTGGTAGAGAGTAGACACTCAGTGAATTTCAGTTGACTGACTGAATGATCATGCAATCAGGAACTTCTGAATCTTGTAATCATGACTTCAGAGAACAATGTCAGTCACAGAAGCTTAGAACTCTGGGGTCCAACTTCTCAAGTCAGACTCCAAAAGGACAGGAAATCACCAGATTTCTCATGGGGGAGAACAAAAGCTTCCACCTCTAGAGATAGACCCAGCCTCCCCAGGCTAGAGGGACACAGCCTGACTGCTATATCTGTGGTCCCCTGCTGCTGCCCCCTCCACCACCTGACCCTTAGGAGTGTCTTCTGGATGTCTAGCCCCAATCCCATCCCCGACCTGAGATTCCCATGCTCTTTAGCTAAGGACCCCATGAAGGAGAGGCCCCAACCCCACCACTAATGTTGATTTGAATTATTACCTTAAAGGATTCATAGCAGGTATCCCTTGAACCCACAAACTCAATAGCCCCCTCCATTCTGTAGAAATCTGGACCTTCTTAGCCTCTTTCCATCCTCTATCAGATTCTATTGTTATACAAGGACCTTGGAGTAGTCACTTCAATTTCAGTGAATTGAAATTCTCACAACTGGGAAGTTGCTGTTCACCCCCAATTGAATGGAAAACTGATATCAGGTTTTTAAGTCATGCTCTGATGCCCATTAGTCAAACATCCCTGAATATTTTCACTTCCCTTCCCTCCCCAAAGCCAGTGCTCTGAGTCTTCTCTCTAGAAACAGAAAAGACCATGACCAAGATGGAGTAAGGAGGTAGAGAGAAGTGGCTCAGTATCCTGGAGAGAATCTCCTATTTTTTGCTTGATAGAGAAACAACAACCACAGGACAAATGCCCATTGACTTCTGGGGCAGTTAAACCCTGGCCCTCTCCTCTCTAAGCAAAATCTGCTAACAGGAAAGGATGCAATGTTAGTCATTTACACTTTAGTGTGAAATTGGACTCTACATTCAATCACAGTTATCTTGAGAGTTGTGTTGAGAGATTCAGGAGTCTATTCAGGCTCATTCAGAAAGAACTACAGTGATCAAAGCCCATGAGAAAGTTACTCACCTCAGGGACCAAATTCGCCAGCTCTGTAGTTGTCAATGGAATATTGCTGGGAACCTGGACCCAAGACCAAATTTAGGAGAGGAAGTGAATAAAGAGACAGATCAGGGATCCCTCAGTCCACACAAAGCAACTTTGTCCATACCCAGTCCCACCACCACCAATTACATACACACAAGTGCTCCTTTTAATGGTCACTGCTCACTAAGGGTTTCCTACAAGCCAGACAGATACACACTAAAGGTTTTGCATGCTTTTGCTCACTTCACCTTTACAACAGTTCAAAGTGGTGGGTGCTAGGATGGCTCCCATTTTACAGATAGGGAACCTGAGACTCCTGCCCAGGACGATGAGCTGGTAGGTGGTGGCAGCAGCTCTTGACCTGAGCAGACTAATTCCAGAACTTTAAAACCAATCTTTCAGAGCTCTCAGTCTGAACACCCCTGGATCGGACTGCAGATGTTTTTGCCTTTTACCCAAATAGCATATGCAAATTCTATGGATTTAGTTCCAGTATTTACAAATCAGAAATTTTTGTATGAATTTGCCACTTTCCAGCTAAAAAAATAGGAAAATCTGGTCACCCTGGGCTTGTACTCCCATCCTTTGTGGAAGCTGAATGGAAGCTGCCCGAGAAATGAGACACAGGCTCCCCCAGCTCATTACAGTCTGACCAGCCTGGCTTCCTCGCTTCTGCTAACCCTGGTGGCAATGTGGGCACAGAGACTGGGACAGCATAGAGACAAAGGCTGCAGCCTCCAGAGACAGGTCCAGCCCCCTCACACTAGTGTTTGAGATCCCTGAACTACACATGTCCTCCTCAGGACAGACCTGTTCACCCAGGACAGGCATACTGGTACACTCTTTCCTGCTCGTAAAGATTCCCAGACACACCCAACACACAGCTAATGCCATGGCTGAACAGCATTAGGTTGTGGACTTTAATGTCCTACTTTCTTTCACATATGCACACACACACACACACAAACACTGTTCCGACACACATTCTCACTCTCAAAAGCCTCTGCCTGACTATAACTGTCCCCTCCCCTGCAACTAGAAGACACCTGCCCCTCAGTCCCTGTTCCAAACTTCTCCTCCCCGACCCTCCAGGTAAGAGAGTACTCTCTGGACCCCACCTGCAGGAAGTGAGTGATCAAACTTTTTAGGCAGAGAGCCCAGGTAGCTCAAAGCTCACTGCCTTTGAAGAGAGCTGAGACTAAGGAAATGCCTCTGGGTTAGGCCTCTGGATGCTGGGATTTTTAGAATCTGTGAGGGGTTAAAAGATGTCAGAATGAAAGCAAAGAAGTCTCAAAAGCTTCAGAACAAGTATCCAAGTGACCTCTGGTATAGCTCAATCCTAGTGTTTTTCTCTCCAATTCAAATCTGCTCTTGAGAAAGTAGTGGGAATGTTAGCCATTCACACTTTAGTATAAATTGGACTCTGACTCTAGAAGGGCCCATCTGGTGCAAGCTGACAAGTTACCTACATTTCACATGCTATTTCTGACCAATTAAAAGTAAATTCCTGGAGTGTCATATTGAGAAGAATCCAGAATTTCCAATAAAAGGCCATTATTAATAGCAATATCTACCACAAGGACAAGAGTAGGCATGTACACATTCAACTCTATCAATTCTCTCTAGAAGAAGAGCGCTTGTCAAGACTGATCAGTGGTGATGTGGCTAGGTCATCACTAGCACTGTCAAGCTGCAGTGGGGGAGGGTGCTGTGCTTACCTGCTCAGGGGTGATGTCTATGTCGAGGGCACCATTGGTCTGCAGAAGTCCAAACACAGTATTGAAGAGGTACAGAGGTACAGTCACTTGGGATGTGTGGTCCTGCTTGGGGGGCACCTTGACTGGGACGTGGGCCTTGGGGAAGTCGATGATGTCACCAGCTATGTTCTTCACAATTGGCTGAGGGGGAAAGGACACACAATGAGAAGGCCACAGGGTAGCTTGGCCACCTGGCTTTGAGCCCACAGCCCCTTGCCAGCCTCCACCATACCCCCCTCCACCTTCCAGCTGTGGGCAGGGCCTTGGGGAGGACTCACATTGATGTCCAGTTCTATGTACTGGTTAGAGATGAGTGGCAGTGTTGCCAGAGTGAATTCCACGGACCCAAGACCCCCAAGGGGCACCAGGCCTGCATGGGGAGAGGAGGAGGGAGAAAAACCCCATGAGCTTAGGGTACTATATTGAGTGACTAGTACTCTCCTAAGTATCTACCAAGGCACTACTGTCATCCCCACTTTACAGATAAGGAAACTGAGGCTCAGACAGAGGCAGTTCACAAGGAGAGACAACCAGCAGGGGTCCAAGTCAGGGTCCTGCTTCCAGAGCAAAAGGTGCTGACCACGCTGCCGCCTGACTCTTTCACATGGGCCACGTACTGAGACACCTTTGCTCCACGTTTTCCATCCTTTCCACACTCTTCAAAGTCCTTTTTTTGGCAATAAAGGTTTCTTTCTTTCTTTTTTTTTTTTTTTAAGATTTATTTATTTAAATATTTATACGAGCACTGGGTATAGTCAGAAGTGCAGGAGGGTGAGAGAATTCACCAGAGCCAGAGCGGGGAGCAGAGCAGGCAGAAGGACCGAGGTACACTGCTGAGGGGAGCAGCGGGCGGCAGGAGAGGTCTGCGCGCCATGTGGGACCCTCCTCCGGTGGCCAGGGAGCAGCCGGGGATCGAACCGGCGCTGCAGAGGCTGCGGGCAGCTTCGCAACCCAGCGCTCAACCGCTGCGCCACCAGGGAGGCCCCTTCAAAGTCCTTTTGTGAACATAAAAGGCTGCCATGTTTCCATGAGGCTTAGAGAGACCGGGAGCCGCTATGTTCTGGGGGCTTGGCTTCCTCACTTAAGTTCTCTTGGCCTTGGGCATTTTGTCTGTCCAGATAATAGCTATGTCTGCCTCATGTTTGACTGAGCCAGACACACCTCATGTGAGCTGTGCGTGGCCGGAGGCCCCCGGAGATGGAGACTGGATGGTTCTGAGGCTCCAGGCCCCTCTGAGGGGCATCAGCCCACATCTCACCACTAGACCACCTTCTCCTCTGTCTGGAGAGGAAGTGAAAGGTCCAGAATTCTGCCGTTCCTGCTTCCCTCGGTACCAGCTCCTCATTGGGGAGCAAGGGGTGAGAGAAGGAGCAAAGAGAAGTAGGGTGAACCCCGACTTACACAGCACAGCCCCCAGGAGCTCATTCACCACGCCCAGCACAGTGTCCACCACAGGGCACAGCTGTAGCGGGAGAACACGGATGTTACAGGAGAAGGAGAATTGGGCTCTAGCCTGGCACAGGGACACTGCACTGTCTTTAGATGTTTTGCTACGTGATCCCAGGATTGGGGGGCACACAGGGAGGCGTCCAGGGAGGGCCTGGAGCTTGAAATGTCAAAGCGCAGATTGGATGACGGAGGCCAGCTACAGGATCCTTGTCAGAAAACCTTTAAGGATGCTAGGGAGACACTCCAGAGTCTAGCTGGGGGAGTCGGAACAGGCCTTGCCCCGAGAAGACGAAGGCAGCTCTTTCCTCGGAGGCCTTGGGGCCCTGCCATCCAGGTGGACAGCCCTGCAGAGGGGCGCCCCTTCCCTCCACCAAAGTCAGGCCTGTGCCCCAGGGAGTGCACTGCTGCATGTTTACTAAAACCCCTGTGCTGTGAGAACAGGGAGCAAACGGTTTGGCTTCCAGAATCTTAAGTCTGGGAACCACAGATTCTGAGTCCTACAGCCCAAGGGAGCAGGCTGGGCCCCCTCCACCTCCAGGGCGTCTAAGGTCAGGCGTGTCACAGAAGAGAGGAGGAAACCAGACGTGCTGAGATGGGCGGGGAGCAGCCCCCTCGGCGCCAGACCCAGCTGACCTTCGGAAGGAGGCGCCTGCCCCCCACCCGGGTGGCCAGTTGCGCAAAGGAAACCAGAAATCAGATTGTTAAGAGAAATCGCCAATCTCTAAATGTAATTAACTCTTATTTTTAAAACCTCTTCGAGTCACACAAAGCCTGTCCTGTAGCCAAGTGATTTGGTTAGGAAAATATTGGGGGGCTCGTGAGCTTCCCTTTTTGCTCTGAGCTTCTTTTCTGAGTGGCTCCTTCAAGGTCAGGGCAGGGTCACCCACCCCAGGCCCCCAGGCCCTTGCCACCTCCACAGATGTGCTTCACAAGAGCGGTCTGCCAGGACTGGGGATCAGTCCTTTGGCTTTGCTGATTGTGTGACCCCGGAAAACGCTTTCCCTCTTCTGCATCAATGAAATGGACCTTTGGTTAGATCATTTTTTCCCAAATGTGGCTCATATGCCCTGGGCAAAGCCCGGATGGCCTGAGCAGCCACAGACAAGCAACCTTGATGAGATTCATCAGAAGGTGCTTCTTAGAACATCCTACGATATAGACCTGGGCTTCTGCGGACAAGACTGCCAGGCACAGGACTCAGTTTAAAACCTCTGGGTGTCCCAACTCTTCATTAAAAACTGGTTTTAAGTCAATAATAATATAAGTGGCAAAGACAGAGCAAGAGGTTAGAAAGGGACTCAGATCTGGGGGCAGGGAGTCGCCTGCTCAGGACCGGGGATGGATGTGCTGTTCCACCTACACGCTAGCAGGTGGCTCCTGGAGGTGTGGGCAGGCCAGGATGGGATTACCTGGTAGGTGTGGAAAGGAAGAACCGCCTAATCCTCCTGGCGCCCAGATTTACTCAAAGCTGGGGACATTTTACTCCTCCCAGGGGGAGGGCTGTGCCTGACCCGAGGCCCTCACACTCACCAGTCCCGGCAGCACCTTGAAGAGTGTCTGTTCCACGATCCCAAAGAGCGGTGCAGGCAGCAGCCTGGGCAGAGTGAGACGCATGAGTGAGATGCCACCGCCAGGTGGGGGGCAACTCCACCCAAATGACTGGACAGGGTGGGCACTTGGGGCTCTGGATAATTCATGGCTCTTCTCTGGGACTCTGGAGACCTGGGCTTAAATCTTGACTCTGTCTTGCCATGGGATCCAAGAGACATTTTCATTTCCCCATCTATTTGAGGTGCACCTTAGAGAATTATTGCTGCCAAGATTAAATCGGCGTGTACACGTGTCTGCTCCTTTTTTCTACTCCAACATCTATGGACAACTGGCATTAGATCCTAGAACTACGCCTGACTTAGAGTAAGAGCTCAATAAATATCCTTTGGATGAATGAATGATGAATATTTGTTAAACGAATGACTAAATCAGAGTGTGGTCTGAAGATGAGAGATGCATGGAGGTGAGCTCGGCCTGTCTGGGAACTATGTGGGGACAGAGGGAGGGGTAGCCACCACAGACCCACACACTGGCCACCAGGTCATTCTGGCCTCTGCTCCCCCAAGGCCCCTCCCACTCAGAGGAGCAAGATGGAATGGAATGGAGACCAAAGACAAGACACCACCTAGAATCCCTTTTCAAGGTCTTTCTGAAGACAGGAGCAAGCCTGGCTCACCCTATTTCTGGAGCTAACAAAGAGCTGTCCAATCACCCATCACCACTGGGGCCACCCAACAAAGATGGGGTGAGGGTATGGGATTCAGGCTGGAATGTTCAAATTCTGGGGGAGGTACAAAGAGGCCAGAGAGGGGGTGAGTGCCACTGGGAGCACCACTGGGAAGGGGACTTGGAGTGAGTTCATGTCGTGGGGTGCTGGGGAAATCCTCAGCTCTGAGTGCAGACGCCGGCGCATCTCTATCCCTGCCTCAATCTAAGTGTGACCTTGGGCAAGTCACTTGCCTTGGCTGGGCCTCCATTGTCCCATGGAAGTGATGCATGGAGGGCCATGGTTTCCTGAGCAGATGGGGGGAGAGGTGGGTAGGAGAGTGCACAGGCCTTACGGAGCATCAATTTAAGGCCTCATTATACATATGGAGACGCCGAGGCCCAGGCAAGGGAAGGAGTTCCCTTGGCATCGCAGCATGTCAGGGCAGAGCTGAGTTTCTGATGTGCTGAGAACAGGGACTGAGGTACCCAAGGGTGGAGGGACCATGGAGGGTGGCTGTCCTAGCTGGGCAGGGGGACTGGCAGGATCGCAGGGGTGCCCAGGAGTGGGGGGACAAGCTCCAGCTGGGGCAGAGCTCCTGTTGCTGGTTGTGCTCTGTCAGTCGGCGTGGGGAAGGGAGGGGGAGGCAACGTGAGTTCAGGTCCAGCCTAGCCAGCCACTCCCAGGGACCCAGGAAATGCCCAGTGCAGAGTCGTGGGCCAGCCAGGAGCACCCCGCACAGCTGAGCCCGCGGACTCACCCCGAGAGAAGACTGATGTGTCCCAGGATGGTGCTACAGCGCTTGAGGATGAGGATGGGCGTACCCCGCGGGCTCATGCCCAGCGCCACCCGCGAAGACACGTTCACCTCGGCTGCCAGCTGCAGGAGGCCCCCCAGGGGGCTACAGGACGAGATGTTGGGAATGTGGCTAGGCTGCCAGGGCTCACCCTCCAGGACCACCTCAGCCATACCCACTCCAGGGTCAATGGGGCCTTGAAGGACTAATGGGGTGGCCCTGCAAATGGCCTAGTCCCCATGCCCTCCTCTCACCCCTGCCCCACTCTGTACATTCCCTCCCCGCCTCCACCCCAGTGAGTATCAGCAATGGGCTAGGGGTCTCCAGAGAGAGTGAGGTGAAAGTTCTTGGGGTTCAGTGGGATGGAGGTCCCTGGGTGGGGAGTAGGGCCGTAAGGTGGGAGTCACTTTAAAGGAAATAAGTTGAGAGTAAGGAACTAGGGGATAGTGAGGTGGAAGAAGAGCAGGGCAGGGGTCCCCAATAGGGCAGTGGGTGGAATGGAGAGCAGGAGGGTAGAGGTCTCCAGGGGTATACTCACCCAGAACCATGCAGGCCCACCTTGGTGTGCAGGCCCAGCTGCACCCCAATCCCCGGCAGCAGCTTCAGCGACACTGTCGGCAGAGTGAGTTCTTCGATCTTCAGGCTGGGATGGTTGTTGAGAAGAGACCACTGACCCCCAGATACTCCCAGGGCTAGTCACTCCATGCGGGGCCATCCCAGATCAGGCACTGGCTGAGATCTAGAGCCTCCATCCCACCTCTAACCATAAAACCAACTGTGGAGCCAGATATTTCACCTTTCTGCTCTCAGTTTCTTCATCTGTGAAGTGGGGCGATGCAAGGACCAGCTCAGGGGGATGTTATAAAGACAAGTGAGCTGGGCAGGTGCAGAAGCTGGAGTGGCCTGTGCTCATGAAATGTGATCTCTTCATCAGAGACTCAATGAAGAGTGTTCTTCCCACTCCATCCCCTTGGCCTCACCCCTATGAGTCTGTCGCTAGCCTGTGGCTTCACTGTCCCTCCATTAACACCCCCCAGGGTCATGCATAGGCAGCCCAAGAAGTTCACAAAAACAACTCCCCACGCTTAATTAATTTCTCTGTCCTCTGGGCTTTTGTGCAGGCTGTTCCTGCCATCTGGAATGCCCTTCCTTTCATTTTCCTTCCACTCTGCATCCACCTTCAGCTGCCTGACTCCTCTTGGCACTTCTGATTTCATCTAGGACCTCCACACCTCCAGGAAGCCCTTCTTTCAGCTTCTCCAACTCAGGGAAATGCCCTCCTCTGAGCAGCTCTCCTGCCCTGCCTGGGTTGGCTCCACCACTTCCCCGAGCTCATGGGATTCTCTCCGTTGGGCTCTGCCCCATGCACGGGGTTCTTGAAGCAAGGCCAGTGTCTGGCTCATGTCTAAGTGCCAGCCCCACCCAGCAGGGGAATTCTGCAGCGGGAGGGGGACCAGATCCATTAATAAGAGTAATAGTTGATATTTTTTGAGCATTTACTGTGTGCCAGGCTCTATTTTTGTTGCTCGACAGTGTCCTGGCAACAGCCCACAAGTAGCCGCTCACAGGGTTGCAGTAAAAAGCCTGGCGGTTCAGATTCTAGCTCTACCGCTAGTGGACTGTGTCGCCTTTGACAAGTCGTGCTGCTGCTCAGTAACTCAGTTTCCCCATCTGTACAATAAAGATGCTGACACCACCTACTGCAGAGGGGCACATGGTTAACCACAACCAGTGTCAGCCCTTTCCAGTTCTCCTCCTGTACATCTGTTTGCTGCTTGGGTGTGGGGGGTGGGCATCCATCCCCCCTTCTTCTGCTCCCAGCAGAAGTGACCTTTCCTCATACCCCAGCTCCTGGTCTCAAGCTTTCCTTGGGGTTTGTTATTTCACCTTCCTCTCATCACACCAGCCCTGGACCAGGTCCTGCCAGCCTGGGGCAGACAACATGGCCTGTGATTAAACACTCAGCACCACACCCCCTCAACTACCACCACTCTCTAGCTGGGTGAGCGCAGGTGGTCCCTTCACTGCCCGGGGCCTCAATCTCCTTACCTGTTAAATGAAGTTGATAATAGTCCCACCTCTGGATTCCATGAGATTCAATTATGACACTCAGCACAGTGCCAGCCACACAGAAAACCCTGGCTAGGTGGTTATTAAGTTACAGATTTTCATTTATTCTAAAATATTTTTGAGCATCTATTACTTGTCAGGCGCTATTTATGATTACGGGGGATAGTGAACAAGCCAGACAGAAGTCCTAGCCCTCCTGAAGTTTATAATCTAGCAGAGGAAACAAGAAACAAACCAGTAAAATATATGGCGTGAACTTGAAGGCAGGGAGGGGATAAGGAGGAGCTAGTGAGAGCGGGGCTCTTTGAAGCAGACACCTGAAGGCGAGGCGGGCGGGAGCCAGGCAGCTGTCTGGATTAGCCCAGAGAGACTGAGAAATGCGCCCCAGGTCACACGGTGGACGAACGGGACTCAACCCCAGAACTGGAATCCTCAACCACAGGGGATGCTGTCTTCCCTGCAGACTCTGTCCTGGACTCCCTAACCCCATGCCACTCCCTCTGCCTGACAACAAACTAAAAAGAGTAGATGTCTCCTTTACTTCCTGAAGCAAAGACCAGCCTTCCTATAGTGAGTGCAGTCGGAGAGTAGTCAAAAAACCATGCTGCTGGTACTCACCCCGAGAGCTCCTCAACAACACCAAAAATCCCTCCATAACTCAGCAGGCCACCTCCTCCGAGCAGTCCCCCAGAGCCCAGGAGGCCCTGGTTCACCGATGTGACCGACCCCAAAACATTTTGCAGAATTGGTCCCCCGACCAGTGAGTTCTGAATGGCTGCAGAGAAGGGGAGAGGAGGCAAGTTCATTTTACGGATGAGGAATTAGGGCCCAGAGAGGTCAGAAACTTGCCCAAAGTCGCACAGCAAATTGGAGTCAACTGTATGACTGGGACTCCTGGTCTAGGCCTCCATATAACACCAAAAGGGAGAGCAGAAGCAAAGGCCTGGGAGCACACAGCCGCCGGGACTCTATCAAGATGGAGGGGCAGGGCCTCCCCTGGTGGCGCCAGCGGTTGAGCACAGCACTATGAAGCTGTCTGCAGCCTCTGCAGCGCCGGTTTGATCCCGGCCAGTCGGCGAGGGTCCCACATGGCGTGGCAGACCTCTCCTGGCTCGCCCGCTGCTCCCCTCAGCAGTGTATTTCATCAGTCTGCCTGTTCTGCACCCTACTCTGTCTCTGGTGAATCTTCTCGCCCACCCGCGCATCTGGCCTGTACCTCAGTTCTTGTATAAATAAATAAATCAATCTTAAAAAAAAAAAAGATGGAGGAGACAACTTCCATTCCTCTTGGGCACCCCTGGCTGACGGTGCAAGTGTAAGGATAAGATGGAAGAGGTGCCTCCTAGAGGCTGGAACAGGCCAGGGTAGCCTCCTACCTGCTATTCTCCACATTTCTCCTCTGTCCCTGAGACTGTTACCCTAAGCTGCTGGGTCCGGGAGCACCAAATGCATGCTAGAGTTTCCTAGCCAGAAAAGTGAGGCTGCCAGCAGCCTCCCCTGCCCCATCCATCCCCCACCCGGAGGCAGACACAGCCCCCACAGGACCTCACCCCCAGGAAAGCCCTCTCCATGCAAACCTGAGCCCCATATCACTCAGCCCACTTCTTGCAAGTGATCACCCATTGGAGCCTGCCAGCAAACTGTCAACCCCCTGAAGAGACGCAGCTTCTCCCGGTGTCCCAGGGACCTACTCTCTGCGCAGTTGAGAGCTGCAAATTGCTCTCATCTGCTCCCGCAAGCAGATCCTCGATCTACTGGGGTGGGGCCATTTACACTGCAGCAGGCCCCCTCGCAGACCAACCTCCACTTACCTTTGCCGAGTTCATCCTTGTCAATCCGAGCAAGCGTGCCTACTGCCTCGAGCAGCCCCTGGCATGGAGTCACCAGACCCCCGAGGAGAAGCAGGGACCACAAGCCCAACATCGTCGGTGCACACCTGTGAGAGAAACAGGAACTCCGAGGCGCTCCTTGGATCCCCCTGTGTGCCTCACCAACCTGCAGCCCCCCCCCAGACCTCCGCAGCCCACCTACCAGCTTCACCCCCAGGAAAGCCCTCTCCATGCAAACCTGAGCCCCGGTTGACACTCGCACAGCCCAGCATAGCGTCCAGCATGCTCTGCAGGCTCCAGGGCACATCCCGAGCCACTCTCTCATTGAGCCCCATTTCACAGGTGGGAAAACTGAGGCCAATTGCCAGGAGGGGACCCAACAGAGGCCGCAGAGTCCATCAGTGCCAGGGCCAGAATTCAAGCCCCGGTCCAGCTGACTTAAAAGTCTTAGTCCTCTGTCGCCCCAGTGAGTCTGGGCTGGTCTCTGGAAGGCACGTACAGAGGGGCCTCCCCTTCCGGGACAGGATGGGAGTTCTGTTTCCTGGATCTGCTTTCCCCTTGGCTCATGAGGCCATTTCAGAAGGTGTGGCTGATCGGAGACGTCCAACATTTAGAATTACTATGTCCCATGTCTCTCTTCCTCCTCCGCCCCCATTGAGTGATGTTGAAAGGAATGAGATGGCAGGTGGCTAGCTTACGAGTTTCAGAGAATAGGATTTTCTTTATGGAAGTCCATATCCGCCCACCCCATCACACAGCCATCTATCCCCTCATGTCATCGCCATTTAAATCCTTCAGCGGCTCCCCACTCTGCCCTTGAGATAGAACCCAGGTCCCTTTCCGCTCACGAGGTCCCGGCTTGCCACTTTGACCTCCTGACTCTTAAACAAGGCCAGCCCCTCCCCCATCTCAGGGCCTTTGCACATGCTGCTGCTTCTGTTAGGATGGTTCTTCCTCTGGTTCTTTGTATGATCAACTCCTTATCCTTCAGGTTCTAGATAACTGTCACCTGCTTGGAATGATCTCCCACCTTGCCCTTATCTAGAGAAGCCTTCCCCTAAACATCACCCAGAATATTTATTTTAAGGCACTCATCAAAATTTGCAATTATGCACTATGTAGTTGTGTCCTTGATTGCCATCTCTGCATTCTCCATGAGGGCAGGGGCTGTGGTGAGGGTCTCCGTGCATGGTTGTGTGCTGGAGGGGCTGCCTGCTGAGTGGGCAAGAGGGGATGGAAATCCAGCCACTCCACTCGCCAACTATTTGCCCTGGCAAAGCCCATGTCTGCCCAGAGGGTAGCTTTTCCTCCTTGTGCAGATACACGGAGGTGCCATATGATCTAGCAACAGTCTTGGCAGTGTCTGTCTGCTTTCCCGAGGTACATCCCAGAGTGACTCCCTGTGACCCCTGGGGTCTCTCACAGAAATACTCCCACAATGGGAAACCAGCTGGTTTCTGTGGCACAGACAAAAATAGGCAGCCCTGGAGCCTGGTCCAGGGGACCATTCTGTCCTCAGCCCACCCATCCTTGCCTTTGTGCCTCTTTGGGTCCCAGTTTTTCCATCTGTAAAATGAACTTTCTCTCCCATCACCTGCTAAGTATCCTCCTGCCCTCCTAAGGCAAATTTTTCTGTGCCCGTTATTCAGATGAGAGAGCAGGATGGCCAATGGTTGGGGATCTGGACAAGGTCGTGGCTGCCACAGGCTGCCTTACCGGCTTCTGCAGCTCCACAAGGGGTGGGTGGGGGCTCCCGGCCTCCTGTTGGCTCCTCCACTCACTCGGGCCTGGGGCTGGCCCTTATATGCCCGCACAGCTCTGGGGACACAAAGGGGGCACGGACGCCAGAAACCCGTCAATGTGTCATGTCACGAACAAATTGCGGTTTTCCTGCGGCCCTAGGCTAAGCCTTCCTTCTGGGGGGAGAGAGAAGGGGAAGTGGGGGGGGGGTGCTGGGGTCAGTGCCCAGGGGCGGGAGTGAGGGCACGGGGCACGCAGAGGCAACCACCTCTCGCGGAGCTGGAGGCGGGGTGGGGATTTCCGCTCACCTATAGGGTCTCACTCCAGCATTCCCCAAGGGCCATCCCAATGGCACAGAATCTACCCTGACTGCTCCTACTCCCAACTAAGACTCAGGAAGTGAAGGAAGGAGCTTAAGGGTGCAGTCTTCTGACCCTCTGCCACCCCCACTCCAGGCCTGGCATGGAGATGGCCGTGAGCCCTGGAGAGAGGAATTCTGGGCCCACCTAGGGAAGGGACACCGATGCTGCCCCATGGCCAAGGCCTGGCAGGTCCAGGGCTCCAGAGCGGGCTGCTCTGTCTCCTTCCAAGGCTGGTCCAGATGATGGTGGAGAAAACTTCATTCCTGCGTCATTCCTCTGCAGCAGGCGCTGTGGAACACCTACTCTTTGCTGGAGATACAGCCAGAAACAAAAGGAGCAAAGTCCCGCCTGGAGGGAGATGACCAGCAGAAATAAAATGCTGTGAAAACATTTTCATAGACACATTTTTTAAAAAAAGTAAAAAGAAATGAGTGAAATTAATTTTAATAGTATTGTTTATTTCATCTGATCTGTCTAAAACGTATCATTAACCTACAAGCAATATATGATTATCAATGAGATACTCGACATCTTCTTTCATACTAAATCTATGAAATCCACTGGCTTCCCGCTAAACTTAGACTCGCCACATTTCAAGAGCTCAGTCGCCCCATGTGGCCACAGGCCATTGTATTGGACAGCACGGCTCTGGACAGAGCAGGTCAGCACATGCTACAGCAAGTCAAAGGCTGATGACAAAGCAAGGAGGGGATTCAGGAGTAGAGAGAAGGGGTACACTTTCAATCTGGTGGTCAAGGAGGACTCATACTGGAGCCAGGGTGATGTTTGACCTGCAGGGGGAGAGGGAGTGAGCCAGGAAGATAACTGTGAAGAACCCACTGGGCAGAGGGAAGAGCGGGTGCAACGACCCTGGGGCAATATGTTCCAGGAATACCAGGAAGCCTGTCTGGTTGCAGGGAGGCATCAAGGGGGTGACTGACAGGTGCCGGTTACAGACTGACTTATTTTACAGTCCTTCTGCAGGTACTGGCTCAGACAACCCCTCCTCCAGGAAGCCTTCCTGACCCCCATATTGAGTAAGACACGGCTGCTGGGCTCCAACAGCCCCTGGCATGCCCTCTCCCAGAGTCTGAGACATGCTGGACTAGAACCGAACTTCTGGCATCTGGCGGTCTGTCTTCTAGATGGAGTCTGAGTGCCTGCCTTGGTGACATGGGGAGGAGGGGTGGTATTCTCCTCATTCACCTCCTGACCTCTGAGCCCTTCACCCTACAGCATTCATCCTGGTGACTTTAGACCCCGTTAGTCACCACACCACCGTTTTCACAAAATAAGCTTTTAATTGAAATATAAATCACATACAGATGAGGGCCTCGATCACAAGTAGGCTGGATGAATTTTCACAAATTGAGCCGTCCCTGCCAGTCACTGCCCTCCAGGTGACCAGTATCCTGACGGCTAACATGAGGGGCCAGTCCAGCTTGCTGTTGTGGAAATGGGATGGCTCGCGCCTGCTCTCGTGTGTGGCTTCCTTCACACTTTCATCTGTGAGTCATCTACACCATGAGAGCAGAGGGTTCTTCCTGCTCCGTTACGTGGCCGCGCCACTGTTGGCTTATCCATGCTCCTGTCTTAGCGGTACCGGGCCTTCCAGTTATTGGCTCATATGCATAAAGGGGCTCTGAATAGTCTCATCAGGTCTTTTTGTGGACACGGGTTTACCTTCCATTTCTCTTGGGTAATGGGAGAGGGAGGAGAGAGGAGGGCATCCTATGAGTGTGCATGCTCAGCTTGCCTCGGTGCTGCTACTCTTCTCCCTTCTGGCGCTGTTGTTGGCGCCCCCGCAGCCGTCAGGGAGGGTACCGCTGCCCGCATCTTCAGCAGCACGGGGCATTTTTAAGACGTTAGTTTGAGGGGTGGGGAGAGCAACAAGCATGTGCTGCGTGCAAGGCACTGACGGGTGTGAGATCATCCAGTTCCCGCAGGGCCTTACACTGAGCAGGCACCGGGACACTGCAAAGGGAGGCCACTGGCCTAGGAGTCCGGCCAGGCTGTCAAACTTTATCCAGCCCTCGCCATTTTGACCTCTCTGGGCCTGGCCTCTTGGAAGGGAGGAAATGCTTTCTAGTTTCTGGTCTGCCTTATTTTCCCCAATTCCTTCCAAACCCTACCCCAAGAAGACTTTAATGCAAAGCAGTTTCCCAGGCACCTGCAAAGCCCCTCATGCACCAAAGTTGAGTCAAGAACTGGACTTGATAGAGAAAGGGATTGGTTGAAATACAGATCTCACGGGCGCATCTCTGCAACCTTGACTCAACTGGCCACTGATGGAGAGCCTGCGAACTGGCATGTTTAATGAGCCTCCAGGGCCATCTGAAGTGCTTTCCTCTTGAGAGCCCGGGGGAGAATATAGGGAGCCAAGGAGGGGATTAGAGCAGAGAAGGGTCTTGATGAGGGAAAATATCCCTGGGCTTTAGCTCCTAGAGTGAAAGCTCTGGAGCCAGAATTCTTGGATTCAAATCCAAGAATTTAGGAACTTAGGGAATGACATGCCTTGAAGAACCACAATTTTCCCATCTGCAAAATGAGCTCTTAACACAAGTGTCCAAGGCATCTGGAAATGTAGCTGTGAGGACAGGCTCTTGGAATTGGACTTTAGGACATCAAGGAAGTAGGGAGAAATATCAAGAGTATCAGAGAAATTCAGGTGATGGCGAGATTCCTTGGAGGCCGTCCCAGAGATACCTGAGTTGAGAATGACTGGCAAGAGAGAGAGGGGTTGTGTGGTCTTCATTTCACAGGGTGGGCTGCCTGGAATTCCCCAGGAGCTCAATAGCTGTGGGCCCCAGATCAAAAACCTGTCTCTGCTCCCTACTAGCTCTGTGACCTTGAGTCAGTCACTTGCCCTATCCGGACCTCCGTTCCTTGAAAGGAGATGATGCATTCCGCTGCTGAGTGAGGTGTGAAGAAGTAAGGAGGACACTTGGATTCAGGCAGACGGGTTCAAATCCCAGCTGCACACGTACACATGTCCTTGGGCTGGTTGCTTCATCTCTGAGCCTCTACTTCCTTATTGAGGGTGGAGAGTCTTGGACCATGAGCAATGCCCATGGGCCCAGAACCTCCATCATTGCTTCCCCAGGGGGTCACTCACAGTACAGGGCACCCCTTGGCAGCCTATCCCCCATTTTCTTCCCAGCATCAATGCAGAGAATGTTGAAATGAAATTTGAGATCTAACCCATTTCCCAGATGGGGAAACCGAGGTCCGGAGGGGAAATGTGGTTTGTCCAGGAAGCTCAGCATGTGCCCCTGGTAGTGTCAAGATAAGAACTCAAGCCCCCTGACTCTAACAGCTTTGAGCCTTGGTTTCTCCTATCTGTGCCCAGGACCTAGCAAGAATGGCTGGGAGCTGTAGGTGGCCATGGGAGTGCTGTGTGCACATCCAAGGGCGGGACAGGGGGAGTGGAGAGGGCGTCTCTGGCATGCCTAGGGTCAGACATCAGTCACCCATGGATTACCCAGGCCTGCATATCTGCCAGGCCTGACTCAAGGGTGTCATTGTCCCAGGGCCTAGGCATGACGAGTGATGGGATTAGGGCTGACAGTGAGGGACAAGGGGACGGCCCTGGCATCCGGTAGAGGGGAGGGGTGAAGAGAGTCCTCCTTCTTCTGTGGCATGGGCCTGGGCCAGGCTGGGACTCGGGCCAAGCTGCCAGGGGCATATGGGCTCCAGGAGCACTGACCTTCTGGCCAGGCCTCTCTGACCACTCACAGACACCTGTGCTCAGACAGGGGCCCCTCCCCCTCACAGATGCACCCAGATCCCCCTCCCCAACATGGAATCAAAGACATTGTAACAGACGCACACACCACGTGGACATTTGGCCACCACCTTGATCATTTCCAGGGCTGGAGCACCTAGAAACCCCTGATAAACATTTTTCCCCAAAACTTACGGATGTATTTTTTATATAGTCCAGCAAATGATACTGATTTTCAGGGTCCCTTTATTTTAAAATGTGTTTTTTATTTAATGATAAATAATCATCCATTTATTTCTAAAAGGAGTCAATTTAAAGAATGGTGTTAGTGTCACTTCCAGGAGGGGTGATGGGGCAGATATGACAAAACCCAGCCGCTCCCCTGGGGCTGTCATCACTGAGCACTGAATGCATGCTACATACTTTCCTTGATTTATTCATTGAATCCTCACAACAACCCTCCTGAGCTTGGTTCTGTCCTTGTCCCCACTTTACAAGTGAGGAAACTGTCACGAGCGGGGAAGCAAACCACCGTGACGTTTACAGTTTACATGCTCCCTACAGAAACCAGGGCGCAGAGAGAGAGGTGAGTCACTTGTCCAAGGCACACAGCAGGGAAGAACAGTTAGGATTTGAACCCAGGCAGGTTGACCCCAGAGCCTCACTTGCAATCAGGCTGCTCCCTGTCAGTACTGGGGGCCAGTCGTTTACGTCTCTGAGCCTCAGTCTCGTCATCTATGATATGGGGACTGTCCTTACCTCCCTCAGCCACTGCGGGGTGTATAACTTGTGGTGTGCGGGGAACCCTGGGAGCACACTGGTGTTCTACAGGCTCCTTATGAATGAACTGGAGGATTCTCAAGTTGCCAAGATTTGAGAGCCTGCAGCTAAGGTGGGATGGAAGGAGCTTTGCACCTCCCTAAACTGTATGACCCTGGGCAAGGGAGTTGATCTCTCTATGCTCCAATTTCCTCATGTGTGAAGTGGAATGGCAAAGACTACCCCCCCCTCCGCCCCGCCAAGGTATGGCATGGATTAAGTGAGATGGTACAGGTAAGGCTCCCAGGCATGGCGTTCAGCAGGTTCTCAGCATAGACTCAAATTGTCACCAGGCTGTCACCAGCTTCCCTTAGGACCCAAGCTGGTCCTAGACCTCGAAACCCACCAAAGAAGAAAACCTCATGTTGATTTGCTACAAATAAAGAGGTCAAAGCATCAGATGTTTTTAAGGGCCTTTTTCCTGTTTATTGCCAAGGCCCAGCCCAGACCTGACCCACTTCCTCCCTGCCAAAGGAAGCAGCCACCGGTGGCAGGGGGCCTGGTCCACCGACTCAAATCAGGGGCTCCTCCATGGAGTGCAGCCAGTTGGTGGTGTGCGGGCAGCTGGCAGGTGAATCCCGTCTCCCGGTCAGTCTAGCTTCAAGTCCAGCACCAGGGCATTCTGGGAGGAGGTAAAGGGCCAGGTGGGCTGGAGGGAGGAATTATGGGGACCCACTGCAGGGTGGCCAGAGATGGAAGCCAGCGTGGAGCTCAAGAACGAAGGATGAACGAGACTCACCTTGGGACACTTCACCTTTCTGAGCCTCAATTTTCTCAGTGATCAAATGGGGACAAACACACCTCCCAGAGTAGAGAGGATGAATAAGAAAAGTGTATAATGCTTTGTGTAATGCTTGGCATACAATGTAAAGCTAATATTTATTGAGTACTTTCTGTATGCCTTAGGTGAATTATCCCAGTGAATCATCACAACACTGAAGGCTATCCAATCTAGCGTCCTCATTTAAAAAAAAAAAGAAAAAAAAACAGAAAAATAGAGGCATAGAGAATGGTGAAGCCATTTGCCAGAGGTGGCAGAGAAAGAACGCAGCTGAGTTCAAGCTTCCCCCAGGAAAGGAACATTAAACTGATGGCCGCTGCCCTCAGCCCTGTTCCCTCCAGCCTGAGAGAGGCAGACTTTGCTCTTCATAGGCCAAAACAATTGACTGATAGGGCCTCCCCCAGTTTCTTTCCTCACCTCTATTATGTCCAGCTCTGCTAGGTTGTAATTCATGTTCAGGAAATCCGGAAGGGGGAGCCCGACTCGGAGCACATCTGAGAGATACAGTAAAAATCATTTCAGATTTGCTGCTCTGCAATTCAGGAGCAGCAGCCTGGAGGAGAGTAGAGGGAAATGGTGCAGTGATTGATTCATGATGTCTGCCAGCTGCAGGGCACAGCGAGCTTAAGCCTCAGCACCAGGCGTTTACAGCCCAGCTCTGGGGCTAGATGGTGTGGGGGCAAAAGTCAGTCCAAATGCGGAAGGGGCCTTTGTCTGTGATGACTGCGTTTCCTCACAGGTTCAGCAATGACCATCCCCTTTCTTTAGCCTCCCCCACCTGGGGTCAGTGAAGGAATGTTGAGATCACCCAGGCAGTATCCCTTCCTGCTTAAGGTACTTTTGGCACCAGCAAGTTCAAAGCCTGTTGGAGCCCTCACCATTGACGACTGGGACATAGGCTTCTCGGAGGAAATCAGTGATGAAGTCGCTCAATTCCTCCTCCTGGAGGTGGGAGAGAAGGAGAGAAAATGCCCACATCCCATCATTCCAGACAATTCAACAGAACTTTTCAGCACCCACTTCAACTAAGTCCAGGGCCATCAAATAATTTGCCCAGCTAGCATAAGTGTTGAACCTGACTCTGAAGACAGAGGCTGATGCCCTTCCCCTCTGCTAGACCCTGCAGGTGACACGTGGGCCTGGGCATGGTGCAGACACAGAGGAGTTCAGGAGACACAGGGTGGCCATGATCACTACTCCTGCTCCTGCAGAAAATTCAGCTTTAGTCATCTATTCACAACTTCTCTGCACCTCCAGCTCCCCAGTTGTGGAAGTAAAATATAACACCACTTACTCTTCCATGAAGATTTGATGAGTTTGAGTCAAACTTATAACACAGAATAAGTGTTCAGTGAGTGCTGTTGTTCTTGCTGCTGCTGTTTCTATTTACTTATTTAGCACCTGCTAGGTCAGGTTTCAGGTTAGGTCCTGACACTACAAAAACTAATGAAAATAACAACTGGGTCAACTAAGCCAACTAGGGCTGCCACTATGTATGCCAATGCTTTCAAAATCAATCCAGGGAGATAGGTAGGATCTATCCAGAAAATATAACGGGGACTCACAGTCTAAAAGGACTTTCCTAAGGTCACCCAGCAAGTCAAGAGCCCACAGTGACCTTCTTTATTCATTCTGCCTCAACTTCAGGAGCTTCCCTACAATCCAAGGGAGAATAGGCCTAGTCTTATCCACAAGCCAGACCAGGCAGAAGCACCTGGGACACTTACACTGAAGGCACCAATGGATGAGGACTCCCGGGACAGGGTCCGTAAGCTGTGCAGGAGAGGAAAACGGGGGGAGGGGGAGCGGTCAGAGTCTCTGGCCCTAGAGAAAAGGGATCCCAAATACTCCCAGCCTCTCCCTGATGCAGAAGTCCCCCCTACAGCCTTCAGAACAGGCATTCCTAATTCTCTGCTTACATGTTCCCTATGATGAAGTGCTCACCCATTCTGTCCCCCACATTTCAAATATTGGACTTTCCTGTATATCCATTCATGGGTCCAGATTCTTCCATTTGGGGCCCCCAACCATGTCTCTGACTCCTGCACAAAGCTACAGATGCAGAGATTTGTAGCCCAACTCATCAACCCCAGATCCTTGCAAGAAACAGAATTGAGACCCGCCCCCTCCCCGTACAGTCTCCAGCAGGCACTAATACACACTGGCACTGGAGCAGCCATACGATCATCTGTCTTCCCAATATCTGCTCTCTATTCCAATAAAGACTACCTGCCCCCCATTTTACATTCTCATTCCAAGGCATTCAGGTGGGACTGACCCCAGAGCCCCCAGGGTGTGCACATGACCTTGGCCTGGCCAATCAGAGCATTCCAACTCTCCAGGTCACCGCTTAGCTTGGGTGGTCATGGGATCCATGGGACCCATGCTAGATCAATAGGAAGCAGCCTTGTTAATTTTGCTAGAACTATTAGACAAGAGGCCTGTCTTGTTGGTGTCCATCTCTGGAAGAAGGCACCTGAGAATTTAGTCTGCAAAGTGGACTACACAGACCAAGGGAAGAAGCAGACAAATTCTTAAGAACGCTGCTCACCTAGTCTGAGTCATGTCTGAAAGTACTTTTCAATTAAATGAGACAAAAGATTCCCTTTGAGCCTAAATCAGTTATGTTTGGAATTTTCTCTTGCAATTGAAATAATCCTGACCTAAATACAAGACAGGTCAAAGATGAGGCAAACACAAAAATTAATGAGCTACTTACTGAATGCAAAACTGGGGTGTTGGCATGGAATAATAAATATAATGCATGTATCCGGTGCCTCACATGTAGACAAAGCTCTACAAATGCTGGCTGCTATTAGTATAAGGAAGGCTTCCTGGAGGAGGTGGTATTGAGGTGAACACTGACTAGGAGGTGGCATTTGGACAGCATAGGCAAAAGGGTATTACTGGAAAAGAGGACGTGGCCCATTGGGCTTGTGCACAAGCCTAGTGGAAATGTGGGGGCAGCAGCAGGAGAATCTGAGAAGGACCTGAGGGCCAGGCATGATCTGGGAAAAGATTATGCAGGTCATGGGAAGCCGTTGAAAGTTCTAGAGCTGGCATAGTGACCAGAGCAGCCTGGCAGTACAATCAATGCTGGATGGATCCGAGGGAGGCCTTGGAGCAGGAAGCCCCAGAGGTGTTGGAAATGCCCATGCAGTGGTACAGGGATGCCAACTTGGGCAGCAGATTCTTACCTGTTCATAGAGGTTGTCATCTGCAGCCGGTTCTTACTCACTGAGAATTGGATTTTCAGGTTGAAGTGCTGATGTGTGGAGAAGCAAGGAGAAGATAGTGGGTTACCCATTAGAGCTGGAAAAAACAGAGGCTTTACCGCCTTCCCAGCACAACTTCAAACAAAGCAGGGCAACTCCTCTCTGCCCATCTCACTTTCAGAAACTAAAACCATCAGTGTCCCCTTGGCCCCAGCCCAGGCTCATTCCCCCATCCCTTACCTGGTTCAGAATTGCATCCCCCAAATATCTGGCATGTTTGTCGATCCCTACACCACCTTATTGTTCCAGGTTTTTGCACAACCTGTGTGAGACCTTTGTCTGAAGTGCCCCCCATCACCAGCCTTCCCAATATCAACCTCTTCTCTGAACTACTTGACCTTTGACATATAGCTCAGGTATCACCTCCACCGGGAAGTCCTCTGAGATTTCCTCAAACTGGAATCAGGGTCTCTCCCTGGATGGCCCCATTGCTGCCCTTACAAATACTAATGAATGTTGTGGTAGGAGGGGGCAGTGAAGAGAAAGGGGTGGGGAGAAAGGACGGAAGAGAAAGAAAGGAGGACTAAACTACTGATCAGCAATTTCTTGCTCTTTCTAGCCTTGCAAAGTTTCAGCAGCTGAACCAAGTTTCGGGCATCACCTGACAGTGTCTAGGAAGTTAGAATCACACAATAGTGTTTAACTAAGAACTCTTCTGTTCATACTTATCTATCAGTTACAGTCCCACCTTCCAGCCTTGACTACCCACAATGCTGGACTTACATGCAGAAAAGATTCTACTTACAAGTTCCAGAAGAAAAAGGGATGCAGGCGCCTTGCCCCGCCGCTTAGTAGCAAACATCTCCAGGGTGCCATGGAAGTGCATCAGGCTCTTGCCTTTCTTCATAGTGACCTTGGGGGGCTTGTTTATCTTGATCTTCGTCACCAAGGGCTTTGGCTTGGGATAGGTCTCAGACACCTACGGAAACCAGGAAACCCTTCAGGGCCACCCCTCAAACCGGTAGCTTCAGTGAAACCAGGAGTCTGTCATGAATTAGGTGATTCTACCTCGGACACAGGAAGGACAACATGCAAAGGCTGGGACACATCTAACAAGAAATAAGAGGAACAAAGCAGACAACTAGGCTATTTCTATACTGGACAAAAGGTCAGAGTACTTTTTGGAGGCATATGGAAGATTCCACACTGGAAAGGGAGATGAGCCATTGAAAAGTTGCTCCCAAGGCCCTCATCCCTTCAACTGCAGAGCAGGGCAGCGCAGGGCACGGTGAGCATGGGTCATTGGGCCACTCACTTCAGGGATAAAGTTGGCCAATGTCGCAGTGGTTAGTGAGCGCAACTTCCCAATCTACAAAATGAAAGTCAAGGTTAGGATTACTTAAAGGCCTTCCCTGGCCCATCCTAAAAACATTTCATCTGATTCAATAAGGTATCCCTTCATTAAAACACTCACTGCTCTGTGATTAAGTAGATAATAAGCTCCTTGGGAACCCGGACTATGATGTTCCAATGCCCATCGCACTTAGCACAAGGTAAAATACTGAGACAGTGTTGCTGGATGAAAAAGGAGGCAGATAGATGGAAAAATGGATAGATGCAATGGATGAAAGTGGTTTGTGTAGCTGAATCCATGGATGGATAAAAAGATGAGGACTATGTATAAACAGATGAGTGGGTGGAAGATGGATGGACGGATGGATGGATGGATGGATGGATGGATGGATGGATGGATGGATGGATGGGTGGATGGATGGATGGGTGGATGGGTGGATGGATGGTGGTTACGAGGAGAGATTGGGGTAGGTGAACTGATGAAAGAAACCCAAACCAGCGCTGGCATCTCACAGTCCTCATGTTTATCCCAGGATAGTCCGCAGAATGAGCACGCCGGACAGGGACTGTCACTACAGGAAGCAGAGGCAGGTGGGAGGGGCACACTGGAGTGCTCACCTTCGTTTTCTTAATATTCACATCAAAAGACGTCTGCAGAAGGGCAAGCTCTGCTGTGAGGAAGGCAGCTGAGAGCAGCAGCTGTGAGGAGCCTTCAGCATACATCTCAGGGAACTCGAGGGCCTCCCCTGAATCGGCAAGCTTAATGGCGTTGCCCTTCTTCTGCTGTACCTCAGGCTGAGGGACAACCAAGAGACTCAGCCTTGACCACAAACCCATCAGCCATGTCAGGGGAGTCTCAGTCCTTGGTGCCCAAACCAGCCCCAAGTCAGCAAGTCATTAGATCCAGCGCCAGCCACGGCAGCCCAGCCCTCCCAGAGAGAGGCCTGAGGATGAGGCCGTCACCAGCCACTGGTACTTCTCCCCAGGATCGCATCCATAACCTCCGTTAACCTGACCCTCGTGTCTGCAGAGTGTGATTTCTCTTTTACTCGCAGAAGGAAGTAAGCAAGATGGGGGCCTGGGAGACCCACCCTGGGAGAAGACTTCACAGCTGATGACTTTTGGGGATTTTTCTTCCCATTATTGGAGGCTGCATCTCACCTAGTCACCTGGGGGCTTTGGTAAGGACTCAACTCTGCTACCATCTCACGGTGGGACCCTGGCCAAGCCCTGCCTCCCCACTGGGCCTCAATGTCCCTCTGTGCTATGGCAGGGTGCAACTGGGTGAGCACGCCACAGAGCAGACAGCCTTGGGCGGAGGTGAGTGTAGAATCGGCAGTCCTGGAAATCAGTTCAGGATTCAGGGTTCGTGCTGACAGCAGAAAGAGAGCGGGGCCCCAGTGTCAGGGAACTCGGTCATGGGGGCCCAGGTCAGCCAGACCTGGGTGGTCCTCCCATCCTCCACAGCCCCACACCTCCATAGTCCAGCCACCTGCGCTGGCAGGAGCAGCCCACATGCCCAGGCCGGTGTGCTGAGAGTGCAGCCCCCACACCCCCCGGCACTTACACTGAAGTCCACTTGGATGTAGCTGGTCATGGGGGTCGGGATGGACGTCAGGGCATATTTGACAGTGCCCATCTGGCCCACAGGCATGGGGACTGTGCAAAGAGGAGTTTCCATCAAAGAGGTGCCAGGCTGGGGGGGCTGCCCAGAGAAGTCAACACCAACCAGATGCCCCCTGAGCCTGGCCTAGGCAAGTGAGCCTCAGTAATTGCACACAGGATGAAGGCCGTGCTGCCTGACCTGAACGTCACACTCCCACCCCCAGCGCAGAGCTTGACAGGTCACCGGGGGTTGTCACGGCTCAGTTCACACACACTGGCAGGGACAGGGTTGTCACCACTATTCAGACACCAGACCCGGGCTCAGACCACACTGCTGAGGACATGAACCACATTTTCTTCAGTCCAAGCCACTGGCCTTTCCTCTCCCCCACATGGAGGGGAGTCCTGTGGACCCCAAGATGATGGAGATAGCACATCACTTTGGCAGAACAAAAATCGGGTGTCACCACTGTGGGGAATACTCGGAGTGCAAGGGAGTATGACTACTCCCTTGGCTGCAGTCCCTCGAGTCTGGGGAGGGATAGATGGAATGTTGGAAAGAGGGCTGAAGGGTGAAGACCCCAGAGTCCCGCAAGACCTCAGGATAATAGGGGGATTGTCGACACATGATGCCGGACCGCCTCTAGTCCCAAGGCCAGACCAGAGCAGACACTTCTACCCAGAGTGGGCACCCGAGTCTGGCCATCCTGATGTCCCTGAGCGGGAGCGAGGCACAAGGGCTCCACTCACGGTTCAGGTTGGCCCACTTCTTGTTCACGTAAGCCAGGACTGCGTCAATGGCTGGACACAGCTGGAAGCAGAGAAGGCACTGGGCTGAGGGGACCCTGGCATGGAGGGCCTACTTCTCACATCTGAGTGGTACTCCATGGGGAGTCCCAAGAACCCTGGCGGGACAGGGACCAGGGGAACCGAGGCCACGTGTCATATAGAAAATCAATGGTAGACACTGGACTAGAAGAGATCCCCCGACCACCACCTACAAAATCCATGTGAACATCTTCTCCAGGGCCTGATAATCAAGGCAGAGTGGACAAGTTGTGAAACACAGGCTGCCACATCCTCTTCCCCTACCCAGAGCAGACATCACTAGCTGATCACAGCATTTCTCCCATTGAGCCACAACCTCAGAATCCTCCTCAGCTCCTATTACCAGGGTCAGCACATGAGATAAATGCACTGGTCAGCCCTGGTCTGAGCATTCCCAAGGTCAAGGGTTAGAAGCTTGTCCAAGCACTCACCATGCCAGGGAGAACTTTGTGTAGGGTGCTGTCCAAGATCTTGCTGACCACTTTAACCATGCTGGGCACAGAAGATGGCACAGGGGCATCAATGGCAGGAAGTTAGGTAGGGACATGCAGGGACATGGTTAAGGAAGCATAGTGCTCAGGAAGTGGGGTAGCAATGTGGACCCAGACATCCTCCCCATCCAGAAAGCCCCTCACTTTTTAGGCAGGTTGGTCTTCACACTGGACACAATGACCTCACAACCTTCACTCTTGAACATGGGGAGCCCCGTCTCCTCGTCCTTCAGAAACCGGTCAGTCGCTGTGATGTTCAAGACAACTATGATCTCCATGTTTCCCCCTATTAAACTGAAGGAGGGGGCAGCCAGGCCTCATGAGCATCTCTGCCACTGTGGCCACTGTCCTGCCTGTTGTGTCTACAACCCCAGCAGCTCTGAGAGTGGGGAAGAGGGGGGCCACCCCCCAGGACAGAAAAGGGGATGAGACCTGAAGGTCACACAACCGGTCTTCCCTCTCCCCTCTTCCTTTGGTAAATTCCTACTCATCCTCCAAAATCCTGCCCAGCTGTGATCATCTCCCCTGAGCTCCCTTCCGTCTGCCAAGGGTTATCCCTGAGTCTATGGTCATCTGTGCTCAAGTTTGGTTCCCAGAAAAGGTGGGAACCAAGTCTGCATCATCTTAGACCGCAGTGCCCAAGGGATAACAGCTGGCGCTCAACACGTGCGTGTAAGACAAGCAGGCCTTCTCCTCCTCTGCCACGCCTGCCAGGCTCACCTCTTGCCCGTGATGGTCATGCCTGTGGACACACACTGGAAGATGCCCACCCCGGGCACTAGGTTCAAAGTGATCACTGGCACGAGCACATCCTTCACCTTCACCCTGCAAGGCAGCAGAGATCGCCAACAGTGAGGACTGAGACCCAGGCCCCAACACACTCCACGGCCACCCCTGTTCCAGGGATAAGCCTGTCTCATGGGGCCATCCTTCAACTCAAGCAAGAGACTGGATGAGAACTGCACGAAAAGCAGCCGCCAGGTGTGAGTTGGGACACCTGCTTGATGTGTGACCTTGGGCTGTTCCCTTCCTTTCTGGGGGTCTCAGTTTCCCCACTGACAAAATGAGAAGCTTTGCTTAGATTAGGGTTTCTCAACAGTACTGTAGACATTTGGGGAAAGATAATTCTTTGCTGGGGGGAGCTGCCCAGTGCATTATAGGAGAGTTAGTAATGTTCCTGGACTCGACCCTCTAATGGCACTAGATGTGCCCCCCTCCCCACCCCACATGTTGAGGCAACCAAAAATATCTTCAACATTTGCGAGATGTCCCTTGGAGGCAAGATCACTCCTGGCTGAGAACCATCAGTTGAGATCTAGGATGACAAAGGCCAACTTCCACCTGCTCGTCTGAGCCCTGGGCGGACATCACCACCTGTCATGGCCCCATTTACTGCTCAGTCCAGAGAGTGCCCAGAGCCCTCCCTGCCCGTCACCCAGCAGCCCCTCCCCATCAATGCCACATGACACTTGCCAGAGGACCTGCCCCTGTCATGAGATGATTTTGCCCAGGTCAGCTGTTTAAAGATTTTTCAATCAAGTTCATACACATTTTCTGAGCTGCTGCTGCATGCGGGAAGTTATGACTCTTTAACTCCACTTCCTCCTCCCAGTGACCATACTCACAACAGGACAGGAATTGTCCCGGGGATGACTGGGGAGACTGAGGCCCAGGCAGGCCCGTGGACTGCCTAGGTCACACAGCAAGCCAGCTGCGGGCGGGAAGTGGTGCCACGCCCTACCCCAGCCTGCTCCTGCCTCCTCAGGCTCTGGCGCGGCATTGCTCACCCCCCTTGGCCTTAACCTTGCCCAATCCCCTCCCGTCTCACTCGGTGATGCCCTTGATGGGCTTCTTGCCCGCCTCGGCTGCCATCTTCTCCAGGATATGGCTCTCATCCATGGCGTTCTGGACCTCTGGAAAGAGGGGAGGCCCGGAAAGACACTCAGCAGCGCCTCACTCCTGGGCTCTCAGCATCCCAGGCCCGAGCCGCTTACAAGTGGCACTGCTGTGTGCCCACAGTCGCGTGTCCACCTGGGGTGGGTGATGCAGTGACCCAGAGGTGAGTGAGGCCCAGCACCTTCCAGATTCACGGGAGACAGAGTCACTAGTCAAGACAGTGATAGCAGCGAGAGCCACGATACGCACAGGCAGCTGGAGAAGCCACATGAGGGGTTTGGGCCAGGGAGGGAAGAGCTGTGGAGCCTTCTAGAAGGGAGACATATCAGTTGGTATTTGTGGGAGAAATAGACATTTTCACCGGGAAGCATAGGGATAAAGAAGGCTCTTGGGAGCAGAGGACACAGCAAGGGCAAAGGTGGCGGAGGGGAAGGAGGTGCCTGGTGAGGCCAGAAGGATGCATTCAGCGTGACTGGAGGGTGGAGAGGGACAAAACTGGAGCAGTTTACAGAGGGCCTATCCTCAGGCCTTGAGCCCCAAACTAGAGTGCTGACTTTATCCTGTGGCCCATCTGATTAGGGAGTGCCTCTGGGAAGGTGTTAAAATGCAAATTCTGTGCCTAAAGCAGATGGTAATTCCCCAGGCCAGGAGGCCCGGCTCCAAATACCCCTTGCCAGAGATTCCTCCATTCTTGTCACAGGCTGATTCCCAGAGAGGGAACAAATAATAAACTGTCAGAGCTGTCATCAGCCCTTTATGCTGATGTGACTTCACTTCCCCCGGAGTCACAGAACTGGGGGTGGAGGAAGAATATAAATTTTACCAAATTACCTCCAGGGGATTTTTTTTTTAAAGATTAATTTTTTATGCATACAAGAACTGGAGTACAGACCAGAGGTGTGGGGGGGGGTGTGTGTGAGAGGATTCCCCCAGGGGATTTTAGTCTCATATTTCATTTGCTCCGCCAAGTAAGGCAGATTCACCCTATTTGACATTTTTTACATTTTTAAATTACAGATGAGCAAACAATAACACAGAGAAGATAATTGACTTGCCCGAGGTCACACAGCAAATTGTTGGCAGAGCTGGGATTTCATTCCTGTCTGTGACCCCACAGGCCACGTGTGCCCACCAACCTGTCACAGGGACAAAGAGGCGCTCCAAGGAATCCCCAGCTCTGGCTCCAACTTATGAGGGGACCTTAGCAAAAAACCCCATTTTCTCTAGGCCTGCTTCCTCCCGCTGTAAAATGGAAGAATAATAATAGCATTTTGCTCTTAAATTTATTTTGAATGTTCAAGGCTATGCAAACATGAGCAGTCACTACCTATCACCCACCCACTCTTGCACCCTCAACCCTGGCCCAGGCCTGGGCCTGCCAGCTCACCGCGGTTCATGAGGTCCATGCCCAACCGCAGCAGCACTCCGGGGTCAGCTCGTGTGCCAGTCAGCAGGCTGCACAGTGCCAGACACAGGATTGACAGCATGGCCCCACCTGTGCCAGAAGACTGGATTGGGTGTGCAGCCCACAGACGCCTGTTCCCCTGGGGCCCTCCCATGCTCCAGGGAAGATGCCCCCACCCCGGAGGATCTCAAGGGCCAGGAGCATTTGTACTCCCAGCTAGTTCAGCAAACCTCATTCCTGCCTTCTCCAGAGGAGTCAGAGAGCCCTGGAGTTCACTTCCCCTGCAGGTCGCGCCCCTCCTAACCCTCACAGGCACAGTGTGTTCACACCAGCCTGAGTTATGGTGGGCGGTGCGGCTGCAGTCTCCGGGAGTTCAAGTGTGGCTCAGTGCCTGGTGATGCTAGGGCTGCAGAGGGGATTCTGACCTGCTCCTGACTCTGGGAGCTCCCGCTGCAGTTTAGGGGTGGGGGAACCCCTGCTGCACCCCCTGACACTACTCCCAAAGGCACCCCCTCCTCCCCCAGCTCAGCCTCACTACCTCATGGACTCAGAAATCTCAACTCACAGCCACTTAAGGCCCCTTGAGACATCGCCTCAGCCCCAGGGATACTGAAGCACACGCCTTGGGGTCTCACTGCTAGTGCCGAGAAGACAGAATGTGGGCCTCTCACTCCAAACCCTTCAAGATCCTGGGAAAGCACCATCCCACTGCAGGCCCCCAGAAACCCATCCTTACTTACCAGGATCTGAGATTCTCCTGAGAGGCCAAGGGGTAATTTCAAGTTTGAGGGGCAGCTGAAAAGAATCAAGGCGGGAGGGGGACAGCACCTGTCGTGTGTCACAGAGGAGGGGACTTCCAGCAACACTCCTGCTGACAGCAGGTGCAGCCGCTGAGGGCTCCTTTGTCCACAAACAGAGATGGCCACCTACCGTGGGCTCCCAGCTCAGGCCACACCTGTGTGTGCGCATCATTCACTCAAGTTGTATTTACTGAGTGCCTACTATGCACAGGCTGGCTGGCTACAGGTACACGAGACAGAATCTTAAAGAGAAGCAATAAAATGGGATAGTGCGAGGTGACAAGTGGGTGGGAGGTGAGGCTAGCTGAGACCTAAAGTATGAGAAGGCGCCAACATATACAAAGCCTGGGCAGGGGGCCTCCTTGGGGACACAAGGGGTAAGTCTCAGCACTATGAAGCTATCAGCAGTCACTGCAGCACAAGTTGGATCCCCAGCCAGAGAGTTGACCCACATGGCGCAGCAGGCCTCTCTTGTCTCGCCCACTGCTCCCCTCAGCAGTGTATTTCAGTAGATCCACCTGTTCTGCTCCCCACTCTGTCTCTGGTGAATCCTCTCACCCTCCCACACCTCTGGTCTACACCCCACTTCTTAAGATTAATTAATTAATTAATTAATTAATAAAAGGTATGGGAGACCATTTGATCCTATAGTCAATATTTGCTCAATGAAAGCTATTTCCCTCTCATCCCATTCAGTTTTTAAATGTCTACCTAGACTTGAAAATAATCAATCTTAATGTTTTGTCAGCTCTATAAACACACATGCTGGGGTGGCCCACCCAGTGCCACAGCTCTGTGCCAGGGGCCCCTGAGGGCTTCAGTGCCAGGGCAGCAGAGCTGGAAGGAACGTGGTGATGGTCTCCTCCAGTCCCAGTCTCACTTCCAAGTGGAGAGACAGAGTCCTGAGATATTTTCTCCCCTCATAGAAAAATAAGTAGCTTGGGGTGTGGAGGGTTCTGGGACAAATGGGTTTTCTTTCTAACTGGGCTTGTGCATTAGCTGCCCTTCTCTCTTAGAATGCCCTCCCTCCACCCATCCATAGTCTTCTTATCACTCATATCTTCATTTCAGCCCCTGCCTCCTCTACCAGGAAGTCTCCCCTGAATGCCCAACTGTGTCCAGCCTCAAAGACCACAGTTGGAATCTGACTGCATACCTAATTCATCCCACCCCAAGATGAGTGCCTCCTGCTGCCCCATCCCCATCCTTGTTCTTAGTTCCCCTCCACCTGGAGTCCCTGCCTCCCTTTCTCTGCCTGGCAAATGCTCCTACATCCCCCCCACCCCCTGTGAGCCCAGCTCAGCCCTGAGCTCCTCCCTGTCCCCCCCAGCCTCAGATAGAGCCCAAAGAGACCCCTCCGATCTGCTGGATCTTACCTAAATCATACAACATCTGAAGTTTTCAGTGTCCAGTGGCTTCCTATGCAGCAGGGAGCACTGGGTGAGGGTCAGGACAAAGACTCAAGCCCTGGCCCTGCCACCCACTTGCTGTGTGGCCTCAGGCAAGTCCCTTCCCCTCTCGGGCCTCAAAGTTCTATTAAATGACAGGGCTGGACAAGATGCTTTCTGTGGAGAGTTCCTCAGTCGGGACCTGTCCTTACCGTGCTGAGCCCAGGACGTCCTGCAGATGACTGACCCCTGCCTCCCGACCCTGGGTCGAGGAAACCCTTATATTCAGGAGCCTGATTAGCTGCTTGGATAATTAAGGGCTTAATAAGGTCCAGATAATTATCTAGAGGCCTGAAGAACAGGAGCCCCGGGGCTCACGTGATGTTTCAGTCTGTTCCAACGTAAATAGCAGAGGACAAGGGGGCTGGGAGCCGGGTGGCTGCACAAGGGCAGAAGCTGGAGAGGGGATGCCATCACCACAGAGGGCATCAGGGCCCACGCTGCCCACTCCCCTAAGCCCCATGCCTCCCACAAGGCTGGGCACGCAGTAGGCATTCATCTGTTCCTTCACAAATGTTTATTGTACACCTACTGGATGCCAGGCCTGTGCAGGGTGCTAGGGCTGCCACAGTGAGCAAGGCAGTTGGGGGTACCTGTGCTGAGAGTTCTCCTGGAGCCCAAAGGGAGCTAAACTCACAAGTCACCAAGCGCAAAGCCAGGCCATCTCTGGGGATGAGGGTGACGGAAACCACTGAGCCAGGGGATAAAGTGGGGAGGGGGTGTCAAAGGGCAGAAGGTGTTGGAACTGGAGTCAGAGGGTCAAGGCAGCCCTGCCCGGCAGGGGAGGTGTGGTTCAGGAGTGGGGGCAACAAGTGCGAAGGCCTGGGAGCTGCTGGATGGACTGAGAGAGACTTGTGCCCCCTCAGGGGCTCCCAGGGGACATGGGAAGCAATGGCCTGTGGAGTATCGTCAGAGAGACCCTTCTGGAGAAGATGCCAGGAGGTGGTAAGTTCCAGGTGAAGGGGATTTCTCTCCAGGTCCAAATCCAGAGGACAGTGAATGCGCGGAGAACTCAGGGCCACGCCTCCAGCAACCCCATCGAGGGGCCAGAGCCCAGGTGCTCGGCTTCCACTCTGCTCTCCATGAGGCCCTCAGGGTTCTGGCCAGGGACACCTCGAGGGTGATCAATGGTCCCAGGGGGCCGCTGAAGGACTGAGGTTTGCCGCATCTACCCCGCAGGGAGCCACAGTTCTGGAAGATTAAGGAAGTGACTGCATCTGGGGCAGAGGGGGGCTAGGACCTACCTGAGTCAGCAGGGCCGAAGCCGGGTTGGGGCAGGGCAAGAGCAGGAGCCCAGACAGTCTCCACCCTGATCCGGAGGAGCCAGTCTACAGATAGCATCATTTTATCCCTTGGACCCACCCTTGACAGACAGAGGGACAAGCTGACCTCCCCACCACCACCACCACCTCCTCCTCCCTGAAAATCCATCCCAGTGTGCCTCTGGCCACCCGCCCCTCCCCACCTCCCTTCAGGGCCACCCTGAGTATTGGGAGGGAAGCAGACAGGGGTAGGTGGGGGGAACTGGACAAGAAGAAACCCACTTGCATGGCTTAGGGATCTGGGCCCCAGTCCCAGCCACTGCCCCATAAGCTATGGATCCTAAGATGGCTTCCTTGACCTCCCTGGGCTGCCCCCTCAGCCTCTTTATGATGGGGAGGGAACGCCATGTGCTGACAACAATAGTAATGAGGACCCATGCGCCATGCATTTGACCTGCCCTGTTCCCACCTGTCCTGTCCCAGCACTTTGCCCGCCCTCCTCTCCCCCAGGCAGCTTGTCTCTTGGGTCCCATGGCCAGGTCTTAGCTGCCTGCTATTTGCCAGGAAACCCTGGCCTGGCCTGGCCTCTGCTACTCAGCAGACTGAGCAACATGTTCTCTAGGGAGGTTCTGAAGCCTTCCAAATTTTCCTTCCTTGGGTGCTCACCCTCAGCCCTAGAGTTCACATCATTTCCTTATATCTTTTACTATAGTTAATATTCTTCATATTAAATGTCCCCTGTTTAAGCTACCATGTGGCTCTCACCTCCTGAGTGAGCCCACAGGGCACTACCCCTCTGACCCTCTCCGCAGCCAGTGCTCAGCAGGTTCCTAACTGAAGGGCTGAATGATGTCCCTTAGAGATTGGGGCAGCTCTCTTTGGCCAATCATGGCTACATTCTGGGCAAGAACTCGGATATTTGTCCCCCTACTTTTAAAAGAACATATATTATAGTGCCAGACCCATCCTGGCACAAACCAGATGTTTGGAAAAAGTGACTGGGGATGGATGGGTGGGTGGGCGGGTGGGTGGATGGATGGTTAGTTGGGTCTGATTAATGGAGGCGATGACCTTTTTCTAGGTTATTAGCTTCCTTTCTAGGCTGGATCTATGCCTCAAATTTTTGTTTCTTCCACGTTCTAAATCACCTATCCCTGGGTGGAGCCTACATATTAGGTCTATAAGCCCATATATTAAATCATTAAAAGTAGAATTAATGAATTAATTAACAGAACAACCAAATGAAACTGCAGTCACGCTGTCCTCCACAAACTCAGGATGTTGCATTTCATATCCCGCCCCTTTCCCCAGCCCCTCCCCACCACCAAGACTCTAGGTTCGCCCCACGTCCCGCAGCTGTCACGAGAGACTTTGGGGATGAACCTATAACTCTTACGGGGGGCCGGAGTCTCGCTGTACCAAAGGCTGTGCTTACTATGGTAGTAAATTCCCCTGTACTCCCCAGGGAAACGTAAACAGAACCTGAATCCTGTCTATCTCGGCAGGAAGGAACACTATGTCTAGCTAAGAGATTAGCTTATCGGGAGAGAAAATCACACGGCTTTGGTTTGCTGGTGTTTGCATCTCTCTGTCTTCCCTGGACCATCTTGTCACGTGTGACCCGGTGGGCTGGAAGGGATTTTTAGGGGTGAAAGAAATTAGACGTGTTCTGTGAGCACACTGCCCAGGAGACAGACCCTGATTCCTCTGAACAAGAAAACTTGCGAGTAAACCAGATGGAGAAGCTGCCTGAAAAGGCAGCGACTTCCCCGCCGCCAGGGGCTCATGGCCCAAGGCAGACCAGGCGGGGGTGCTGGGGCATGGATGCGGGAACTGGACATCTTCGGTCTAGGTTCTAGAAGCCTCACTCCAAGGGTGCAAGGCTTCCTCTGCTTGCTGGGCCTCCGTTCCTGCATCTGCAAATGGAGCGCCAGGCTGCGGCCCGACTCTCAGGGCCCTTGTAAGGCTCTAGGAACAAGACGGGACATCGATGGGGAGAGTCACCAGCTCAGGGCACAGAGCCTAAAGGCCCAGCACACCCTCCGCAGTTTCCTTGCTCTCCAAGGTCCTTTTTCAAAATCTGAGCTTCCCTGGGCAACGAGGTGGTAGAAGTAGTTATGTCTTCTCCTTTGACAGCTCCAGGACAGACAGGCCCGGGGACTGCGTGTAGGCAGCTGGCCTAGGGTGCGCAAAGAGTTCTCTGGGCCTGGCTGGAAGTTGCAGCTCAAGAGATGTTTAATGCAAGAAGGACAGGTCTGTACAGGCTGGAGGGCAATCTGCTCCCCACAGGAGGGGAGTGGAGGGTGGACAGGAGGGGAGGGGAGGGGAGAGGGGGAGAAGAAGAAGGGGGAAGGATAGGCCTGGAGGAAATGAGGGAGGGGAGACCCAGGCACTCAGTGAAGATTCAACAGCCTGACTGGGACATCTGGCTTGTGGAGACGACAGAGTGTGGCCTTGCCTCAGTTTCCCGAGCAACCGGAGGCCAGGGGTCCCTGGAGCGGGGAGCTGGCCCACGCTCAGCCTTCCAGTGCCCCCACTTCAGCTCTGGTGGCCGAGCCCACTGGATATCTCAATGAAGCCCTGAAGGGCAAAGAAAACCATGGGTCAGATATGTGTTAAAACCTTAATGATGTATATACATTTGATTTAATCATTCCACTTCTAGAATTTTCTTCCTAAGGAAGTGGGACACAATGCTGTATTCAAAGGTATCGTTCATGGCATTTCTTAAATGACAAAAAAGGAAATAATTTAAAGGAATAGTTAAAAAATTTTGTCCACTTGTCAGTGATACTGAGTGAAAATAATAGTTATCATCTGTCTGTGGGACTACCTGTTATTTGTATTTATTTGTAATTTTATATTTGCCTGTAGTCACTCAATAAATACTCCGAGCACATCCGTGACAGTGGGACTACTGCAGGTGCGGTGAATAAGGTGGTGTGGGGAGCAGACAACTTGCTGTGCTCATGGAGTTTCTAGTCCCTCCATTGGAAAATGTTACTTTTAAATAAAGAAAGTTACTAATAAAAAAAAGAAAAGAAAACCATGGGTCAGGTCAGAGGCCACACAAGGACCAGTAGGAGCCCAGTCACCCCAGCCTGGCTCTGAGTGCACATTCCACCACTCTTGCTGTGTGGCCTTGCAGTTCTTTGTCTCTCTGGACCTCCATTTCCTGCTCTGAGACTCGGGGTGATAACAGCCTCCACCTTGAAAGGTCATTGTGAAGAAGCTCGGCCATGCAGCCAGAGCACCCAGTGTAGGGCCATGTGGGGTGTGTTCTGTGTACATGGTCACTACGTGGCTGGCTTATCATTGGGAGTTCAGAGTAATTGTGTATCTTCTCCAAGTTCAAGTCTCCCCAGCAGAACCAGGCACCTCCCACATGTCCCCTACTGAATTGTAGAAATATCCTGGGGGTTGGGGGGCTGCTGATCTTTCATTCATTCAACAAATCTTGATTGAACTACTACTCTGAGCTGTGCCTGCTGCTGGAGACCCTGCAGAGAACAAGCCAGGCCCATTCCCTGGCCATGGGAGGCTCACATGTGGTCCAACACAATAACAGTTAACCTTATGTAGCTAATTGCACTTCAATTAATTAAAATTAAATAAAATTTAAAATGCAGTTCCTTAAATACACTTTTCAAGTACCAGTGGCTGACAGTGGATGGGTGCAGATTTATATCCTTGCGGAAAAAGTTTCATCAGACATGCTGTCTGGGGCCCTTGACTTTGGACTCAGTTGGCTGGATTTGTGAGTGCCAAGGTGGGTCCTGAGTAGGTGGGTCCTGGGCCTGTTAGGGGAATTTTGGGGACATTCTCATCGGTTGCCTCGGCTCCTCCATGTATTGACTATTCCTTCCTATGGGAGAGGAGCCCTAAGTGCCTTGGGACCTTAGTTCTTAAGCAACAAAGCAGCCTCCCTGAATAGACATCAGCAGGTCCTATTTGGGGAGTGTGAATAACACACACAAATGTTGAGCTTCAAGGACCTTGGCTAAGCTTTCTGTCTTATGCAGGCCTTGTTGAGTGAATGAGGAAGAACATTATCCTTTTCCATCCCAGATAGAATAGAATAAGGTTATAGGCTCCCATCTCAGGTAGCAGTTGTGATTAAATTTCACCCTAGACACACAACTTTTGATCTAGCAATTTTAGGGAACTCAGAAAGCCCCCTTTCCTTTCTAGCTTGCAGAGATTTGTGTGCAGTGCTGGAAGAAGCCCCTCCACCCCCAGATACCAAAGGGGCTGCGCCCACCCCAGGGCACAGACTCATGGGACAAGTGAAGGCCAAATCCCCTGAGTGTGGCCTGGTGTGATATTTGATGAGGACTAGGGCTGGGTAAGGCTTCACACCAATGTCTCTTAACATCCTGAATTTTCCATCTAGCTGCAGTTCAGGTTCGCGGCTTGGTCTTGTCAGGAACAGGGGGCACCCCCAGGCCTGGCTAACCCTCAGACCCCACTGTTTGCTCTAGCAAGGAGGGAAAGAGAGAGAGGTGACCCCTGCCTCCACAAGCCTAGCTTCCCCCCAAGGGTAGAGGAGGCCCCTATGGTCACACCCAAAGGCTCTTACCTCATGGACAATGACCTTAGGGTCGACGTAGTGGAGGTTGACCACTTTGGGGAGGGAAATGCCCATGCCCAGGAGAGCTGCAGGAAGGAAAGGGGAAGCCAAGTTCAGACAGGAGGGGGTTACAGAGCACCCCCTAGAGCCAGCCCTTGTGCATCACGACACCGTGTCCCAGATACCCAGGAGGTGGGAACCATCATTATTACACCCACTTCACAGAAGGGAAAACTGAGGTTCAAGGAGAAACAGGAACTAAGCTAGGATCCTCTAACAGCTGAGTCAAGATGCATGTTTAGGAAGTGGGGCTCCAGAGGCCCCTCCTATGCCCTGGGCCTGGGAGGTGGGAAGGGGGCCAAGATTGAGCCATGTGGGGACAGGAGGGGCCAGATGGGTCACACTGGGGTGGAGGGCTTACCATTGAGGTGGTTCAGCAGGGGTGCCTCAAACACGGTGCCCACGAATGCTTGCATTTGATCCATCTGCAGCCACAGAGCCAGGGAAATGGGGGACCATAGGCACACCCCAGTGAGGGGCAGGGAGAGGTGGGCAGCCGGACACACACGTGAACATACGAACAGACACACAGATGGCAGAGGCATGGGGGAGGGGGAGGAGGAGTCATCCCTGTCTTGGCTTTGGGCAGAGCCCACCTATGCCCCCCTCCTCTTAGCCTGAGAGGCTAAGAGACCAGCACCTGACTGACTGACACTCACTCACTGTGTGAACTACAGGCCGCTGCCCCCAGGTAGATGACCGTCCTGTGGGCACTGACGGACAGACAGACTGACCGTGGATAGGCTGATGGGACATATTGACGGACAGGCCAACCAACAAAGGGATGCGTGGCGCCTGGTGGCCCAACCACATCACACGAAGGAGCAGCCGACCCTGATACTGGCTGGTCCCGCTGACAATGGATTGGTGACTCAGGCTGAAGGCAGGGCTAACCAGTCATTGGCTACCAGGCAGAATGGCAGGCAAGCCAACTGACCCACTGAAGAGCCAAGGCTAACCAGCTGATCAGCCAACAGACAGCCTGGGAGAGACAGACTACCTGGTGGAGGGGCCGCTGTCCCGAAGCACTCCAAGAGCGAGACTGATGGTGGCTCAAGCCTGCACACGTACGTGCCTCCCCAGCCCAGAGCCTACCCCACCCAGTGAGGGGGCCTCTGGAGACCCCAGTCCCACACTCACGTCTATGGCGCCCACATTGGAAAAGGCCAGGGTGAGCTGGACATCTCTGAAAGGAACAAGGAGTGTGAGGCAGGGGCCTGCTGCATCGCAGCCGCCTCTGATTGGCACTGACGGGTAGGCCCCTTGCACAGAGGAACACACTGAGGCTGCTGGGTGTGGGAGGCCTTGCTTACCCCAGCACAGACGTGGTCCCCTGAATCCTAACCTTGGACACGGAAAACCGTAGGTTCAGGTTCACTACCTGGGGGTGTGGGAAGAGCAAAATCAAAGAACACAGAGCCACAGAGGAGACGTCAGCTGAGCACGTTACCTTAGCCTCCCATCCCCCAAGTGTTTGAGGAACACAGGCCAGTGGGGAGGTGAACAGTAACCAAAGTAAACAGACAGGATCCTTTTGAGAATGGTGGGCCCCACAAAGGCAGAATAGCAATGTGGAAGGGTTCCGATGTGGCCCAGCTTACTCAGGGTGCTGCCCTGAGGAAGTCTGCAACACTGACACTGAGGCCTGAAAGATGAGGAGGTGTCCACCATGCCAAGAGCTAGGGGATTCATGTCCTAGGCACAGAGGATGGCATGTGCAAAGGCCTGAGGCAGGAGTATCCAGCATAATGAGGGACAGTAAGGTGACCAGTGTGGACAGAACAGAGCAGTGAGGAGAGTGAGGCTATAAGTGAGGTCTCCTTGAGAGTCACCCACCGTCCCTCCCAGCCAGCCCCACCCAGTCCACCTCACTCACCACATTCAGGGAGAAGAGGGACTGGAAAGTTGACTTGGGGGTCATGGCCAGGACCTCCACGAGGGGCTGCAGCTGCAGTGTGGCATTGTTGGTATGGAGTTTGGCCACGGGTGTGGCCCCCAGCCGGACCTTGATCACCACAGGCATGGACTGTGGGAACTGGCGGGCCACCTGGGGGAGTGGAGATAGGGAGGGCGAGGCAGGGTTGGCTCTCCATGCATCATTGTTCAGACACAGATCCAGCCTCTGTGTGCGCATGTCTGGACCACAGAGGTAGGTCCGCCCCAGACCCCCACCCTCAGGGATGCCCTAAGGCCACCCTGAACTGGTGGCAGCAATGAAGATAGGCACAGGCTGTGTGGTCTGTGCTCAGGAGGTTCCTGAACCAGGCTAGGGGTTTGGTTCTCTCCTTGGGGAGGTAAGCCCCAAGTTTGGTCTTGAAGATGGACACAGGAAAGAAGCCGAAAAGACACTCCAGGCAGAGGCCATGGCTTGGGCAAAGGCATAGAGAGGAGGAAATAATCTGGGCAAGAAGAGGGCATCCTGAGACGGAGGAGGCACAGGAAGGCAGATGCTGCACCCCACTTGGGACAGATATGAGCCAGCAGAGACCCCACAGCCCAGAGAACCTCCCACCCCAACACCGTGTCCAGCCCCCCAGGGATGGCAAGCAGCACCCACCTCCGGGATGAGCTGGCCCAGGGAGGAGGTGTTCAGCAGGTTGTCATTGGACTTCTGAAATACACCCCCCAGGCATGACAGGTTTTAGGACACCCACTTCTCAGCAAGACCACCTCTTTCCTGAACAGGAAATTCTCCTCACAGCCCCATTTAACTCAGCAGTCACCCCATGGCCCCAAAACTCCTATTGCTCCACCCACCCAAGATTTGGCCTCCATGGGGTCTCCCCAGGCTAAGTCGCTGGACAGGCCTGTCCCACATGCCTGGGCACCAGGCCCAAGCCTCACCATGTCCGCTGTGATTTCCATGTTGAGGACACCAGCTTTCTGCAGCAGCAGGAGGGCGGAGTCTAAGAGGTGCTGGGAGAGGCCCACAGTTATCATGGCGCCCTTGGTGCCTATGTGCTCTGGCAGTGTGAAGGGGGCATCTGTCATAGGAGGGACAATGGGCCTGCCCAGCAGCAAGAGCACCGTCTATGGGAGTGAGAGGGAGGAAACAGTGGGGCCTCAAGAGGGAGGTGGTTCCACGACAAGTCCCTGCTCCATGATGCCCCCTGTGGTCCAGCCTCACTCCATTGCCTCCATGCCCTTCTCCCACCTGGAAAGCTATTCCAGCAGCTCTCCCCTAGTCCTTCAAGAATCTTCCAGGACACCAAGGATTCTAGTGGCAACCAGCGTCCTGTTGTGGGCTGACGAGGAGGCACTGACCTTGGCATCCAAGGAGATGTGGTTTTCAGTGATGGTGGGCGCTCTGACCATGGAGTAGAGAATCTGGGACTCGGGACCCACAGGGCTGAGGCCTAAGTGAAACGGGGGTGAGGAACAGATGGGCCATTTAGCATCTCCACCAGCACCTCACTGTCAGAAAACCCAAAAATGCAGGAAAAGGCCTGAGTGAGTCAACAGAAGTCGCAAAATGCACACAGCCAAGAGTCAGCGGGTTCTGAGCTCACAACCCGCTGACTCTTGGTTTAGACACAATTCTAACAGTTTGGGTTTCCACTTTCCCAATGGTGGGAGACTAGAGACCCCAAATTTGAAGGAAGGAGAAAGGTCACTTCAGGTACAAAAGTTCCCGACGAAAGCAAGGAGGCACAGGAGAGGAAGGCAGCTCACATTTGTCAAGGTCCAGACATTGACTTACAAGTTCATTCAGTCCTCACCACAGTCTTGTAAGGTTAGGGGGCCACTTCGCACGCACATGTGCACACACACGTGCACGTGCGCACGGCCACAGCCACAAACGCGTGCCCACGCATGCAGCTTGGTGACTCAGCTGTGCCCAGAACTGTGCACCTGCTCAGGCCAACTGACTCTCCCCAGTCACTCTCCTCCTCCAGCAACTCAGAGGCATGCTCCCTCAGGGGCCATGCAGCACCCAGGTACAGCAATGCCCGCTCCCCGACACAGGAGTCCCAGAAGTCAACCCTGATTCAGAGAGGAAGTCTCTGAACCTTCTGGGGGCACCAGGGACCTCAGAGGCCCTCCCCCACCTCTCAGGTCTTACCAATTGAAGTGCCCAGGTAGACATTGAGGCCCTGCACCAGGTTGGAGATGCTCAGGCATATCTGCGCGAGACGGAGGGAGGGGGCGAGTTAGGGTGGCACTCGGCACTGGGGGGCCGGGCTGGGGGTCTAAGGTTCCAGTCTGGAATCTTCCCTTAATCCGCACACCAAAGCCTGGAAACTTTTCCTTCCTCCACTGCCCTATGGCCTCTTCTGGCACCTCCTCTGGGTACTGAGGATTCAGAGGGGAAGCTCGGGCATGGAGAAAAGAGCAGGAACTGTGGGCACAACAGAAGCGGCCGCAGCTGGACCCGAGCCACTAAGGCAGGGAGCCAGCTGCATCCGGGTCCAGAGGGTCAGCCGGGAGAAGGGTGCACGGCAGTGGGCCGGCAGTGGGCCACAAGCCTGGAGAGGCTGGAGTCATCTGGGCACAGTAAGCAGCCTGAGAAGCATATTTAGCTGGGGTCAGCATGACAGAAGGTGAGAGGAGAGACTGCAAGGCTGGGGCGGTCAAGCCTGTCGGGGCAAGAGCTGCTGAGGCCGCACCAGGCGAGGCCGGGTAGTAAGGGAGCGAGGCCACCTTCAGCCCTAGAGCCTTGGGTTTCTCACCCGCAGGATGGGAATGCTGAGGCGGCCTGGGGGAGTGAGGGGAGAGGGGTATGGGGTGGCACGCAGCTAATAGATTTGGTCTCCACTGCTGCCCATAAAGGAGGTGGGGAGGGGCGGGGAGGGGCGGGGAGGGAGAAGCAGCTTCCCCTGGGCAGTGGGACCCTGATATCCAGCACCACCTCTCAGCAGCCAGCCACAGGCAGCTAATGACAGGAACTAAAACGCAGCACAGGACAGCAGTGCTCTGCCAACGCTGTTCTAAGCTCTCCGTGGACGTCAACGCACGCGGCCCTCACGACCAGCCCCGAGAGTCACCGGAGCTCTCCGGGCTACAGGTGTGGAGCCAGGAGCAGAGGGGTCAGGAGAATCCTGGAACCCAGATTCAAACACAGGCCACGCTTGGCAGCCTCCTCATTTAGTCTCCTTGTCGTGACCCCGCGGCCCTGAAAGCACTGCCCCCCCGCGCCCGCGTGGAATTGGGGCTGGCCCAAGAAGAGGCACCTCCCTCCCCTGCAACAGCCTCCCCCCCAAGCCTGCCCTTGCTTGGGCTCCCCACCAATGTCCTCGACCACCACCCGCCTCATCCCCTCCTTCACGGGGAAACTGGAGGCCCCTCATGCAGAGCCTTCCACTGAAACACGAGAGTAACAGTCCCAGCCGCCCCACCCCCTGTCCGCAACCCCCACCCGTTCACTCAGCCTTCTGAGCTAAGCCTCCCCCGCCTTCCTGAGCCACCTGCAGGGAGGTCCTTTACTTTGTTCCGAAGGACAGCTCTGAGGTGCTTCTTCACCAGTTCCAGCAGCCTGGGCTGCGTGCTGGGGAGAGACACAGAGGGGTTCCTGAGCTCCTGTCCGCAGAGCCAGCCGTCTGGGAGAGCAGCCTCTCCCTCAGCCGGGGCCGTCACACCCACAGGCCAGCAGGCACAACGGCCCCCCGAGATGAGGCAACTGAGCCTCAAAGAAGGGGTTGCTTCCCAGGCTTGGACGGGGCAGAGAACGTGGAAAGTGAAGGCAGGTTTGGGGCAGAGAGGCCGGGGGAGCTGGGACCCGGGTCTGCTTCCTGCCTGGGCTCCATTTCTCTGAGGCACGGTCCCTTTCGGACTCGGATCCGTTTCCCCTCGGAACAGAGACGTGTGTCTAAGAAGCCGTCTCTCAACAGGGAGGCAGGGGAAACCATGTGCCTTGATTTGCTAAACTGTTGATCCAAGTTACAGCCCAAGTGCCCGGAAGGGCCTCCCCCGGGAGCTGGGAGCCTCTGCGCTTCTTATGCCAGTAGCCTCTGGGCTTCTGTCTCCCATCAGTACTCTGAGCGGATCCCGCCCAGGAGGACTGTGAGGGACCGTGAGTTACCCACGATGACCAAGGGCCACAGGTCTGGCCAACCCTACCCAGGGGGAAGTCCGGTCTGTGCAAACCGCACATTCTTTCAAGCCTCCAGAATGCCCGACCCCCTCCCAGTGAGCCCTCGCCATGTGTGGGGGGAGTAGACACAGCGCAGGGGGCTCACAAGCAGTGGGGTTCATTAGGCGGCCCAGGTTTGAGCCCAGCTCCACTATTTGCCAGCTGCGTGATCTCGGGCAAGTCACTTAATGGCCCTGGGGCTTCATTTGCTCTCCAGTTAAGTGCGGAAACACTTCAACCTACCTGGCGAGACTTCCTGAGACAAGCTCATTCATAGAGGGCCTAGGACGAGCCGACACCTGGCAGGTGCGCAGGAGGTGGAGCCGCTGTTAGCACCCATGTGGATGGTCTGATTCACAGTCCCTCCCTGGACCTCAGGCTCCCCATCTCTGCAGCGGGGGGCAGCCATCTGAGGTCCCTAATAGTGGTCAGTTCAGAACCCCACCCAGAATGGCAAGTTAATGGCCAGTGCTCATTGTCACGTGCTGTGGGGTGATGGCAGGGATGAACCTCAGGTCACACGCTTACTGCGTGACCTCAGGCAAGTCCCACCCCCTCGCTAAGCTCAGTTCCTCAGTCATAAGATGGTGTGATACTGGGGGTCTCCTAGGCCTACAGTGGCATTAGATGAAGTTTTGAGAAGGAAGCTCAAGAAGGGCATCTTGGTCTTGGCACCTGGGATTCTGCAGACCAGCTCTTGCCAGGCACCCACCTGTAACGGGTTTGAAGCAGCATGGCGCCGTTAAAGAATGGGGTGCAGGCAGAGATGCTGACCACTGGGGACCCAATGGAGCTCTGGGCCACATGGACATCAGCCGTTATTCCCACAGGCATCCTCAGGTCCAGAGACTCTGGCTCCCTGCAGGGAGGCCAGTCCTGAATCCCAGTGGCACCACTCAGGAGAGCCCACCCTGACTGACACAAGACCCCACAAAGCCCTCAAAGCCTGCCCTCCACCTGACACAGGAAGGACTCCAGGGCACACCCTGGACAGGCCTAGAGCCCCCTCCCAAACTCCATTGCAGCAGGTGGGTGTGAGTGCTGGGTCCTCGTGCTCTCTCACTGTGAGAACCTGGGTCAGTCTTTCCCCATGCTGAGCCTCAGTTTCCTCTTCTTTAAAACAGACAAAAGATTGACGGTACCCACTTCACAGGGCTGTGCTATGTTTTCTGATCCACAGCAAGCACGTGTAAAGTGGCAGCGTCGGGCAGAGAAGTTAAAATAAAACATCCCTCTAAATGCCCAGTTCACAGCTGCCATGCAGCAGTTTCATCCCATTTTACAGAGCAGGAAACTGAGGGTGGGAGGAGAGAAGTGACTGTGCAATCACACAGCTGTTGAGCAGGACCCAGTTTCTCAGAAATTCTCTCAAACTCTCCCCACTTGGAAGGTGGGAGAGAGGGCGTTGGACATGAAAGGAGTTATTGAAACCCCTCCTTCCTCTGCCCTCAGAGGGTCCTTTGAAACCCCCCTGCCCCCACAACAAGGAGGTTCACTCACTGAAGGATCTTGACAGAGAAATTGGCTAATGCCGACAAGTGTACCCCCAAATGGGCAATGAATTTCAGGCGGAGGTTGGTCACATCGACACTCAGAATCTGGACCCTGCAGGGTAGGGAATCAAAGTGACAGGGTAGCCCCTGTTAAACCATGGAATCACGGGCCTCCCCTGGTGGTGCAGAGGTTGAGCGCAGGGCTGCGAAGCTGCCCGCAGCCTCTGCAGCACCGTTAGATCCCCGGCCGCCAGCAAGGGTCCCACATGGCGTGACAGACCTATCCTGCCGCTCCCGCTGCTCCCCTCAGCTGTGTATTTCATCACTCTGCCTGTTCTGTTCCCCGTTCTGGCTCTGGTGAATTCTCTCACCCTCCCGCTCTTCTGACTATACCCAGTGCTTGTATAAATAAATAAATCTTTAAAAAATAAACCATGGAATCAACTCTGGGGGTGAGTGGTCTGAGCTGCACCCACACTGTTGATGATATCCTGTTGAAGGACGTTCTGAGCAACGGAAAACATACCCTTCAAAGCCACCTGCTAAGCACTCTCCAGATAACCTGTGATTTTTTTTTTCCCCTAAATCAAAGTCGCTGCTTTTCCCTTGCACATCATGGAGTAGGGGTGGGGGAGAGGCTTTAAAAGGCAAGATGGTATACATTTCAAGTCACATCAAAACTCCACTGCCAAACACTCACTGTTGGCACTTGGGGATGTCTTTCCAAGGTCCTTCTCTGGATACAGGCTGACCTAGAACCTGCTTCACTTCACTAGACAACCATCCTGGGTGTGTTCCCACACCCACAAAGCCACAAACGAGGATGCAGCTCTGTCTTCCAACAGACAGTGATGCCCGTTTTGTGGCCAGCATTCAGGACTTGAGAGATGTTAAAGAGGTCTATCTTGAAAATAATTATTTTTAAAATACATAGCTTTAAATACCTACCTTTAACTATGTATCCACACATGTGTGTCTAGAGATAGACATGCCGTGGGGAAGTGGGAGGGCTGGCAGCGGTGAGTCTGTGTTCCCGTGTGGACCAGGACAGTCAGCCCAGCCCCTGGAGGCTCTGAGTTTGAGATCCCCCTCACCTTCCTCTGCCTCTGAGTCTATGAGTACGGGAGACTACGGGGTAAATTAGGCTCAAACTTGTGTCTGACGTCAGTATCTTGCTGTTGGAGGGAGTAGCAAAGGTCCTGCCAGCCCGGATGACCCAGAAGCACTGTCTTAGTTTCTGGGGGCAGGAGTCTGCTAATACAGAGGCACCATGCCTCAGATCCCTGGGGTCTGCAGTTTGGATGCATCTCCTAAATCCTCCTCTGACCACTTACCTGAGGGGTTGGGGGTATCGAACCTGATGGGAAGACTCATTCTGCTGGTGGGAGAGGACTCACCAGCGCTGAGGACACTCCTCTAGCTGACTGGAGCATTTTTCCCAGTGGGTGGGAGCACTCACCTGGCAGGTGGCATCACCCACCTGGTGACTGTGGCACCTTCTCTGAAGGTGTAGCACTCACTTTTTGAGACGAAGCTCCTTTCCATCCTGTTCCAGTAAGTCTGGGACATTGAACTGCAGAGCTCGCTGGAGAGGGGCTATCCCAATATTAGACACTAGGGGATTAGAGCAACACTAGATCAGCAAGCCCATACCACCTGCCAACTGCTCCGTGCTTGGGCAGAGACAACTCAGAGACTGGAAGGGGCAGGCTTGCCCACATCCACACGGGGGACCTGTTGACTCCCCACAAGCCCATCTTGGGTTTACTACTCACACCAAGCCCTACAAGACAGGCGTGCCCCTCCCCTCTCACGCCCACCTCTCCAAATTCTACATAACCGCACTCCTCAAAAACAATAATATCCTTTGCCCTCTTGCAATGCTCTGGTTAGATCCCATCTCCTCCAGAGCCTTCTCCAAGCCCCCAAGCAGAAAGCGATTCCCAAGTGTGTCTGGTTAACTGTAGAGGTGTCTTCTTTGGGGGTGATGGTGGACGGGACAGCCTCATCTGGAGGCTGAAGACTATAGTGACTCAGATTCTGGGTGCAAATCCAGTAGCTCTGCTACTCACTATCTGTGTAGCTGCTCTGTGCCTCAGTTTCCCCATAGGGTTCTTGTAAAGATTCAGTGCACAATAATGTTAGCTCTTACTCTTGCTATTTATTTTTTAAATACTAGTGGCTATCACTTCTCTAGAACATCTTTATGGTGGCAAGGGCTCCTTGGCAAGAGGGAGTCAGACAGGGCCGCGGCACCTCACTCCCCATGCTGCTGGGTAGCAAAGGTGCTCATGAAACAGTCAAACATGAGAGGAGTTAAAATGAGAGGTGGTGGTGCTGAAGGGCCGCTTCAACTGAGGAGTCAACAGGCCCCAGCTCTGCTCAGACTGTGAGACGGGGGAAGTCCCTGTGTCTCTCAGGCCTCAGTTTCCCCTAGGCTCAGAGCATAAGGGCTGTGGTCTCTATGCCCTCTCTGGCCTGCCCATGTGTTGTGGAGCTGAGACTCATACCCAGGCCTCTGGACTCTGTCTATAGTGTCCCCACACATGCACAGGCCGGACCCTGGAGCTCGCGGATGGGACAGGGAGGATGCGGTCAGCAGCCACTCCGGAGGCCTTGGAAGAGGTGTGGGCGACGTGAGCCTCCCACTGGATTTCCACCAAGAACAAACAGGCTTTCTGGGACAAAGGAGGTTCACACAGGACAGGCAGAGACTTGGAGGGTGGTGGGGCAGTCAGCAGAAGGCCTGAGCCCCACGTCAGCCACGTGCAGCCAGCGTGACCCATAGACAGTCACTCTCCTGCACGGATCACTGACCCCTTTCAACACCTGCAAGTCTGCCCGGATGCAAGGTCCTGGAAGGCCACATGATCCTGAGAGGACCCTGCCACATCCCCAAGCCAGAGCCTCCCTGCTTCATGGGCCAGGCCGCTGAAAGTCCCTCTGCCATCTGACCCAAGTCCCCAACAGTGTAACTTGAGTTCAGTCTGGCCTTGAAGAAAATAACTTCTGATTTCCCATGCCTGACCCAGCTTTGGTAGAACCCCAGAAACCTCCCCAGGGGGACCTGGGGGGTCAGTTTTCATCCCTTCTTGGACCTAAGTTTTCCCTGGTGCTGCTGATACCCGCGATAGGGGAGGGGCCACAAGGAAGGGTGGGGCAGAGCCTTAGCCAGAGGCCCCAAGAGGGGTCCAGAGAAGGTCTGGTTCTTCTCCCTGGAAGACCTAATGGGGTATACTCTAGGACACACCCCAGTACTGTGCTGGACATGCCTCTCCCCAGCACACACGTGCACACAGGCCCCCACCTCCACTCCAAGCGCTTGTGAATGCCCAGCGTACACATCCACACCTGTGTACACATATCCGGGCACACACTGTGGGCACGCACATGCGCCCAGGGTTAGGCCTCCTGCCCAACACTGAAGTGCACATGTGGAGCTTCTCCATGAATTTGCAAATTCCTAGACAGACACACACGAGCCAAAGTAGCACCTCAAACCGACCCATGCCCCCCATGAGGCACGTGAGCACAATCCTGCGTGCACACTTGCACTCTGGACACGACTTGCTGAGCAGCTGTGTCAGGTTCTGGGGCTGGGGGTCCGGGACCCAGGCACAGATGAGCTATGAGTTCACAGTTATTCCTGCTTAGGATGACACACTCGCACAGACAGGGACGCGCGCGCCCGTGCACAGACCGTGCAGAACAGCCTGTCGGCAGGTCCCTTACTGTGGTTCAGGAAGGCGTTGTTGAGTCTGACCACTGCGTCCGGTGGGGAGGTGCCAGCCATGGGCAGCAGCAGCACCAACAGCAGGTTCAGCCCACATGCCCAAGCCATGGTGGCCTGGCCGCTACCCCCCAAAATCTGTGGGCTGAGGCAGGGATAAGCATCAGGGCGGTTGTCCAGAATGCCCTACCCACCCATGTCCCCCTGCAGTTTGAACCCTGCCCCACTCTGGAGGTCGCAAAGCCTCAGCAGTGATTCCAGCCCTGCCCCAGCTCCCCACATCCCTGCTTTGGCAAGAAATCACTTCCCCCCCTACCCCCACCCCATTGCCTGCTTCATCAGGAACCATGAGGAGATCTGGTCTGGAAATGGCCCCCAAGGCCCAGAGAAGATATGGCCCTGCTTAAGGCTACATGGCAAACTCTGGGAGTGCAGGACCCAGGCTATTCCAGAAAAGGATGATGAGACTCCCAGATGGAGACTTGAGCAACTTCCTGTCCCAAGCAGAGAGCCCAGGCCCCTCCACCGAAGCCAGGCCTCTGGGTGGCTGAGCCGAACCAGCCAGGGAGGACTTCAGTGTCTCCTGCCCTCGTCTCCTGCGTGCCAGGTTAGCGTGTCCTGAAAGTCGGCCTCTCACATGACACCCGCCCCCACCAGCCTGGTCCAACTGAGTGGACAGTTGTGTGTTCAACTTGGGGGGCCAGAGTCACGCTGAAACTGCTCAGATGGGTTAACTGAGGCTCTGCGGGGCAGCACTTGCCCAAAGTCCCACAGCACCACCAAGGACAGACCCTTCTGCAGAAGGTGGTTATGAGAGGTCCCCCCGCTGAGCAGAGAGAGCAGCAGAGCCTGCTCCCTGAAGGATACCAGCCCCATCCCCTTCCTACCTCAGGCAGATTCTAGGTCAGATGGATTCTCACTCCCAGTCAAGACCTCCTCTACCCCAGGCAGGTGTGGAAGCTGTTTTATGAGCTTCTCCGGTGTGCAGGGACCACTGGGAGGGACCTGGAGGAGGTCCAGGTTTGCTTGTGGTTGCAAGTGTTTTCCCTGCAAACATGGCCTTTGTCAAAATGTCTCATCCCACATCTGCAGTGGGACTGCCACGTAGCCAGGCCTGGCTGCCAACCACTGCGAGACCTTGGGGTCAGGCAGCTTTGAGGCCTCAAGGGCCAGGACATCTTTCGAAGGAGGCCAAGAAGGAAGGGGAGGCCCAAAGTCAGGGGGATGCCTGCAATTACTTCTCAGGTTGGGGGCCTCTAAGCTCTCCCAGAAACACGACCTTTTAGGAGGAACAGGAGATTGCCTGAGCCCCAACTCCAGGCACTGACAACCCCACTCCTGGTGACACAATAAGCCCTAATCCAAAAAGCAACAGACGAGAGGGGATGATGACCTGGTCCCCACTGCTTAACACCCCACTTTCTGTCCAGAAGTGCATCCTACTCACAATAGAATTAGCCCATTTTCTTTCCACATTACAAACCTCAGGGTACATGGCACCCAAGGAACTTCGTGTGCACTGGATAGAGTTTGTATATATGTGTGTGTATGGGTCATAAGTGTGTTTATGTGTGTATGGTTGTGTGTGCGTTGTCATGTATGCACTTGTGTATTAGGTCGTGATTACTGGCATCAGGGTAAAGTGTGTGTCTGTATGTACATGAAATGAGTTTGTTGGCATCTTAATTTAAGGTGTTACATACCTGTTTATGAGAACCTACAGGAGTGCAGATGTGGGGAGATTTGTGATATTATGTTCGTGTCTGTGTGAGGTAGGTTCATGTGCACACGTGTGTATATGTGTGTATGGTGGGCTGTTTCCTCACCTGGAAGGAGGTGTATGTGCTTACATGAGTGGAAGTCATTTCCGTTCCTCTGAATGACTCACCTTGGGTATAAGAACAAGGGGCCTTGGGCCCTTCCCCCATTGCAGAGTCCTCTATGGCTCTCACTGACTCCACACCAACCCAAATACCAGACCAGAGCTCAACTCCACCTTGTACTAGGTCCCTGCTATTTCTCCCTGAGCTCACAGGGACTGCAGGCACCACTGAGCCATCCCCTGAGAGGCCTGACCTCTCTTAGACCAACCCTGCCTCCCAGTCAATACTCACCCTCCCTAGTCTCTAGGCAAAAAGGAGCAAGAAGAGCCAGCTGCAGGCTCCCCAGTGTCCTATTGCTGGCCTCATTTGTCCACCAATGCCTAAGACCATTCCTCCTGGCCCTCACCATAGCTGAGGCAAATAGCAGAGTCAGCGGACAGGGGTGCAAATATTGACCAAACCTGCTCTCAGTGTTTGCACTCGGTATGAACACTTCCTCTTCCTCAACATTTCCAGCACAGGGGACAGTGGATGACAGCCAGGAGACACAAAAGAGGAAGATTATCAAGCCTCCCTGCTGGCACAAGGAGTTAAGCACCACACTATGAGGCAGTCCACAGCCTCTGCAGCACGAGTTCGATCCCTGGCCGTCCAGAGAGCAACCCACATGGTGCAGCAGACCTCTCCTGCCTTGCCTGCTACTCCCCTCAGCAGTGTACTTCTGCCTGTTCTGTTCCCCACTCTTTCTCCGGTGAATCCTCTCACCCCCTGCATCTCTTCTCCCTTGTCTGCCTTCCCTTACCATTTATGAGGACCTTATTATTTTAGGCCCACTTGGGTAACCTAGGATGCTTCCATTTCAAGGTCAATTGATAAGCAAACTTAATCCTATTTGCAAGTTTTAATTCCCCTTTGTTATGAAATCTACATATTCACATGTTCAGGTACACTGGCCTCTTTGGGGGCCATGGGTATTTAGCCTGCAATTTGAGCAACTGCCACTAGAAGGCAAAAGTGAGTACATTTTAGCTTCAGAGTCCAGAAAAGCTTTCCGTAGGTAGGGCTGATAGAAAAAACTGAACCAAACATGTCTACTCTTTACATTTTTCTTTTTCCCCAGTAAAGAGTAGGACTTCATTAAACCACACATATACATTATTTTGTGCTATGCAAAGTGTCTAGTGTAAGAAGTTCAGCATTATAAAATGCAGCCACGTAAAACCTGTAAAGATGGTAAGTCAAGAAAGATTAGGGCAGGAAGGCTCTAGAAGCAAGAAAATGCATAGCCTGGATATTGGAGCCTCAGGGATGACACCTGCCCAATCTCTGAGACCCTGAAGTGGCCCTTCCTGTCCTGAGGCCTCAATTTTCCCATCTCAAAAAGCAGAAATTTGGTCAGAATGGATTCCTCTGAGGGGAGGCTCCAGGATCATGCTGGAGCCTTACAGCCCTCTGTGCACACGCCTGCTCTATGAGGTCACAGTGCCTTCAGCTCCACTTGACCCAGGTAGATTCCACACAGCATCTTCCAGGGAACGCCAGGAGGCAGTGGTAGCAGCTGCAGCTACTTCCTCCCCGCCATCTCCCAGAGAGCCCCGCGACCATTTCCCCTTCCTAGAGAAGAAAACCAATGCCACGGACCGCAAGGAATCCTGTGAGCCCGTGTAACCCACGTGAAGAGGTGACGCACAATTACAGGCATGCCAGGACCAGGAGGTGAGGACAGCAGCCCCTCCCGCCACCCAGTTCTTTACAGTGGGCAAAATGCTGCCCCCCTGTCATTTCTTGGAGGTGAGTAGGTGGCATTACCAGCTGCATTTTTCAGATGCAGCCACTGAGGTCTCCTGGCCAGGAAGTGGGGGACAGTTACCCTGTCAGCCCTTATTTGTGGAGCACCTGTTATGTGCCAGGCACTGGGCAGTATGCTGGGAGCACCATGTTGCACCAGATGGATGTGCTCCCTGCCCCCAGGGACTTGTGAGTCCCTGTCTAGTGAGGGAGACATCTGTGGGAAGCCTCTGGCTTCAGGGACTGAAACTCCAACTCAAAATGATAGCTGCTCCGGGCCCCCAAATGGGGTGTATATCCCAAAAGGGCATACAGAACAAAGCAGCCCATTTGGTGAGGTGAGAAATTATTAAAACTTCAGTATATACATAAATAGAATGTGGGTCTGCTAATCCTAAGTGGCCTGCTGGACCACCACTTTTGTAATCTGCAAGGTCAGAACTGCTCAGTCAATCAGTTATAGGAGCCCAACCCTGCAAGGTGCCTTTCAAATCAATCAATCATGGGACGGGCATGCATCAAGGAGCAGAAAGCTGCCTGCAGCCTCTGCAGCCCAATGGGCCACGGGCATGCAGATCAGCAGTGTAGGTCAGGTACCAGTGGGACATGCCCATGGGGGGACTGTTGACTGATGTCTAACAAGGGACCCAAGAGGCTGCTCAGTGACACCCCTTGTTGATGAGACTGAAGCCATGGCTGGGGGTCTAGGGCTTTGTTTCAATTATAATACCAAGTCATCAAGAAGTACCTGGGGGAAAACTCGTGACCCCTGAAACTAGAGATGACACAGCACATTTTCTAGTTTCACCCCTCCCTTTTCTCTTTTTCCTCCTTCCCCTTACAACTAATGCTGGATCATTCTATCAATAAAAAAGCCAAGCAGCATCCTGCTCCACGATTCCCGTTTCTTTATCAGTGTGGAGTTGCCGACACAATGGAGTTCCTCCTCTTTTAATTTATATCCCTCAGTAATATATAAAAGATGTGCATACATATACATATATATGCATAGACTCAGTTAGCACAACTGGGTGTATGTTTTACTTACATGTTTAATTTCTTAATGAATAAACATAACTATATGGGGGTATAATTAAAAAATGTTTGGAGAACATTGCTTTAAGAAATAGAGAAAAATCCCCCCCAGGGCCTCCCTGGTGGTTCAAGGGGTTAAGTCTCAGCACGATGAAGCCATCCGCAGCCACTGCAGCAGGAGTTCCATCCCTGGCCAGGGAGCTACCCAATGGCACAGCAGACCTCTCCTGCCTCGCCCGCTACTCCCCTCAGCAGCGTACTTCAGTCAGTCTGCCTGTTCTGTTCCCCACTCTGTCTCTGGTGAATCCTCTTACTCCCCGCATCTCTGGCCTGTACCCCAGCTCTTGTATGCATAAATAAATAAATCTTTTTTAAAAAAAGAAATAGAGAAAATATACCTCATGCCCAGATGTTTTGGGCCGGGGGCCCCAGAGTACTTGAGTCCCCCGGCTCTGCACTACAGCCAAGACCCAGGTTCCCACCATTTTCTCACCCTTCTTCCTGCCTCTTCTCCCAGGCACAAGATGGCAATCGCAATCCCAGCATGGCTGCAGCGAGTGGACGGAGAGTGGGGATTGCTTCTTGTGGGTCTCATTCTAGCAACGAGAAAACTTTTCTTCTATGTCCCAGCCCCCCACACCCGCCCTTCATCTCTGTACCTCCCGCCCCTCATCCCTGTCGACTCCCGTCACAGCAAGGAGAACAGGAGCACTGCAACAGGCTTCGGCTAGTCAAGATGGTCTGAAATCTCATGGGGTAGAGGTGGACAGGGGAACAGAGCAGCCTCCTGCCAGCAAGAGGAGGCAGTGGGGCTCAGGGGACGGCCACCTGTGACTGCCACAGCAAACCGAGTCCTACCTCAAAAGAGAACTGGATTTGGGATCAGCCAGACATGGGTCTGTCCCTGACTCCAAGCTGGCGGTCTTGGGCAATCTTCTCTGCAACTCAGTATCTGTCTGGAGCACGGGGATACCCCATTCCTTGTAACACGTAATTGTGAATCTTGTCATCCCCAGGATCAACCAACAAAACCGGTGCAACAGCAGGGTATCAGAGGACAACTCAGCCCGTCCAGGTGATGAGGGTGGAGAAAGGAGAGCCCCGGGGTCTTTGCGGGCAGTAAGGGACCGAGATTCAGAGATGCCAAATGGGCAACCCAGGGTCACCCAGCAAGGGGCAGGACACGGGGGCCAGGGATGCTTGCACCAAGTGCCAGGTGCTCCCCATTATCTGTAAGCGCCTTGTCCCAGAGATTAGGAGTGACGTGCATCCCCACGCTCTCTACAGGTGATGTCTCCCCGTTGCCTACCCGCTTCAATGCCCCACTCCCAGGCCTGACTCAAGCCACATTGGGGTGTCTGTGTACGTATATACTGAAAAGCTACCTTGGTCATCCGCGGGCCTGGGGAACGGGCCCAGCCTCCGCCCAGGCTGACCTGGGGTGGGGGGATGAAACTTGTACCGGTGGCAGGGGTGAGAGATTGAGCTCTGGAGGTCCCCTCCACTGCCCCCAGCCTGGGCACCGAGCCAAGAGGCCGCTGATTGAGTCATGAGAACAGTTTATGCAACCCACCCTCATAGGGACATCGTTCTCATGACACCTACTAGGCGGTCGTCCACCCACCTCTCCACTTATTCAGCCACTCAGTCATTTATCCAACATTTGCCCTTGTGTCCATCTGTTGTAATTTACACGCACTCTGCTAGCTCATTCATGCACCCACTAGGCCGCTCATCAATTCCCGTGCTTGAGCTGTTGGCATTCACTTCCATCCAGTCATGCACCATTTGAGCCACTCTTGCTTCCTCTCAGCCATCCACACATCCTCTTGCCCAGCCCTCCCTCCGTCCATGTGTCCTGCTCACCCATTCTGAGCTCCTACTTTTTGTCTTGCTCCACGCACTCCACTCTGACCTTGAGAAGCTCCCAGGTTTGGGAATGGGCACTTGTCCGTCCCAGGAGTGTCTTGCTCTGGAGTCACTGTTAAGTCTCTCTGACCGGCCAGATGCAAGCATGTCACCTACAGGACCACATTCACCCTACGCCGGTACTTACCAACAAACAGAGCAGGGCTGTGCGGGGCAAGTGGAGGGGGCCTCCCCATTACAGGATCTCCCTCTGTCCCAGGACAACAGGATAATAATGAGGTGCCGCACTCACTGCTTTCCTGTCTCCTCTGCAGCCTGGATCACTTGCCTGGCCTGCTTCCTGAGGACTCAGGCCCAACAAGTTCTGTTCAACACCTGCAGGTGAGTAGGGACAGGCAAGGAGGGGGGGTGCAGGTTACAGGGCTGGAACCACACAGCTGCTGGGCATGTTGCGCCCTCATGGATTTGAACCGCCCATGAACACAGGAAGGGATAAGCTATCCCACACTTGGCTTCAGTAAGATGCTCTTTCTCCAGAACCCACTGTGCCTCCCCTCTGCTGTAGCTCCTCAGCCTGCAGCCCTCTGGAATCCTGCCTCGCCCAGTCTTTCTGAGCTGCACTCAATCTGCTCCTTGCTGTGTATCTATTGGGCAGCGAGAAACTTGTGTGGTCATGCACCACCTCTCCTCTTATCCAACCATTCATCTGTGTATCCATCTGTTGTAATATGCGCACATTCCCTGTCTTCCAGATGCAAGCTGCTCTTCCAGAAGGTCATGGAAAAGACAGGTGTTCTGGTCCTCTGTGTTTTTGGTGCGTCTCCAGGCCCTGCCCTGTCCCAGGTGGAGGTGTCCCTGAGCTCTAGTCCCTCCTGGGGAGGGAAAGGGAGGACTCTGGCACTAACTACATGACACTAGGCAAGATTCAGCCCCTCTATGAGCCTTAGTTTCCCCACCTGTCTAATGAGTATGCTGTGAGGATTAAATGAAATGACCAAGAAAAAATTTTGAAAGCTAAGGAAAATTTTGAAAATGTTAAAGCTCTCCCCAAACCATGTTAAGTTAATTAATTATTACTGGGTTTCTGTGGTTTCCTCCTGGCCTCCTCGCTTCTTCCTCCACCACCACCTCCCACACCGCTGCTTTGCTTTCTCAGGCCAAGGAACGGCCTCCCTCCAGTCAAGTGTACCAGACTGGGAGGGAGGCAGAATCAGCCCCTCATCAGAAAATGAGCAGTGAGTCCTAGGACACTTACCCACCTAATAAGAGTTATCTAAATAACGACTTTATTGAGATATTATTCACACACATTAAGTTCACCCTTTTCAAAATGTACAATTCAGTGCATACATCACCACCATCAAATTGCAGTATTTTCACTACCCCCAAAACCCCCAGTCCCTGGCAGTCATTACTCCTCCCTTCCCCCAGACCAAGGCAACCACTAATGCATTTCTTTCTCTCCAGATTTGCCTGTTCTGGACACAATGGAATCATGCACTAGGTGGTCTTTGTGGCTTCATTTCACTCAGCATACTGCTTTCAAAGTTCATCCACCCTCTATCAGCACTTCATTCCTATACATGACCAAAATATTCCATTGTATGTCTTACCATATTCGTATATCTGGTCATCAGTTGATATATATTAAGGTTGTTTCTGCTTTTTGGCCGTCACTAATAATGCTGCTTTGTGTGTTCCTGTAACATTTTTATGGGATGTGTGTTTTCAATTCTTTTGGGTATATGTCTAAGAGCAGACTTGCTGGGTCACATGGTAACTCTCTGTCTAGTCTCTGAGGAATTGTCAAAAACTATTTTCCAGAGTGACATTCCTGCCAGCAATGTATGAGGGTTTCAATATCTCCACATCCTCACAACACTTGTTATCTGTTTTTTATTTTTTTCTTCCTAGAGGATAGTTTTGTTTTTACTTCCCTGATAACTAATGATGTTGAGTTTTGAATGTATTGGCCATTTCCATATTTTCATTAGAGAAATGTATATTCAGACCTTTGCCTATTTTTAAATAGGTTATTTGTCTTTTAACTATTGAGTTATCAGAGTTCCTTATGTAGTCCGGATGCAAATCTCTTACCAGATACAAGACTTGCAAATATTTTCTTCCATTCAGATCATTGTCTTTTCACTTTGGTGGCAGTGTTCTTTGCAGCACATCATTTTTAAATTTTGATGCAGTCCGATTTATCTCCTGTCCCTTGTGCTTTTGCTGTCATATTTATGAAACCATTACCTAACCCAAGGTCATAAAGATTTACTCCCACGTTTTCTTCTAAGATGTCTAAGAGTTTAGTTCTTCCATTGAAGTTCATGATCCATTTTTAAGTTAATTTTTGCATGTGGTGTGAGGTAAGGGTCCAACTCTATCCTTTTGATAGAGAATGATAAATAACCTTCAGCCTCAAGCATGTGCAATGTATTGAATGAAAGGAGTATACTTGTTTACAACCTCCAGAGATGAGCAACACTTTGTTTTATGTGCTAGACCTTACATGTATCAGATCAGTCATAAAGTGGATATTGTTGTTATCCCCATTTTACAGAGGTGAAAACTGAGGTATAGAAATTGCACAATACTAGTTAGTGTCAAAACTAGGATTTGAACCGAGATGCCTTACTTACAGAGCCTAAACTCTTAACCTTTCATCTTAAATGGTCCATTCTCATTTCCCTGGCCCCACAGGATTCTGGGTGCTTTCTATCCACATGCCAACCAAAATGGAAGTCTGGCAGGTAAGTATGTCTGCTCTTAGACATCGCAGCCAGTCACTGTCACCTCCATAATCTCCCCTTGTTCTCACCACATCTGGATCCTAATCAGTTCCTGATCAGTTCCTGATCAGTTCTTGATTATTCCAGCTCCAACTCTCTGCTCTTGCCTTGCCACACACTGGAACCCATGTCTCCTGCTAAAGTGAGTTTCAAAGACTAGATGCAATAGTCCCTCCTCCAGGATGCCTCTCCTGTCTGTCACTCCCAGAGGTCACCTTCTCCTTTCTCAAGGTCCCCACATAAAGGATGATGAGGACAGGGAACACATTTCTCTTTCAAGGAAGTTTGTTCTCCTGGTCAAATGAGATGAAACCATTTGTGTTGTGGTTTTTGGGGACGAAGGACAAGGAAATCAGTTGCCAGAGCTCCCCAAGGACAGCAAGAAGTCTCAGAAAGCCTATGGAGAAAGGGGATGTGAGAGGCTTATCTGACCCTTTCTGTCCTCCCCTCTTAAACTCCAAGATCCGCCCTCCAGAAATACTCTGGCTAAAGTAATCACATTCCCCTTTCTCCGTCTACAATTTTCTGTAATTGCTGCTATTTCCTCCACTGTACTGGCAATCCTTGGAGGCAGAGCTATGTCTGTTTTACTCCAACAATTACCACCTAAAGTTCAGGCACAGAGCTGCCACTATTAATTTGGGGTGCTTAATGAAGTGTGACTGGAAGGAGAGTGGATGAGAGGCTAGGTGGGCGAGTGAAAGGAAGAGGGGATGGATTAGAGAGTCATCAGTGGGAGAGCAGATGGGATGGGTGGATGGAGGCTGGGGGGTGATGGGCGTGCGGAAGGATAAGGGGGGATAGATGGATGAAGGAGTTTGGATAAATGGAAGGGGAGAGGTAGGTGAGTGGATAAGTGAGTGGATAGAAGGGTGGAATATAGATAAATGGGTATAAAGGAGGGTAAACTGGACTTGGGGTGAATGGTGAATGATGGATTACTGAGAGAGTAAATAGGAAGGCGGGGAAATGGACGGATTTGTGGTTGTGGGAGAATGGGTGGATGAAGCGCTTTTCAACCCAGATTAGGCCATCTAAAGGAGACTCCTTGCTTTCCTCAACGCCCTACCAGGATGGCAGCATAAAGAGTCCACTGCAAAGCTTGCGGTAAGGAGAATATGCCAAATAGTGCTATTATCATCTAAAAGCTGGAGATATAGCCAGAGTCTGGGGTGTATACTGACTAAGAATGTGAGCTCTGTAGTCAGACAGATCTGGATTTAAATCTCAACTCCCACCCCTCTTTCCCAGCTAACCTTATGCAAGTCACCTCATCTCTCTAGTCTTTAACTCACTGTTTATGAAATGGGGTGTAACATCCACCTTGTTCTGGGTGATTACGGGTTTTAAAGACGGTGTAGTGTTTTCAATAGTCCATAATCAGTGTTCAGAAAACTGTAGCTGACAAGACATTTTAGCCAACAAGATACCTGGGGGCAGCATCCTTCATTGCAGTCAAAATATTTGGAAGAAATGGGCTGGATTTAAGGATATTCCAAGCAGGAGGAAGGTCCAAGTGTGGGCACAAGACAGAGGAGAAATGTGAAACTAGTTTTTTTTTTTTTCAAGTTTTTTTTATTTATTTATGCAAGCACTGGGGTACAGACCAGAGGCATGGGAGGGTGAGGAATTCACAGAGACAGAGTGGGGAGCAGAACAGGCAGACTGACGAAATACCCTGCTGAGGGGAGCAGCGGACAAGCAGGAGAGGTCTGCCCCGCCATGTGGGAATCTTCCCAGCCGGTCGGGAATCGAACCTGCACTGCAGAGGCTGGGAAAGCTTCACTGCGCTGTGCTCAACCTGCTGCACCACCGGGGAGGCCCTGATACTAGTTCTTTATAGGCTGACTAGCCAAGGTGGAAGCCGAGGATGACAGTAGCAGCATCACGGGTGGGTCAGCCCCTGTCTTTTTTCCTTGTAAGGCTGTACCAGGAGAAGGTGCGGCATCACACTGGGGAAATCCAGCACCTCCGAGGCAACATGAACCAGCTCATTATCAAGCTCCAGATGATGGAAGCCTTGTCAGATGAGGTTAGACATTGGCCATTCTGCCTCAAACACCTAGCTTCTCTTTGTTTGATGCCTTGCTTCCCATAGCCCAAGTTTTAATGGAGCATATCCACCAGTAACATCCAGGAAAAGAGGGAAATAAGTGGAAACATGTTAATTTAGAACTTGCAAGTTTGAAAACACCTTTATTCTACCTTTGCAACTCATGAATAATTTGTCTGGGTATAGAAATCTCCTTGTGAAATACTTCCCCCGAGAGTTTTGAAGAAATCCTCCACAGTGTTCTAATTTATACTGTTGCTGTTGAGGATTCTAGTGGTGCTCTGATTATTGGTCCTTTGAGTGTGGTCTTTTTTTATTCTTGGGAGATTGCTGGATATTCTTTTAGTCTCCAGTGTTCTATATTTATTAGCTTATGAGTTTGTAGAGCTTATTGAATCTATGGATTGATGTTTTCAATAGTTTTGGGAAATTATAATCTCTCAAAATATTGCTTCTTTCCCATTATCTAATCTCCCCGAGGACTCCAGCTACATCTATGCTAGACCTGCAGAGTGCATTCTTAAAGGGCTATTCCTAAAAGAATTCCTATTCTTTTTTCCTCGAAGTTTTGTTCATTCTTTTTCCTCCACTTAGGTTTTTAATATTTTCTACCCCTATTTCTTCAGGTTCACTAATAATCCTATACTCTGCTCTGTCCATCTACTGTTAAATCTTTCCATTAAGTTCTTAATTGCACATATGGAAGGGCAAAATGTAACCCCAAAATTAAAATAAAATTATTTTCAAGTTCTGACTTGCATATATTGCATTATTTAGCTCTAGAATATACATTTATTTTCCAAAGATTTTAAATTCCATAGTGAAATCGCCAACATTTCATCTATGTTATCCATCTTTTCCTTTGTTTTATTTAACATATTGGTCATAATTATTTTTAAATCTTTGTCTGCTAAATTCGGTGTCTGTATCACCTATGTCTCTATCTATTGTCTATTTTTTCTTTGGAATATTAACAATATGGTTTCCTATGCATCTTTGGGTCTTTCTGGACTTTGTATACAAAAGAACTGTAGAGGTTCTAGGTAGTTGTAACTTCTACCAGAAAAAGCTACTTCCTGTTTTTCATGAAATACACAGATCACTTGTACATAAACATGGAATGAGCTTAGTCAGACCTGGATTGTCATTTTTTATAAAATTTACTTAGAGGTTTTTCACTTAACCCTTTAGTCTGCCTATGTAGCTTCAAAAATTTGGTCAATGTCCTCATGGGAAAGACCAACTATAAGTTTGAGGCCTTTTAAGTCACCAGTTTTGTCTCCCAATCCTGCATTAATGCAAAATCTCTGACCCCAAAGGCAGCCTTCTCTGCCAAGAGCAAATTTGGATTCTCAGCCTCTAATCACACCCATATTGATTTAGTGTGCCCAGGTGACAGGCATTCACAAGTCTTAGCGGCAATCCTCACAGCTGTGAGAGGTGGATATGACTGTCCCCCCACCTCACAGACAAGAAAACCAACACTCAAAGGGACAGTAACTAGCCCAAAGCCCCAGAGCAGATGCCTGGCCTCACATGTGACATCCTGGCACAGTGGGTGTGAAGGTGGAGTCGACCCAGTGGGTGGGGTAGGGGTGCTGCTTGCTGCTGGGGCTTCCTCACAGAACACTGCATGGAAGTATTCAAGGTAGCCCCAAGCATGGACCAGCACAGCTTCTACAGGCAGGGAAAAGAGGGTGTCCTGCAGCCACATGTCACCTGGTGTGAACACGCATAGGGGCTGTGATCTGCAAAAGACACCAGGGCAAAGTTTGTGTTTTCTGCCTTCTCAGCAAAGAATGGCCCAGAAAATAATGAAGATGATACAAGGAGATTACATTGAAAAGCCAGACTTTGCCTTGAAGTCTATAGGTGAGTGATTGGCCCACGTCAGGTTTCCTCAGAAACTTCAGAAGGTAGAGTTCAGTTCTGGTCTGAGCTCATCCCCTAAACATTGGGGTCACGGCCAAGTGGAGGAGACAAACCAACACTGGCCCAATTGCCATTGGGAGTCAGTGTTCTGGAAAAATAAAGCAGGTTGCTTGACTGGAGGGAAGCAGGACAGAGGGGTAGGGAAGAGAGCATTTGGTTGAGACTTGGTGAGGAGAGAAAAGCATTGCAGACTGAGGGAACCTAAGTGAAGGCGACCTTGAGAAGATGCAGGAGGAGTGAGGAAGGCTGCATGGGAGCAGGGAGGATGGGGCTGTGGGCTGCAGGGCAGATTGGCCCTTAGTGAAGGGCACGCTGGGCCAGCTGATCTGACCCAGGCACCTCCAGGCTTAAGCCCAAGGAGATAAAGTCAGAGGACATCAGCTTAACCTCTCAGGACCTCACTTGACCTCTCAGGACCTGAGCTTCCTCCTCTGGGAAATGGGTGTAACAGAAGCCACAGAAATAATAACCAGGTTGACATGAGTGAACACTTCTACTAGGCCAAACATTATTGAAAAACATGTCAAAGTATGAACTTATTTCAACCCCAAAACGCCCATAGAAAGCAGACACAGCCACCACTGCTATCATCGTTGCTATTATTACTCCCGTTCCCCAGAAGAGAACACAGAGGTCCAGGAGACCGGTGATTCAGCCAAAGTGCCTGCCTGGCACGTAGTGAGTACCCCATCAGCGAGGCTCCCCTCCACTGGGCAGAAACGTGCCTGCTTGATGGGGAACCCTCCATCTCCCATACAGGGGCCACCATCGACTTTGAGCAGACGTCAGCCACATACAACTATGACAAGGCTCGCTCCTACTGGAACTGGATCCGGCTGTGGAACTATGCACAGCCCCCGGACGTGATCCTGGAGGCAGGGGAATGGCAGGAGGATGGGGGAATAGCAAGGGATGGTCAGGGTCTGGGGGACAGAGCTGAAAGCCTGGATGGGGGTAGGGTTAGGAGCCGGTGGCAATGGATCAGGGTGGGGTGCTGGGGAAGAGTCAGGGGCAAGGACAGAAGGTTAGAGCAGAAGCAGAGGCCCCTGCGGGTGGGGGGCTGGCATAGACGCATAGGGGCACTGACAGCCTGTTTTGGCTTAAGACTTGAGGATCAGGGAACCCTCACCGGCCCAAGCAGGCCTCTGGCATCACTGTGCTGGGCTAAGGGGCTGAGGGGAAAGCTCATCCTTAATCAGGGGAGCTTCCTAGAGTCGGTGGCGCTAGGAGCCAAGCTTTGCAGATAGTCGGGAAGGATCTGGCTCATCCAGGAGGTGTGAGATCTAGGGGCACCAGGGTGGGATGAGGATTCACCCTCACCACTACCCCCATCCAGCACGGCTCCCATTGTACCTGTTCCTTCCAGCCCAATGTGACACCAGGCAACTGCTGGGCCTTCTCAGGTGACCGTGGCCAGGTGACCATCCGGCTGGCCCAGAAGGTCTATCTGTCCAACCTGACGCTGCAGCACATCCCCAAGACCATCTCGCTGTCGGGCAGCCTGGACACCGCCCCCAAGGACTTCGTCATCTACGTTAGCACGCCCCGGCAGGGAACATTGCTTAACTAAGGGAACAGCCTTGTGGCGGTGGTACCCCAGGGTCTGACAAATCTGTCTGCACAACCCAGGCAGCTGGAGGGGCTGGATGAGGCCTTGTAAAGGCTGGAAATGGGCAGGGTCAGGTCCCAGCCTTCAAGGATAGGGGGTAAACAGCCACTCTGTTTCAACCCCAGCTTTTCAGAGCCAATTTAGTTTTCAGTGACCATTGAATCCCCACTTTACTGATAAAGAAACTGAGGCCCAGAGTAGGGTCAGATCTCACAACTCAATGGCGAAGTTGACATGGGCCCTCAGCCTTCTGACTCTCAGTCCAGTGCTCCAAAAAGATAGGGAGCTCCCCACCCTGGGAGGTGGGCAAGTCTCCCTGCTTGTCTCTGACACTTTCTCCTGTGCTCTGACACCAAAGGGCATGGAAGGCTCCCCCAAAGAAGAGGTGTTCCTAGGGGCATTTCAGTTTCAGCCTGAAAACATCATTCAGACGTTCCAGCTGCAGGTACCTGAGGAGAGCTGCCTGTGTTGAGCACCTACTGAATGCACAGTGTGTGCAGGGGACCCACTTCGACAGCCCCAGCAGGGTCACGGCAGTGACTAGCCCACTTAACAGACAAGGAAACTGGCAGTCAGAAGGGTGGGGCCGCTGCCTGTGGCCGAGTGTCCCGAGGAGGTCCATGCACCTCTGACCTGACCTCCCAGGGACAGCGGGTGTGGAGCCGGAGGGTGCCCTTCAAGCTAGAGTTGCTGGCTGCAAACTTAGAGTTTCCACACTGGGAGGCCCACAGAGAGCCCCTACTCCAACCTCCAGTGGATAAACTGCGGCTCGGAGGAGCAGGAGTTGGGGACAGAATCAGGACAGATGGGGTGGCTGCTGGAATGGCCCTGAGACTCGCGAAGTCTAGACTTGAGACTCAGGCTGGCCCTGGTCCAAATCCTGATCCCCCACAACTTCTACATGGTCTCGGGCCATCCCTGACTCTCCGGGCCTCAGTTTCCCCTTCCGTTAATCCCTGGGGATTGAGGTTGAGGCCATCCAGTGAGGTCTCCACAATCAAAGCCCCCCTTCTGCACTGGGCAAGGATCATGATAACCTTAGCAGCCCCATGCCCTCTCCAAAGGGGCCCACAGGGAAGGACTGCACTTCCAGAGCTTCTAGTCGTGCCAGTGCTGATAAGCCGTGCAGCCCCAAGCCTGGTTTCATGCCCCCAGGAACCTGGGGAAGCAGATCTCACTGCACCCATCTTATAAAGGGAGAAACTGCAGCCCAGAGAGAGGCAGTAGTTTGGCCGGGGCCTCACGGCACGTCCGTGCCAGGGCCCCAAGTCTAGGACACCCAGTCTGTCTCCTGGCCTCAGCACTGTCTGCCCCAGGTCCTGTGTACTGACTTTCTGCACAGCCTTGGGGCAGGCCTTTCCCCTCTCTGAGCTCCAGTTTCTCCACCTGTGCAATGAGAAGGTTCCCTTCCACTCCTGAACGCCCCTCTGGACAGGTGCTGGGCCCTGTGCGTGAGCTGTCCCATGTCTTGCTCTCTTTCAGAACCAGCCCCCCCGGAGTTTTGGTGCAGTCAAGGTGAAGATATCCAGCAACTGGGGGAACCCACGCTTCACCTGCCTATACCGTGTCCGAGTGCACGGCTCCGTGACCCCCAGAGAGCAGCCCAACTAGGGCCCCTCCCCAAGAGATTAAAGTCTATTCTTCACACGCCAGCTCAAGTCTGTGTGTCTGGGCCCTGAAGAGAGGGGATGGGCTAGCGCCGACCCCCCCCCCACCCCGGTCATGACTGGCAACCTTGGTCGTTGGCTAGGTGCCTCATGACAGCCCTACTAGGCCCCGTTCCACTGATGGAGACAGTGAAGTCCAGGCCACCAAGTAACCTGCCACAGGGGTCAGCAGAATCCAAACCCAGGCATCTGACGCCTATATTGAGTCATCTCCCTGACTTCAAGTTCTGTCCCACTCTATGTGTGACCTTGGCCAGACCCAGCCCTCTAGGGGCTCAGTCTCCCCATTGATATAACAGGGACAGGATGGTGACTATGGTATCAGATGAGGAAGGAAAGGGAAGTCCCACCCCTGCCCACCTCGGAGTATTTCACTGTCACAGATGTACTGTGTGGCATCGGGCAGGACACACACCCTCTCTGGACCTCAGTTTTTCCAGATATAAACATTTCTGTTCCCTTGTGTGCATCAAAAGACAATATTGACAAAGTAAAAAGCTAAACCCCCAAATGGGGGAAAAATTTGCAAATCATGTATATATGATAAGGGATTAATATCCAGACTACCCAGAGAACTCCTAAAACTCAACAGCAAAAGAACAACACAGTTCAAAAACGGCAAAGGACTTGAATGGACATTTCTCCAAAGAAGAGATACAAATGGCCAGTAAGCATATGAAGAGTTGCTCAACATCACAATGAGAAATGCAAATCTAAACTGCAATGAGATACCACCAGGACCATTAAGACAGCTGTCCAGAACCAAACAGATAAAGTATTGCTGCAGATGTGGAGAAACTGGAGTTCCTGTGCTTGGCTGGTGAGAATGTAACATGGAGCAGACACCGTGAACAGTATGGCAGTTCATCAAAAAATGTAAAATAGAATTACCAGATGATCCAGTAGTCCCACCTCTGGGTAGATAGCTGAAAGAACAAAAATCAAGGTCTTAAGAGAGGCATATGTGTGCCCACATTCAATGCAGCAATAATCATTTACGTGGCAGCCACCCAAGTGTCCACCACTGGATAAAGGATAAACAAAATGTGGTATATACAGACAGTGAAGTGTTATTTGATCCTCAAAATTGGGAAGGAAATTCGGACACAAGCTGCAGCATGGCTGGACCTTGGTGCTAAATGAAATAAGCCTGTTGCAAAAAGACAAATGGTGCATGGTCCCACCTATGGGAGGCACTCAGTGTGTCCAAACTGAGACACTTAGTGTGTCCAAGCTGAGACACTTAGTGTGTTCAAACCTATAGGGACTGTAAACAGAATGGCTGCCAGAGGTTGGGGAGGAGGGATGGGAGTGTTTAGCGGGTAAAGGGCCTGAGTTTCACAAGATGAGAAGAGTTATGGGGCTGGACGGTGGGAATGTTTGCAAAGCAACGTGAAGATACTTAACGCCACTAAACTGCATAAATGAATATTGCTGCATTGAATGTGGGCACACATATGCCTCTTTTAAGACCTTGATTTTTGTTCTTTTAGATATCTACCCAGACAATAAATTTTATGTTATAAAAATTAAAATTATTTAAACCTGTGAAGGAGAAAATCTAGGACACTTTTGAAACATTTTAAGAAAATCATTTCATTCTGATAGTACATTCCGCGTCATTACTATAAGCAAATGCAGGTTTTTTTTAAGTTCCTCATATTTTCTTCCATAATTTTTGCCATAGCTGAGCTCCCACCTGTTGCGGTATTTGCTTGCCAGCTTACGGGAGTGCTAAAAACGGTATCAACTTCCATGATTCCTCCGCCCACGGAGCTCAGCACAGAGCAAGGTAAACAGTAGGTGCTGGGTAAGTGATAGCCCAGGTTACTGTCAACCCAGGCAGGATGGGAGGCCTCTGTCAACGCACAGTCGCTGGTCCATCCTTCTGCTGTCATCGAGTTCCCTCAGTCGTCCGACACCAACCTGATTCTCTTCAAGTCACATAAGCCTTGGATTATGCGTTGGGGGGTGTGGAGCTGTAGCAAGCACCCCTCCTTTATTTCTCTGTTTCAAAATATTCTTGGCTGGTCTCATGCTCTTTCTGTTCCAGGCAAACTTTGCAATCAGTTTGTCAAGTTGCATTTTTAGAAAGCTGGGCCTGCACAGGTCTCGTGGCAATGTGTGGAGAGTAAGTCCCTTAGCCACGCCAGAGCATGGAATCTTCTCTGCAGATCTTCAGGTTTTTTCCCTTCAACATCTTTAGTGAAGAGTCATTGCTTCATGTGAATTCGGCATTTTTCTTGCCAGATTTGACCCTGGAGCGTTTGCCAGTCCTAGGGCAGTTGTAAATGGGATCTTTTCTGTGGTGGTTAGGGCTGCTGGGGAGGAAACTTCTATTTGACACTGATGTGGCACTTGACCCCGCCCCCGTGTCCCCACTCGCACATGGAACCCTGTGCGGGGTTGGGGAAATTCTCCCCAGTGTTCCAGGAGGACACTCATATCATCCACAAGCATTCCATGATGCATGATGTGCTCACACCCCCTCACCTCATGTCCTGTCTGTGGGCCACAGAACAGCCCCACAGATAGGCAGAAACTGAGGCACGGATACGTGGAGCAGCTTCCCAAGGTCAGGGTGAGGCTGTGACCCCAACCCAGAACTGCCAGGCCCCACAGTGCTTGCTTTCCCCTCCAACCCTTCCCAGTTATTTCAGATTCTAGAAATCTGAATATTTCAGGACAGACCGTGGGGTTCCTGGGCTCTATCCCAGCTGCCCCGGAGAGCAGCCCCATCGCGCAACCCCACCCCAGGGCCGTCCAACAATCACGCAGACAATGCTTGGAAAGCGGCAGAGCCTGCAGGCACTAGATCCAGGAGGACCCTCCCTCAGCCTCCTGCCCAGATTATCAGACACCCCTTTTGCACCAGGAGCCCTCCTCAACCCTCCCACGCCTGTCCTCCAAGGTCACTAGCTCCAGGCTGGGCATCACAGTTCACCTTGCACTTGAACCACACCCCTGCACAGACAAGGAGGCAGTCCCGAGAGGTGCCCAGTCTCTCAAAGCCCACACAGAAACCTATGAGCCGGCAGGGACAGGGGCTTCTCCTGCCTGGGAGGGGCTCCTTTCGGGGGCAGCATCCTGCAGGAGAACAAAGTGCCCCAGGGCTCGCTTCCCCACCCCCATTCCGGGTCCACAATGCACAAGACTGGCCACCTGCCCGCCATTCAGCCCACCTGCACGCCTGAGCAGAGGAGCGGGCAGGCGGCCAGGGTGGGCGTCAGCTCTCTGCGGTGACCGAGACAGCACCGGAGACACAGAGCGCCAAGCCACCGCCACTCCCGCCCTGGCCCCCAGAGTGGCGCCGGTGATAAACCCAGCTCAAGCCCAGGATTTGAGCTAATCTTGTTAATCCCTGGACGTGAAGCCAGCTAGGACTGGGCAGGGCCTGGTTTCTCTGAGTCTCAGAGAGCCCTAGGTCAGTGATGAGACTAAGTCCTAAGTTTCACCCCTGCCCTGTGCTCCCTCACTGAGTGACCTAGAGACGGTGTGGCCCTCTTAGCCTCAGTTTACCCCCCGGCACCCAGGAGATTGCAAGTCCTCATCTCCTCCGGCCAGAGTGGACTGGTGTCCCTAGATGCTGGCGTGGAAGTCCCCCGTCAGGTGGCAGCAGCTCCGAGTACCTCAGGCGCAGTGAGGGAGGGCTCATACTCTTTCATTGCTCCAAACCAGGTCCAGCTCCGAGCCCACACGCAGCCAGGCCACCAGGAAGCACCCCAGTAGCCATGTTGCAGGTCACTATCAGCCTTCCAGGCTTCTGGGCATGACTCAGCCCTGGAGAGGAGTGGGCTGGGGAGCTGCGGGATCCCCGTGTCATGATCACAGCTGGGAGGCTGGGTTCGAGGACCCCATCCATCCCTCTTCTTTAGACCATAGGGTCTAGGGGCTTATGGAAGCTCCAGGTGACTTGGAAGCCTGGCCCAGACTGGGGCTCCAGGACCCCCTACACCTTCCTCAGGCTCTAAACCCAGCAACAGCAACTGTCTCCCCAGAGTAATCTCCGGACGCCTTTTCGGGATCTGCAAGGCCGCCCTGGCGGTTACTCCTCTTGGTGGGCTGCAGGCTTGAGATGTGGACGGTGGACAGAAGGCCCTCTGCCACCAAGGAGCCTGCAAGAGTCAGGCCCGACCAGGCCTGACAGCTCTGTCCCTGTGAGTCCCCTCTCACCTGATCTATCAGCCCTCACCAAGGCACTATCACCCCATGTCTGGAGGTCTCCCCACATGTTTGTATTTCACCTGCCTTGTCAAAATTTCCTGTGTCCCAACCTGTCAAGAAAGACTGGGTATTACCAAGCTTCTGCCTTCTCGAGCAGAGGGGATGGGGGGTGGGGTGGAAAGCAGCACAGGTGGGGAGGGTGCACATGGACCCCCCACACTCCAGAGTAAAACCAAATCCACCAACCCCTTAAATCCTGCTGATGGGTAAAAAGAGCAAAATGATCAAGACAGAAATTTATAACCTGCCCCATCACCGTGTCTGAGTAAGCCATGACACCCCACTGACCCCCCAGAACATTCCAGGTGAGCCACAGCTAAGCCAGTGAATTGTGAAGTGGCGGGAGGGACAGGGTGACAATCTCCTGCAGTGACTTGGGGACACGGAAAATAAAAAGTTTTACCTGTAAGTACTTTAGCTGTTTTTGTATTAGATTATATCGTGGGGTAAAAGGTCAAAACTTGGAAAGAACACAGCAGCCTTCTGTTGAGATTTTTGGGCTGCACCTCTGGGGACAGAAGGCCAGTGGCCTTCAGGGAGGCTGAGAACTGGCTTATGCCACCTTCCTGTCACCAACCAGCTGTGCCTCCCTTACTGCCACTTGGGGGAACATTAACCAATATCTGCAGGGTGCCAGGTCCCGGCTCAGTCCTCAGCAGTCACCCCACGCAAGATGAGCACATCTTTTTTTGAGCCAAGAAGCTCAAAACTGGGCTCAATAGTCATAACTGTGGCTGACTTTTGGGGGGTGCTTCTTCTATCACCCTCTCTCTGAGAAGAGCTGCCTCAGAATAGCCTGGGGAGCTGGGCAACCAACACACACCCCATTCAGGCACCACTCGCTGTGTTACTGAGGCAAGTCTCACCACCACCCCTCAGTTTCCTCCTCTAGCAAATGGAGACAGTATTAGTACCCACTTCCTTTTTTTTTTTTTTAAAGATTTATTTTTTTTTTTTTATACATGCACTGGGTACAGTCAGAAGCTCGGGAGGGTGAGAGAATTCACCAGAGCCAGAGCAGGGAACAGAACAGGCAGACTGATGAAGTACACTGCTGAGGGGAGCAGCGGGTGGCAGGAGAGGTCTGCGCGCCATGTGGGACCCTCCTCCGGTGGCCGGGGAGCAGCCGGGGATCGAACCGGCACTGTAGAGGCTGCGGGCAGCTTCACAACCCAGCGCTCAACCGCTGCGCCACCGGGGAGGCCAGTACCCACTTCTTATTTTTGCTATAAGGATTAAAAGTCAAGTCTTTACAACCAGATAAAGTCTTCTGAACAGTGCCTGCACAGATTGAATGCTCAGTCCATATCAGTCACCATGATCACTGCAGGGGCAGGATAGAGAACTGGATAGGAGTGTCGCTACTTCTGTGTGACCTTAGGCTAGTTACCCAACCTCTCTGAGCCCTATGGTTGTGAGGGTTAAATGTGGTCATGTCTGGCACAAAATTACTACTACTAAAAAGTTGTTCATTTTCCATGCCAGACACTGATGGGCTCACTGAATTTTCATCTCTTGAAGCATGTGCTACCCTGCCCCAGCAAGACTGAGCTTCAGCAGCCTCTGGCGATAAGATATTTACTAATGATCCTTAACTGACTGGCTTCCTGTCTTTCATCTACACAAGACACCCATGAACTGACTTCAGAGCAGAGCTTGTCAGGTGGCTGGGCAGCATGGGTATTTAAATCTAACCTTAAGTGTAAACTGAGATTGACTGGAGGTGGCTGCCTGGGAAAGAATTCTGAAACACATCCATGCAAGAAAGTGCATGGTCCATTAGTGATGTCTGCAATGGGCAAAAAATGGGAGGGTGGTGGTATACATGCCATCTCTCTGCTCACCTGTCATCCTGGAACAAATTAAATTTAAGGGACCCCATCAACTTTGAAATTCTTTAACTTGGAGTGTTAAGAAATAGTGATTGGGATAAATGTGGGAAAAGAAGTTCCCATCCAGTTCTATTGGCTCCTGTGATGAAGAGGGTGAAGGAAAAATTAAGGCTCCAGACAGGATAGGGCCTCCCTCTTCTACTCCTCAAATCAGAGGTCAGTCCTGAGGCCCCAAGGGCCTGCTGACCTCTCTGCAAAGGGAAAGAACACATGGGACAGTTGTCTCCATCCACCAAGTCTTCCCCTCAACCCACTGGAGGCATGCCCTATCACTCTCGGAGCCCAGAGGTCAGAGGACACACAAACACCGCTCAGACAAAGGAGACTTGTTCAAGGCTACCCAGCCTGACGAAAGGTTTGAATAACAACATGAGACAAAAGGACACTCCTCTTTCCTTGGCCTTTGACTTTGTCTGCAAGAGGAAGTGGGGGTCTCCTGTCATAAGAATCTTCCCCACATTTTTCTGCCTCCAGGTTCAAGGAACTCCCACGAGCCCCCACCCAAACGCAACACCTTCAAAGCCTGAGCATCTCAGCCCAGAAATGACAGCAGCACCTAAAATCCATAGTGGGAAATGTTGCTCTGGGTAACCCTGTGCAACTCATCATCCTGTTTGAACCTCTCCTTTCTTATCTGTAAGCCGGGGAGAGATGACCTACGTCTTAGGAACTTTGTGAGAAAATGTGTGTAAAACATCTGGAAAATTGAAAGGTGTCTTTGTCTCTTGGTGTCACTGCCCACAGGCTTCATGGGGAAGAACTGGGGGCTCCCCACCCACCTCAATCTGCTCTGTAAGCTCGACTCCCCCTCCCAGGGAAGGAACCCTGAGCGGCCAGAGGCCATGACGGGTATCCGACCACGAGGGGGTGCTCGTTCCCAGCAGGCGCACCTCAACTGCCATGTCAGATTCCAGAGCACAAGGTCCCTGAACACCAGCTTTGGGGGCGGGGAGGGACGGATTTATTGACTGTATTACATCACTTATGAGACACATCCCAAGTTCTGAAACCCTTTTAAATTTAATACTATTTTTAAATTACACCTGATCTGTTGCCAGGGTTTCCACTACAGATATAAGAAAAGTCGTCCTCCTGTTTTCTGTCTGATTTTGGCAGCCAAGATCAAATCGGGGGATATATGAGAGAAAAACAGCATTTTGCAACTCAATCTTGTAAATTAAATCTTGTTTTGCTCTGAAGGAGATAAAATTTGAGTTTAAAAAAATAAAATTATGCCTGAAAATTGAAATCTGTACGTGTGAAATAGCTCTTGTAGTTAAAAGAAAAAGAAAAGAGGTTTCATGGAAAAGCAGCTCCTGGCAGACCAGAGCCCCTCCTAGGCACACCTCACAGCCCATCCCAACCCCACCCCACCTCCAAGCCTCTGACCATCAGTGTGCCCCACCCCACACTTCACCACCCTCCTGGGGCCACAGCAGCCTCCCCAGCCCATCCCCACTGGGCAGCCACAGGGAACTTTTGAGGACCCCAATGAGGTTGTAGGGCCCTTTCTATTAAAAACCCCTTGGGACTCCCCAGAGGTAAAAAAGGCCTGTGACCAGGCCCCCTCCTAAACCCCTGAGTCTCCCCCCTTTCTCTCTTCACCCCGCTGAGCCACACCCCGCTGAGCCACCTCGCCTCCTACAGAAACTGACAATTCAATCCCTCCTGGGGGTTTCTTCCCTGACTGTTCTCTGCTGCAAGACCCCACCCTACTGCCCCCAAAAGACCTGCTGGCACCTCTGTTCAATACAAATTCTGTCCTTTCGGAGGGATTTGGTGCAGGCCCTGGGGCAAGAGACTCTGCCCTGCTCCGTGCTTCACTCCCAGGGCGCAGGACGTTGGAGTTGTCCCCTGGGGACACGCGTCAGCTGCCCCCTACTCATGGGCTCTACAGTCAGGCCCTCCAAGCCTCAGTGACCTCCAGTCTGCTCTCACCAGTCTCCCTTTTCACCACTCTGCCCCTGAAATGTCCTGACAGACACTGCCGGTTGCTCCCCACACCTCCCAACCCAAGATCTGCCCACACCTCCAGACCCCATCAGCACCAGCCCTGCCTAGATTCCAGAAAGAAGCCAGATACTTAGAACCATTTGGGACTGCAGGCCCCAGGACCCTCCCTAGTGGCTCCCCAAAGTCTTGGGCTCACAGACAGGCTATATGGTCCCTCACCGGGGAAAGACACTCCAAAATCCAGCGGAGGACACAGAGCACCAGAGGAGGGACCAGCTGAGCCTAGGGGCCAATGTTAATATTCGGGACCCCAAAGGCGGGCAGGCCCCCGACGCCAAGCCAGGGGCCTAGAGGACAGGCACGGTGAAGCACTGGTGTAACTGCCCCAAGGGACGAATGTGGCAGGCCAAGTCCTTTGTGGAGGGGGGTGAAGACTCTCTAGCTCTGCCCCTCTGGATCCTAGGATCTCCTGTGCTCAGAAGATCCACTGTGCACCCCCTCACATCCTGCATATCAGGCTTCTACTGCTCGGGTAGCTCCCAGGTCTTTTGCAGGGATCTATGAATTGGAGATTGGGCATGGGTTGAATTGTATCCTCCAAAAAAGGCACTTTGGTGTCCTAACTTCAACTTATGGACTCATTTGGAAATAGAGGCACTGTGGGTGTAAGTAATCAAGATGAGGTCCTGTGAGAGTAGGTTGGGCCTAACCAGTGACTCGTGTCCTTGTAAGAGGGGACACACACACACCGCGGAGTAGACACAGGCCATAGGGCTGCAGCTGCAAGCTAAGGAACAGTGGATGGCTGGGCCCCACCAGAGGCCAGGAGAGGGGAGAGAAGATACTCCCTACATGTTTCAGCGGGGTCACCAGGGTCACCAGGGTCACCAGGGTCATGGCCCTGCCGACCCCAGACTTCTGGCCTCCAAAACTGTGAGACAATACATTTCTGTTGTTTGAAGCCACCAGTTTGCAGTGCCTGGTTCCTGCAGCGCTGGGAAGCAGGTACAGGGATGACAGGGGCACAGCCTGCAAATGCATTTTGGTCTCAACAATCCTGCTCCTGGATCCCTGACTCCTTAATCCAAGGGCCAAGCACTGGAGGGCTCAGCCAGTTTTCTGTGGCAGGAAGACAGGACAGTCCCAGAAGGGAGGCACAGTGATGTGGGGTGTCCCTCTTGTACCCTAGGAAGTGTGGAAAGCACAGGGAAGCCACACATGTGCCCCTCAGGGCTGAGCCCAGGACTGAGCCTAGGGCTGCAGGAATGCAGTCACCCCCCAGGACTACTACTGCAAGGAGCCCAGAGCCCAAGGGACTCGGAAGCCATCCAGTGGCCGGGCCAGGCTGGGCGGCCATCCTCCATGCTGCTGGTCCTCCTTGCGCACCAGACAGGCCAGTTTGTCAGCACAGGGTTCCCTGCAGTGGAGCACGCCTGGAGGTGGGGTGAAGGCGCCCTGGAGGACAGACACACAGCAGGGGTGGCGGCCACGCCTATCTCCACGTGGCTGTGGGCCTCACTCTTGCCTTGAGGTGAACCGAGTCCCCAAGCCGGCCAGCTCACCCCTGCACGTGACCCCCCCCACCACATGTCCCCCCAAACAGCTGCGTTGAGTGTCCTGTGGGCAGGGGCTCTCCCCTACGTCTTCCAGGGAAAGTGAGCCAACCTCAGAGATGAGATCTAGTGCCTGGGGCGGGCGAGGGATACACAACCCACTCCTGGCTGTGAGACTCCAACATCTAAGAACATTTATTTTCTCCTCCAGAACTCTGGCAAAGATCAACTTCACCAACAAGACAGAACAGGGACAGTCAGGGCTAGTCCCTATCCTCTGTGCCTGGCGGGGCCTAAGCAGGACCCTATGGGCCTGGTCCCATAGGGCGGTCTACCGAGAAGGGTGGTCGCAGAACGGAGCCACACCGCCCATCTCCATTGGGGACAGAGGGGTGGCCTTCAGAGGCCTTGGGGACTGTTCGAAGGAGGAAGGAGTGGAGCTGGGAGCGGAGCTCAGAACATCAGCAGGGTGTTCTGAGACCCTGGGACTGGAGCGAGAGTGGTCTGGGCCTCGGAGGCCGACTAGGGCCGCGGCAAGGAAAGGGAGGACTGGGCCCTCGGGGAAGACAGTGCTCTGGACGCTGGGGCTTCAGACAAGGAGGCTGACAAGGAGGCAGAGCAAGAGGGGGAGAACAGGGAGATGGCGGTGGGCGTGCTCACTGAGGTGTCCCTGTCAGCGTTCACTTTCCTCCAGATCTTGAGGGCAAACCTGCCCTGCTGGTCCAGGGCCTTTTGCAAGTAGTCAAGCGGGCTGGTGGGCACCAGTTCATTGAAGCGAAGACTTTGGTAGATCTGGGGAGAGATCTGTCGAGACAGGACAGGGGAGTATTGGGGTGGGGGATCTCTGGGACTCTGAGCAGCTCAGAAACTATGGGCCCTGGGTTCTTCTCACACAAGAGAAGTCCCTGGAGCACCACAGTTGTCTTGGTGACCCCAGCCTGCCAGTCCTGCAGGCCCACTGTGTGCCAGGCCCAGCACTCAATCCTTTGGTACTGGCAACAATCCCATGAGATCAACACGGGCTGTCCCCAGCTTAGAAGTGGGATCTGGGTACAAGGAGCCCCCATGCATGCTCCCACCTCTCCCATTGGGACCCACCAAGCAGGGCTTTGATATCCACGTCCAGGACAGGACAGGATGTGGAGCCAGGTCTCTCGCACTGACTTCCCCACCCACCTGCCTCCTCTGGGCCCACCGCAGAGGCACACGCCCATAACAACGGATGGCAGAGGGGGAGGGAGAGGCTGGGAGCTGCTCCAGCGAGGGGCAGTCTGGACCTCAAGGCTGGTCTTTTCTTATGCCCCATCTCTGACTGACTGCGCACTTGGCTCCACGAGCCCCTGTGTCTGCTTGGGCAGTGCCCACAGCATAGAGACACGAGCAGTAAACATTCTTGCAGACGCACAGACTCTGGGAAATGCTTTGGGGCTACTGACAGGTGTCACAACCTGGGGGACCTCCTCCCACAGGCCCAGTGGGGTGTATCTTCAAGGACAAAGCTTGTGTCCACAGCCTCAGCCAAGACCTTGGCAAATAATCCAGTCAGACCAGCCTCATTCCAGAACTGTCTGTGGCCCAGAATTCTGTTAAGGACCGTAAGCCCCCTCACCCCCACTGGAGGGCCATGTGGGCACAAGGGTGACCAGTGAGGGAGACAGAGTCCCCAGGCCCCAGTCCCATCATCTCAGGAGCCTGGAAGGAAATCCTTCTGGATGGTGTCTGTGAGGTCAGTCTGCCCCTGGACATTCATTCTTAGTTCATCATCCCCAGTACCTCACCTGGTACCTCATCCAGCCATACTGCACTTTGGTGAACAGGAGCTCAGGGCTCCGTGCCCGGCACCTGGGCTTGTATGCTGCTCCGATGACTTTGCTCTCCTGCAGGAACCAGGGGCAAGGTGAGGCTCAGGCTGAGAATGGGGGGCCCTCTACAGGCCGTGTCCCCCAGCGAGCTTTACCTGCTTGCCCTTGGACTCCCAATTGTGCCAGCTGTTCTCAATGTCTTCCTGGGAGCGCTCTCCAGGCCACAGGGACTTCGAGGCTACTATTTGCAGCTTGGCCCAGGCTTCAGCCTCTGTGTCTCCTTTCCCATTCAGGAGGGCCAGGAGGGCTGCCTGCTCCTGCCGCTGGTACACCAGGGCCTCAGCAAGATCCCCCTTCTCCCTGATGGGGGGTTGGAAGGTGCTTTCCTTCACAGGAGGCCCTCCACGTCATAAGGTGAGACAGCCCTCCCAACAGCCCCAAGGTTTCTCCCTTCCAGACCTGACCCTCCCAACCTTCTCATCCTGTCCCTGAGGCCATACTCAGTCAGGGTCCACCACTGAGCAAGTGTTCAATTAATGTTAGCAAAACCCCCATTTAAACTGGCCTCTAGGGCCTCCCCGGTGGTGCAGCAGTTGAGCGCCAGCTGCAAAGCTGCCCACAGCCTCTGCAGCGCCGGTTCAATCCCCAGCCGCCGGCGAGGGTCCCACATGGCACGCAGACTTCTCCTGCCACGCCTGCTGCTCCCCTCAGCAGTGTTCTTCGGTCCTTCTGCCTGCTCTGCTCCCTGCTCTGGCTCTGGTGAATTCTCTCACCCTCCCGCGCTTCTGACTGTACCCAGTGCTTGTATAAATAAATCAATAAATCTTTAAAAAATAAATAAGCTGGCCTCCAACAAGTCCTTTGACTTCCCACCACCCTGTGCCCTTCTATATATAAGCCTGATACCAAATTCTGACCTTACCTGGACCTCCCCTGTAGGAATACTCTCTCCCTTCCAGGAAAACACTGCCTCTACCTTATCTGATATCCCCCCACAGGACTGTAAAGATGTATGCCTTGACAGGAACATGGGAGCCAGATAGGTGCCTGGCAAGCTCCTACTTTTATGTCAAAACCCAACTCCAAAATCTCCTCTCTTATGAAGGCTTCCTAACTTGCTCCACCCAATCATGATTGTCTTCCAAGCCATCCCTACTCTTAATAGTCCCATCGCTTATCACATGGAAGAGCAGTCATGAGTTTGCATGTCCATCTCCCCAAGTGGACTCTGAATTCTCTGAGCCAGGACCTGCAGCTGGATTGTTTGGGATCTCTAGAACCTAACACAGGGCCTGGCAGTCAGCAAGACTTCAATAATTATTTTTTGAATGATCCAAAATTATTTGAGACTTGGTCAGGAATGAAGGTGGAGCACAAGAATAAGAACCCACAAAGGAAGGAACAAGTAGAAAGTAGCTTTCCCCAAGAATCAGAGAAATAACACAAGTAGCTGCTCAAGACAGGAACCCTGGGCACTCTCCTGCCAGGGCCTTGCCCACATAGAACAGTTCTGCAGGGAAGTCAGTCCTGGCAAATCTGAACCTAGCTCTGGGGCAGGGTCCCATTTAAGTGCTTTGGTTGTTGTGTTATTGTTGTTTTACCTCTTGATGGTTTGTACTGCTCAGTCTTTCAGCTGAGCTGACTCAGAGAACACAGCCTCTGACTCCAAGATCACAGCTGCCGCCGTAGGGTAAAGCCACCTACAGGTCCTTCTGACGGCTCTCCCCGAATGTGCCCAGCACCATTCATCCCAGGTGAGGCCACCAAGGACCTGGGGAGGCTCTCAGCATCACATCCCGCTCCAGGCCAGAGGAGACCAAGTGGGCTGTGGTAACTCACGGAAACTCTGGAAGGAAGTCCTTCTGGATGGTATCTGTGAGGTCAGTCTGCCCCTGGACATTCATTCTTAGTTCATCATCCCCAATTATCTCAACAACCTTCAGCCTTTTCCAAATACTCAGGCCAAATGTCCCTGTGATTTAATCAGACCCAATTCAGTAATAAGGTCTGGTGTAGTTCCCTTCCCTCGCCCTCTCCCTTACCCTTGACCCCTCTCCCACACTTCGTGATGCCCACCATATGCTAGGCACTATGCTGGCACCCAACAAATATCTGGAGGAGTCAGACACTAGCCTTGAAGCTCAGGCCCAAAGCATCCTTCCATGCACACAGGATGAGCTGGAGAGAGCAACTAGCAGTGACTGAGAGGCCCTGGGTGGGGCCTCAGGAAGCTCGTGTATAAAGTGGCAATGGCAAAAATGACCCAGTGTCCATCAGAGGTGAGTTTAGGGATGGGGCTGGGAAGGAACAGGCTGGAGTAGAAAGCCAGCAGTGAGAATAGAGAAACACGGGCCTGCTTCTGCGCAGGATATAGTGAGTCCTAGGCAATCTCCTGCTGCAGAATTTATAAAATAGCACAGGTATGCTGTCACATCATATTTTTAAAAATCAGTGGAGAAATGTAGAAGCAAAGAGGACTAGATGAACAGAAGGGAAAAGTTCTTCCAAGAAAAACTGAAATGAGGAGTAACTTTCATCTGAGTCTGGGCACAGGCTGAATGAGCTTAGGTGGAAGGAAGCTACTGGAAAGCAGGGCAAGCAGCAGAGCTCGTGACAGTCATTCTGGCTGGCGTGATAGATCAAGTGTGAGGAGCCCCAGTGCACAGGATGTTAGCTAAGCATGGGGTGGGGGCGGGTGGCAGGGGAAAGGGAAGGCAGTTTGAGCATCTGAGGTTTGGGCCTGAAAGACAGAGTGAGAGCACTGGAGACAGAGACCTGGAGGAAGAAGCCAACAACACACACAGCAGAACCCACCTTTGAAACAACTGAAGACAGTTGTTAGGAGACAGTACGAGCTGTTTTGCATGGCCGGTGAAAGGGTACAAACGGGTGTCTACTGAGACCAAATATATATGCCCCATGAGTTAGTAATTCCATGCCTAGATATACATCCGGCAGAGGTCATGCATACATCCCATGCATACATCTGTCCAGAAACAGCTGTGTAAGAATGTTCACAGCAGCATTATTTTTAATAGCCAGAAACAACCGAGCGCCCACCAACAGTGGCAGAGATTACTATAATATGTCAACAACAGGTTACTGTTCAACGATGGGGGTGAAGGATACAACAAATGGTTGAATTGCACAGCAGGATGGTGTTTGAAGACAAAGAAGAGAGGCACTGCTCTATTCTCACTACTACATGATTCCATCTGAACCAAGTTCACAACCAGACAAACTCTCTCTGCCTCCAGGGCGGTTGCTTTGGGAGACAGTAGGTAGAGATGGTTGTGGGGGAGAAGGAGAACACCCAGGTTATGTCCTGTTACTTGATGTGACAGTGGCTGTAAGGGTATATGCTTACTTGCTGAAAATTCCCCAAGCTGAAACCTTTCCGTTTGTGTGCTTTTCTTTCTGTCATAATGCAATGATTAAATAGAAAGGAGTGTACCTTATCAGTGTACCTATATATTATAGTTATAATAAGTAATTTGCAAAAATATAAAAAGGCAAATAAAGTTGGGTGGGTGGACAATTGGTGGTTGAATGGACAGACTGCCAGATGGACAGTTGGGAAGACTCACATCTTATAATACTTTTTGAGTAAAACAGCTGCTGTGGCCTGCAACTCCCACCTCACAAGATATAAGGTTTATGCCAGCTTCCATTCTAACTGGGCCAGGGCCAGGGAGAGCCAGGGGGCATGGCTGAACTTCAGCAGGACCCATACCAATGGCTTCACCGGAGAGTTTCCAAGCCTTGACATCCCAGTCCTGGCCGGCACTGATAACCACCTGGAAGCTGTCCACATACAGGATTTCGGCCACACTATCCAAATGGCCCTTCCAGGTAGCCAGAAGCTTGGGGGGAACCAGGGAAATGGTTTGCCCATCCACAACCTACAGGGGACAGAATAGGAGAACTACTTACACCAAGATACAGGTGATGGTATGATCAGACCCAGACAAGGAAATAAAGCATTGTTAGTACCCCCAGAAGTCCCTCTCATGCTCCACTCTACTCCCTCTACAAAGATAATCACTTCTGATGGTCTATTTTGTCAACCTTTGTACGTTATATAAATAGAACTATAAAAACATACAATATATTTTCCTGTATCTGGCTTTTTTTTACTTAACTCACTTGTAGTGAATTGTTATAAATTATTCATTTCGAGTGACAGTGTATATACCACAATTTATTTTTCCAGTCTAAACAGATGAGGATTTGGATTTTTTCAAATGCAGAGTTATTCCAAATAGTAGTTCTATCAATATTCTTATTGACATTTTTTAGCGCATGGATTTCTCTTGGTGTAAACCTAGGAGTGGAATTGCTAGGTCATGGAGTAGTCCTGTATTCAGTTTTATAACTACTGCCCAACAACAGCTCCCAAATGTGAATACACTAATTTATATCCCTAACAGCTATGGAAATTTCAGTTGCTCTGTATTCTTGTCAACATTTGGTATTACCTGTCTTTTATCTTTAGTCATTCTGTTGGGTATAAAGTGGTATTGCATTGTAGCTATAACTTGCATTTTTGTGATAACTAATGAAAAGGTTTTCAACTTCATCAGTCATTGAGGAAATATCAGGTGATTTTTGAATAATGTAAATATAGTACCTACTCAGAAAAATACATATTTTTATTATTTTAAAAAATAATTCACAACTTCAGGGTCCTCATGCAAAGATCAAAACCCCTGGAAGAGAAGGGGGTACATTTTGTTGGGTGTCTGCTTGTGTTTTACTGGTTCATAGTAATCTCTGGTTAACAAAAATCTTCCCTTGAACAGGAAACATGAAAGACTTAGAATCTCAGCAAGAAAATCACGGTCTCAGCTCATTAGCAGGGTTCAATATCATTTTTCCCAGTAATTTTCCTACCTCCTTCTCCTCCAAGGGGATGTAGTATGGAAGGTTGATCTGGGCCTGTTCAGGAATTAAAAACCGGAACTTGTTTACTTCAAACAAAGTCTTTTCCTCTGTGGGTTGGGATGACAGCTTTTCAGTGAACACGCAGTAATCTTTGATGTCCCAGATCTAGGCACAAAGTGTGGGTTAGTGGCCAGACATCCGTTGACCCCAACACCAATTGAATCTGTGGGCCCTTCCCACACCATTTCTCTTGACTGTGGGGGAACAGCTCTTACATTTCTGTGAAACCAGACACATGGGGCCCAATGGATCTTCTAGGCCAGACCTGATAATTAGTATGCAGAGAGGGTGAGACAGGCCCTAAGACAAGACATTCTTGCTTCATGTCTCACTCCGACCAGTTTCTGAGACAGCTGATCAGCTTAGATGCAAGGCCAGGGATGAGGGAGTTTAGGGAGAGAACGAAGTACCACAGGAGAAAGCTTCTCTGAGGAGTCTTTTGAACCAAGCCCTCCTTTCACTGGGCACACACCAAAGCAAGAGAAGCTGTCTGCGGTAACTCACCCTACTCACCACACTTTTGCAAATGAAACTTGTAGCCAGCAGAGGTAGGCACTAAGCTAGGGCCAGGTGGAAAAAATGTAGTCAGGGCTTGGCTAATGCCAGCCCCTCAATCCTACCTCCAGTTCTTCCTCACCTTGATGATTCCTTTACAATCCCCTGTGATAAGGATCCAGTCATTTTCATCAGTGGCCATGGCACCCACCACGATGTCCCTATCGTTTCTGAGGTCCACAGGGAACTTCCCCAGCATGCCTCCAGCCCCATGCAGAGACCATGCATAGATGTAGCCATCGATACAGCTGCTCAGCAGGGCGGCCGTTTGTGGCAGGCGAGGTCTGGTCTGCAGGAAGATTATCTGTGCAAGAGAGGAGAGCCCACAGGCACCTGGCCTTTGTCAGACTTTACTGAGGGACCTGGGAATGTCACCACCCCCGCCTAGTCCCTCATTTTCCTAAATGCCCACTGAGAATGGGGATGGGATACCACCCTTCCTACCTAGCCAGCAAGGGAATATTTCACTGGGCTGTGAGCTCCTGTCCTTCTTTGCTCAGTTTTACCTGCAGCAACTACAGTGGCGCCTGACACACAGCACATGATTAAGTAATGTTTTTTGAATGAAGACATGCAAAATTGATTTATCCTAAGATTCAAACAAGATTTTCCAGGACCTTAACTCAAAGGGATCTGGAGAGCAAACTCATTCCTTTTCATGCACATCTACAGGGAAAGACAATATTGGCCAGCCAATCACACAGAGAGAGACAGAGAGAGAGAGGACATCTCTTCCAGTCACAGAGCTGGCAATCTCACCAGTAGACATTCATTCCTTTACATGCAACTCCTAGTCAAAAACTCAGTCAAATTCATGTTGTAAATCCACATTACACTAAGACCCTCTAAGCCAAAGATTAAAAATTCCAAGGAATTCCCAGCAGCGGCAGTACAAAGAATTAAGAAACTTCTGAAAACAAATGGATCTGGAATCAGGTCCTCATATGGTCATTTTCTAGCAGCGAGAATCTTGGCCAAGTCACTTCACCTCTTTGAGCCTCAGCTTATCCATGAAATGAGAATAGCAATAGTCTGTAGGACTGTTTGAGGTATGAAGTCAAAGCAATTCATGTAAAATCTGAGGCTCACTGCCTCACAGGTATTAAGGCTTCAATAAGTCTGAGCAGCCACTTCCTATAGACTGAAATATGACACATATCTAAACTTTCTAAGAGTACACTCCTCATGCTAGGGTTTTAGCTGGGAAATAGACAAGAGATCCAATGTTTATGTACAAGGGTAGCCATGGCAACAAATCTATAAAGGAAAAACTTAGAAACCTAAGTGTCCACTGACAACAGCAAGCTGGCTGCACAGAAGCGGTACCCCACCCAAGGTACCCCAGAACATCACGCAGATGCAGAGGCAGGCTGTGGCTCCACACAGCGACATGGAGAGGATGAACAAGGCACTGGGTGGAGAAGAGCAAGCTGCAGAATAGTATATGGATAATATGCTCCCGTAAGGCTCTAAGTTTTTTGTTTTAATGAAGGGTATGTATTAATTTCTTTTTTTTTTTAGAAGAGCTATTTATTTATTAATTTACTTTTAAGATTTATTTATTTATTTATTTATATAAGCACTGGGCACAGTTAGAAGAGTGGGAAGGCAAGAGAACCCACCAGAGCCAGAGTGGGGAACAGAACAGGCAGACTGACGAAACACACTGCTGAAGGGAACAGCAGGCGCGGCAGGAGAGGTCTGCGCGCCATGTGGGACCCTCGCCAGCGGCCGGGGATCGAACCGGCGCTGCAGAGGCTGTGGGCAGCTTCGCAGCCCAGTGCTCAACAGCTGAGCCACCAGGGGAGGCCCAGGTATGTATTAATTTCTAATGAGAAAGAGAAAAGTGCTCTTTCTTGAATGTTCCAAATAAGAGGGCCTTTGGGCATGATGCTCCCTTAGCTTGGACTCGTAAGCACTGCATTGAGCAGCCCCACCTTAGAGTCCACCCAACGCCCACGCAGACCCTGCTAGAGCACAACAGACCTTCTCCACCGAGGCATTGGGCTGCTGCAACTTCTTCTGGAAATCGCCTCTTCCTCTTTCAGATTCTTTGAGAATTGACTTGAGATCCTGGGGTGTTACTGACAACTTGGGGCTGCCAGTGCTGGGAAATTTCTGGAAAGCAAAATAGGCCTCTCAGGTCATCATGAGAGCTCTCCCTACCCTATGGGGAGACAGAGAGCAGAGGGAGCTACTGAAAAAAGCTACAGAGCGAGATGAGCTGGAGGACCGAGAAGAAGCCAGGATCTACTTCCAGTTATAGGTGCTTTGCTTTGTGTTCCCTCCAGGTGCTGCCCCCAAACTTGCAGACACAGGGGTCTGGAATTAGCTGTGCTCTGGGGAGGGGCCCAGGCCCAGGATTGAAGGAGAAGAGCAGGTTGGATAGGATGGGCTGATCAGGGAGAACCCTGCTCAGCCCAGCGCACTCAAGACAAATGTGCTGTGAACCTGTAGACAGTCTGGGAAAAGCACCTCTAGATTAGGAAACAAACACACCACAGAGGAACCCAGGTGGCAGAAGCGGGAGGGTGGCCCCCAGATTCGACTTGCACTCCCACCTTTGGGTGCACATGCACGCCTGGCTCGTTTCTGGGGTGTCTCATCACTGGTGGGGCCGACATCATGTTCCTCCGCAGCCTGGCATTGCCTCTCGCCCTGGCTAAAAGGCTCAGGGGCTTTGTCTTTGGTTTTTGTGCCCACTTATCTCCACAGGGTCTTCTAGACTTTTGTCTCGCCAGCAGGTTGTTCTCCCCTTCTTGCATCTGAACCTGGGAGAAAGCAACCCCTGGGGTACTACAATGCCCCAGAGGGAAATGCAGCCCCCCTAGAAGCCCTCTGGGGGCCCCAGGGCTAGCTTCCTAGAAACTGAGCACCCTTAAAGGCATCAAACCAGAGCTTCAAATCCCACTGTTGGGCCAATCACCAATACCCTGAGTACCCAGACAGGAGATGGCTCCCAAGAGGACCTTAGTCTCCCCAGCTGTAAAATGGACAATGGTTTGCAAATACTGCCAAGGTTGCTTTGATCTTAATGAAAGGTCAAAAGTGTAAAATAGATTTTTGAAAGTTGAGCTGATCTCGGGGAAACCCCTGCAATAGCCTCCAAGCATCTCTCCACAACAAAGTTTGAAAAATTACTGATGAGGGGCCTCCCCGGTGGCACAGTGGTTGAGCGCTGGATTGCAAAGCTGCCCGTGGCCTCTGCAGCACCGGTTCGATCCCCGGCTGCTCCCCGGCCACCAGAGGAGGGTCCCGCATGGTGCGCAGACCTCTCCTGCCACCCGCTGCTCCCCTCAGCAGTGTACTTCGGTCCTTCTGCCTGCTCTGCTCCCCGCTCTGGCTCTGGTGAATTCTCTCACCCTCCCGCGCTTCTGACTGTACCCAGTGCTTGTATAAATAAATAAATAAATCTTTAAAAAAAAATTTAAAAAAAAAAGAAAGAAAGAAAAACTACTGATGAGGTGACGCTCAAGGGCCCTTCAGCTTTGATCTGCAAAGAGAGTAATTCAGAAACTGCATGGGTTTCCTAAGTTCCTGTCAGTGGGCCCGGAATGGTAGTATGTAACAGTGATGGACAAGAGGTGAGGCCACCTTCAAGGAGAAGGTGATCTTCTAGCACCTCCAGGCTTCAGAGTCAGACTACCTGCATTTGGGTCTATCTATCTAGCTGTGTGACCTTAAGAAAGATGTTTATCCTCTCTGTGCCTCAGTTTCCTTAACTGTCAACTGAGGATAATTATAGAAACTACCACATACCTATCGAGCTCCCAGCCTCCTCCAGAACAAGTCACCACCATCCCCCTACTTCTTGAGGTGCTCCCTCCCTCCTACACTCCCTTCTCCCCCCACTCGCCCTCATGATTCCACCCCACAGCTGAGAGAGGGAAGAGAGCGTGTTCCCTTGGCCATACCTTCTTCAGCAGCAAGGGCAAGGGGCTCTCAGAGGCATTGTAATTGAGGATGGGCCTGAGCATGTTGGCGTTCCAGAAGAGGATGTCCCCATTGTAGGAGGAGGTCCCGATAAACTGGTTCTGGAACTTGGCCATGCTCAGGATGTCCTCCATGTGGTAGGTCTGCGAGTGTTGGCACAGGAGCACTGGCTTGGTCTTGTGGAACCTGCGCGCATGGGAAGGCCAAGAGGTCATCTTTAATGTTCTACTGGGGGAACATCACAGCTGTTAGGATTCTGGGAGCCAATTCAGAAATGGACACCCTCCCATGTCAGGGCAATTTGAGGCCCTGCTCCACTGACTTCATTGATTAAGCACCTGCTATGTGCCTACTTTAAAGGCCCTGTTTTATGGGCTTTAGATACACTCACAAATTTACCCGATTCAGACACCTGAGTAAGGATTAGGGTTTAAATTGAAAATGGGGGCCTCCCCAGTGGCGCAGCGGTTGAGCGCTGGGTTGCAAAGCTGCCCGCAGCCTCTGCAGCGCCGGTTCAATCCCCGGCCGCCGGGCGAGGGCCCCACATGGCACGCAGACCTCTCCTGCTGCCTGCTGCTCCCCTGAGCATGCACTTCGTCAGTCCGTCTGTTCTCTGACTCTGGTGAATTCTTTCACCACCCCCCCCCCCGCATCTCTGACTATACCTAGTGCTTGTATAAATAAATAAATCTTTAAAAAAAAATTAAAAATGAAAGAACATGGACTTAGAAAGTTTCTCTGATAAGGAAGGTGCCTTCCCTGTGTTGTTGCCTCTGTCTGGAATGTTCTTCCTAGCCCAGTCCCTTTGCTGCTGCACTGAGACCCATCCTCACCCTTCAGATCCTACACACCCATGACATTCTCAGATGAGTCTTTCCTGACCACTGCTGAGACTAAATCAGATCTCAGATTCTCCCCCATAGAAATTGCACTTTTTTTTTTCCATTGTGCTCAAGAGAATTTACTGTGATCAAATAAGTTATTTGGTTGGTGTCTGCCCCTTCCTAGAAGCTCAGGGAAGACAGAGACGCACAGTCAGTCTTGCTACCCATCTCCAGTGCCTCACACAGAGCATGGAGCATACTGGCAGCAGGGGTGATGAATGGATGGATGGACAGATGCTGATGGACACTGACCATTACTATTTCCTGCTTGGTGCTGCAGCCAGCAGCAAAGCTAAGAATGGAGGGACCCATCTGAAGATTGGGGAGGAGAGGTGGCTGCCTCACCCACCCAGGGCATCCCGCCACTCACATGAAACAAGTGATTCTCTTACTCCACCCGGTCACGTAGAACACTTTGTTCATATGGATAATCGCGCTAATCTGTTGAAAGTGAGAGGGAACAGAACTCTAAGGCAGCGCAGAGAATACGGCCCCAGGCCCCGAGAGTCTTGCTGCTCCTGCCAAGCCAGAAGCCAGGACTCTGTACCACCATGAGCGGCGCCTGGAGTGCTCTCGTGCCCACTACCTCATCCGATGGGCTCGGAAGAGGAAAATCAGGGTAAGCAGCTGAGTCTGTTTTACAAGAAGATAACTGGAAGACAAACAAGTAAGTGACTCGGCTGAGGTCAAATTAACGGTGTGATGGGATCTGGACCAGTACTCCCACCCCGGCTTCTGGGCCCGGTGCTCCCCCGAGCTGGTTAAAAGGGCCGTGCACAGGGGTTAGTAGCAGGCCTGGCGCCGAAGTGCAGCTGCTGACTGTGTGCTGTGCCCTACCCAGAGACTGTCCCTATAACCTGCCCTGACACTCCCCAAATAGCTGCCCCCACTGCTAGAAATGCAACGCAAAGCTCTCATGTGCAGGCTAAGAAGTAGGAGGGAACTAAAGGAGCGAGGTAGCTACGCTGTGGACAGTCGCCGGGGACAGGCGCTGTCACTGTCTCCCCTTCCTGGCAGGACACCCAGGCTCAGGCAGCCTGAAGCCAGGGGGTCTGACACAGACTTTCAGGGAGGGGAGAAAACTGCTTTCCTCCTCCAGGCAACCCCCCCCAGCCCCAGCTGATGGGCCAGACGCACCTCCAGCCCCTCCGGGTTGGGGAAGGTCAGCAGGCACTCGCCAAGGCTGTAGTTCCACATCTTGAGGGCGCCGTCGCGGAAGCCAGTGAGCAGACATCGCTCCGACTCATCCAGGGTCATGGCGGTCAGCTCCATGGACTGGTCACTCGTCACAGAGAACTCCATCATCCTCTGGCCTGTCACGAGCTCCCACACTGTCACCAGGCCATTCAGGCAGCCAATCACCACCTGTGAGGAAAGGGGTGCTGGGGTCCTGGGGAGGAGCGCACCCCCACTTCTGGGCACGGCCGGGGCCAGCCCAGCTCCCACTCCATGCGCTGAGCAGACAGGCCTGGGGGGCGGCCGCTGCCGGGTAAGCCCCTCTGGCAAACAGGCCTTCCTCTGCTCTGCAGCAAATGGCCGCAGCTCTTTTAGAAGGAAACTTCTAAAAGAAGTTTGGGGAAATTCCCTTTAATTCAGAAACAGCATTTATTAGAATGTATCCAGAGAAAAAAATTCTCTAATTCAAAAAAAGACTTTAATTGAAGCATCATTAATCATGGGGGGATAGAAACAGGACACACACTAGCTGGCCCCTAAGTAGGGAAATGTTGAGGGTGAAGCACGGACACCCCACCGGTGCCACATTTTGCTGCCATCACAACCATTAAAATGTAACAGCAATGAGTGAGGCATTCCAGACCAGCCCTCCAAAAAGCCTGAGGTATCGGGACATGGTGCCAGGAGCCAGGGCTAGAAGGCAACCCACAGAGGCCACCCACTGTACCACAAGTGCAAAGGAGGGGCCCCAAGGAGGTGTCCCCACACCTCAGAGACCATTTGCCCCCAAGATCGCTGCTCAGGACAGCAAGCTGCCTCCCTCCCACAGTGAACAGTCAAACCAAGGCCTCCCTGCAAAGTAGTGCCCAGGAACAGCACCCAGCCTGGGGCTCACAGAGAACAGCCCACACCCCATGTTTCATCTCACACTCCATGTGAAAGGCTCCTGGGCCGGAGTGGGTCAGGGGCTGGCAGGTCGGGGGAGCCAGGTGACCTGCAGCCCAAGTGGTGGCGTTTTCACCTCACCTGTGGCCAAGCCCTCTGCAGGGCTGCTTCTCACCCCAGGCCATGCTCCCTCACCACCACTGAAGCTATGGGTCCTTCCCATGGATCACCCACTGGACATGGACCAGGCCGTGGGGAGGTGTAAGTCCTGGCCCTGTCGTCCAGCACACCTGTGGCTTGGAGTCAAATTCCAACACACTCACCTGCTTAAAGATCTTGCTGTAGAGGAAGGTGCACAGGTACCTGCCGACCACCTTGGCCTTCTCCCCCACCTTCATGGGCCTCTGGTGATCCAAGTACCCCGTTAGGATTCCAATCTGCAGTTGAGGAGACAAATAGCTGGACAGTCAGAAGGCCTCTGCATGACTGGCCCCAGGGGGAAACTGGCAATAAATTGAGACATCCTGTAGGCCTGAGCCCAGCAAGGCCCCTCAGTTCTTCATTATGCCTGCTGTTGGCACTTCTCACCCCTACGCCTAAGTCCAGAGACCCCACACCCTGAGATCAGGGGCCTAAGGCCTAGTGTTGCTCAACCTCCAAGGTCTAAATCCAAGGTCCCTCGTATAACTTCTGAGAACTCTGAAGCCTCAATTCAATGCCTCCTCCTTCAAGAAGCATTCCCTGACTACCCCCTGCCCTGGGCTGGACTGACGACCCTGCCTCTGTATCCCTGAAGCATCTCACATATATCTCTATCACAACACATAGCATTTTCTACTGGAGTTAGCTGCTCTCCTTCTACCCTGTAGGTTTCTTAAGGGAGAGAGCACTGTCTAATTCTCTGCTCCTGACAAAGAGCAGGGGGTGATATTGCTTGACAATCTAACATGAACTTCAAAAGTCCATTCTGTTCAACAAGTGCTGGCAGCCAGCCGGACACTCAGCAGAGAAGAAGGAACCCAGGACCTCTCTCCTCACGAAACTGCCGTCTGGGGGAGAACAAAGGGAGCATATACGTGGCTTGGCCGGGTGGCCTGCTCAACTGAACACGCAGGATCTCAGCAGCGCTCCCCCTTCCTCCAGCCACAAAGGCAACCTCGCCTCCCTTTCTAAATAGAATCACCCCATCGGCCAGCTGCCAGTGATCCTTGCAGCTCCCATCTTGTCATGGGTCCCATTGCCAGCCTGGTCAGCCAGCTGCCTGTGCTTCTCCCAGTCAGTCCTGTCCTCCATGGCCCAGACAGACCATACCCGGGCACCAGCCAAGTCAGAACTCATGCAAGTCTTTACGTCAGTCTCTCCACCTTCTCTCCTTCAGAGGGGCTGCTGGGAGTGGGCCCTCCTGGAGGGGCACTCCTGCCCCAGCCCAGGCATCCTGGTAGGCCCAAGAGGAGAGTCTGAAGGGTATAAGGGTGGAGAAAAGAACGGAGAGAGCGAAGGCACAGAAGGTGCCAAGCCAGGGCCTAGAAAGCCTACCAGGAAATCCCAAGAGGCAGAAGCCTCTCAGGCCGGGTTACAGAATCCAGCAGCTCTGTCTTCATGGAAGAGCAGTCTTGGGAGGGACAGGATGTGACCACCCTTGGGTGTCCCATGGGACTGGAGACCCTGCCTCCCCCTGGCCAGACTCACCGAGAAGGTGCTGCAGATGAGGGTTTGGTCAGCCCTGTGGAAGTAGGTGCTGGTGATAGGGAAGCTTCCCAGGGCAAAGAACTTCCCGCTGAGGGACTGCAGGCACGTGTACTCCTGCAGGTCCCACACTCGGATGTTCTGGGGGACAGGAAACAGAATACAGGAGGCTGAGAGGGGTCTGTGGGGTCAGGCTGCACCTGAGGCCTGAATGCTCCTGGGGCGCACCGAGCAAGCCCATTGCCCTGAGACCACGTATCACAACCCCTTGGCAGAGATGCTGCTCTGCTCAGAGGAAGGAACCGAGGCACGCCGCACCCCAAGCTTCCCCCAGGCCGCTATCCTGCATAGGCAGCTGATGCTCAACAGCTGAATACGAACCCCAGACCCTCACCAGCTCCTGCTCCAATTCCCCCCAAGCAAAGCCACGCACAACACAGAGTGGACCAACACAGTTGCTGAGAAGACCCACCTGTCCCGAGTGGCCCCCTCATGTTCATCCCGGGGGGAGCTGTTCCTAGGGACCCCCTGTGGGAGGAAGTCTCCCAGGACCCTCTTTGCCCAGAGGCATGGACTGGAGTGGACCGGACACCGGTCCACCTTCTGGCTGTGCCCAGTGCTGACCGTGAGGGCTCCAGCAAACCTGTCCCCCTGCTCCAGCTTGGCATCCTTTGGCAAAGGTACTGATGCCCAGCTCCCAGGGCTGCTAGGAGAACTCTACACAACCTAAGTGTGAGGGTGTGTTGTGGAGGGTGGCCTGGGTGACCCACGGGCCCCGACAGCTCTTGATCTACTGAGTCCCAGAAGACACTGCCTTGTTCCCTGAGGGAGGGCATCTGGAGCCGTTGGCCTGCACCTCCACACTGGTCAGAACACCTGAGCTGGGGTGGAACCTGAGGCAAAGGCTGTAGAGAAGCTAAGTGACAGGGACTTTGAGCAGTGGGAATCCTGGGCCTTTAAGGAAGGTCCAGTCAGGCCCTGACAACCCAGACGACCAAGAATATCTCACTAGAAAATCAAGAAGTGAGTTCAGTCTGAAGGGAGGAGAATGGCTCCCCTACTAAGTGCCAGACATGGCAATGCTCTTTTATTGCCAGTTCTCCTTTAAACTACCAACAGCCATTTCTATGGATGAGGAGACTGAGGCTCGGGAAAGAGAAGGGCTGTGCCCAGGACCATGAAGTACAAAGCCAGACTGGGCAACATGGGAACCTGGCTCTGTGGACTGCTCACACCGGGCCGTCAGACCCCCAGGCGCCCTCACAGTGCTCCCACCTGGCACACCTCCCTGTCAGGTGTGGGACCACAGGTAAAGAGCCCACACCCTTCTCCTGGGTCTCAGACTCCCACTACCGTCAGCCTCCTGGCTGGCCCAGCTCGATCACCAGCCCTGAGGCCGTCGTCTTTCCTGGAACAGGAAGAGCTGGGGGGCTTGAGGGCCAAGCTTCCCAAGGGCAGCACCTTGTCCTTAGAGATGCTGAAGAGCACGCTGTTCTTGTCGCTGCTTATGAGAATGTGCATCACTGACGTCTGATGCCCCTTCAACATCCACACCGGCTTTTTCGAGAAGGGACTCCAGAGACGGATGAGGGGGTCATAGCCACCAGTCACTGCAGTCAAAACGTGGTTTTTTTTTGTTTTTTTTGTTTTTTTTTTTTAAAGATTTTATTTATTTATTTATACAAGCACTGGGTACAGTCAGAAGCGCGGGAGGGTGAGAGAATTCACCAGAGCCAGAGCGGGGAGCAGAGCAGGCGGACAGATGGAGGACACTGCTGAGGGGTGCAGGGGGTGGCAGGAGAGGTCTGCGCGCCATGTGGGACCCTCGCCCGGTAGCCGGGAATCAAACCGGCACTGCAGAGGCTGCGGGCAGCTTGGCAGCCCAGCGCTCAACCACTGCGCCACCGGGGAGGCCCCAAAACGTGGTTTTATCAGCCCCCCGGGGCTACACCCTGACCTCCAAGGACCTCAGACCCCAGCTAGGTTTGGCAGAGGAGGGGGCGTCACTACAATCCATCCCTCTGCCCCTCCTGCCCACCCACACCAACAGTCTAGGTGGCGCCGTGTCATCAAGCCGCCCCTGTGCCTATGAACAGGGTGGTCAGACACAGCAGGGCCTTCTCGCCTCTGATGACCCCCATGCCCCCGGGAGCCTTTACCCCAGTTCTGACAGACCAGTAGCTTCTGCATGACTTGAAGATAACTTACCCAGGAAGTTCTTGTCTGCGCAGTAATCAAAGCAAAGAATCCCTTTTCTTAAATTGATCACTGAAAACCTACAACAGCAAATGGGTGAAGCTGTGGGCAGGGAGCACTGACTTCAGGGGTGCCTCTGAAGCCTACTGGGAGGAGCAAGAGGCAGACCTGCCGGTGGATCCACTGAAATACACTGCTGAGGGGAGCAGCGGGTGAGACAGGAGAGGTCTGCTGCGCCATGTAGGTAGCTCCCTGGCCTGGGATCAAACTCATACCACTGTGGCTGGTGATAGCTTCACAGCACTGAGACTTTAACCCCTGTGCCACCAGGGAGGCCCTGAGCTGAGTTTTGAAAGGACAGTTTATACAGAAAAATCTGGAAGAATGATTATAAAAACCATTACTTGAAATTATTTCAGGCTGACTCATTCATCCAAGAAATATTTACTGGCTCCAAAGTCTTCCAGGATTACAGAGGCATAGATGAGATAGCCCTGTCCTCACAGAGCTTCTGTTCCAGAGGAACGCAGCAGGCACAACAAAGGAACAGACAGGGAGATGTGTATTTACAAATGACGGCAAGTCCTGCCGGTGATTTTTGTAGGTGATAACTGAAAGCAATGGCTGCTGGCCAGAGAAGGGAATGGAAGGTCTGAGGGGCTCACAGGGTCATGGCAAGCAGTTCAGGCGGGAGATGCCCATGGCTTCAACTAGGTGTTGAAGTGAAAGAAGAGGGGAAGCAAGAAGCGCAGTTCCCCTCCACCCCACCTCCGCTCCTGGGTCCTCCGGCCAGCCGCCGATTCATTGCTGGCTCCAACCACCTGAAGAACTAAACTCAGGCTGGTTGTCAGATGCAGACCCTCAGGCCCACGGTGTCTTGGAGGCCAAGGCAGAGTTGGGTTGCAATTCCAGATCCCACCTGCAGAGGTCAGCACCAGAAAATAGTGCCAAGCAAGCGGTCAATGGTGCCACCTGCCGACCAGTATGTGTACTACAGTCAGACAGGAAGGAAGAGGTGCGAGAGTGGAGGGGGCCGGTGCACCAGTGTATAAATATATTCTCCAACCTATATATATATAGGTTGGAAATATATAGGTCAAAATATATCTCAAGGGCCTCCCTGGTGGTGCAAGTGGTTAAGACGCAACCTATGAAGCTATCCGCAGCCACTGCAGCACCAGTTCAATCCCCGGCTGGCCAGGGAGCAACCCACATAGCACAGCCGACCTCTCCTGTCTCGCCCGCTCCCCTCAGCAGTGTACTTCAGTCAATCTGCAGATTCTGCTCCCCACTCTGTGGTGAATCCTCTCACCACCACCCCCCACCCCGCACCTCTGGCCTGTACCCCTGTTCTTGCATGCATAAATAAACAAAAATAATTTTTTTTAAGAATGTATTTGGCCGGGCCTCCCCGGTGGTGCAGCGGTTGAGCGCTGGGTTGCGAAGCTGCCCACAACCTCTGCAGCTCCGGTTCGATCCCCGGCCACCAGCGAGGGTCCCACATGGCCCGCAGACCTCTCCTGCCGCTCACTGCTCCCCTCAGCAGTGTCCTTCGGTCCTTCTGCCTGCTCTGCTCCCCGCTCTGGCTCTGGTGAATTCTCTCACCCTCCCGCACTGTACCCAGTGCTTGTATAAATAAATAAATCTTTTTTTAAAAATGTATTTGGTCATCCAGATAACCAAAATGTACTTCTCATATACATTTAGTTTTCATGCACAGTTCCGAGCTCACAGCTCCCAAAATTTAGGAATTTCCTTGGTATGCAGTATTAAGAGGGTCTCTTGTGTTAGTGAAGAGAGTCTCTTGCTGTGTTAGTGAAGGTGACTTTTGGAAAACCCCTGAAGACGGGGCTGCCAGGGAGAACAACATGGAATGGATGCTGGGGCCTTCAGGAAGCGGAGTAGGGCTAGAGGTAACTTCAATTTCCAATGGCCAAAGAGTTAATCCACTAAGTCTGTAATGAAGCCTCCATAAAAACTCAAAAAGGAGGGGTTCAGAGAGCTTCTGGGTTGGTAAACATATGGAGAGTTGAGGAGAATGGTATGCCTTTTCCCCAGACTTTGTCTTATGCACCTTTTCCATAGCTGTTTCTGAATTATATATCCTTTATAATAGGCCAGTGATCCAGTGAGCAACGGTGCTTCCTGATTTCTGTGAGCTACTTTAGCAAAGGAATCAAACCTGACCTGGGTCCTGAGAACATCCAATCTATAACCAGTTGGTCAGAAGCACAGAGAGCAACCTGACTCATGACTGGCATCTGACGTGAAGGATGGTCTTGGGAAACTGAGTCCTTTATCTCTTGAATCTGAGGCTGTCTCTGGGCAGACAGAGTCAGAATTGAGCTGAATTAAATTGAATTACTGGACCTTGCTGGTGTGTCCAAGAATCACTTGTTGGTGTGGAGAAGCATCCACACTCACTCCGGTCCAGGAACCCTAAACTCTAGAGTAGTCAAGGTCATAGACACAGAAAGAATATGGTTGCCAGAGGCTGGGGGGGTGGGTAGGGAGAATGGAGCATTATTGTTTGATAGATAACAGAGTTTGTTTCACAAGATGAAAAGAGTTAAGGGGGTGGATGGTAGTGAAGGCTGCACAGCTGTGTGAATGCACTTAGAACCACTGAGCTGCACACTTAAAAATGGTTAAGATGGGGCCTCCCCGGTGGCGCGGCGGTTGAGCGCTGGGTTGCAAAGCTACCCACGGCCTCTGCGGTGCCGGTTCGATCCCCGGCTGCTCCCTGGCCACCAAAGGAGGGTCCCACATGGCGCGCAGATCTCTCCTGCCGCCCGCTGCTCCCCTCAGCAGTGTACTTCGGTCCTTCTGCCTGCTCTGCTCCCCGCTCTGGCTCTGGTGAATTCTCTCACCCTCCCGTGCTTCTGACTGTACCCAGTGCATGTATAAACAAACAAACAAACAAATAAATAAAACATGCCTCTAAAAAAATTAAAAAAAAAAAATGGTTAAGATGGCAAATTTTATCCAAGGTGTATTTCAGCCCAATTTTTAAAATAACATACTGGACTTCTAATGAAGCTGGGATTCAACCCCACCTCTAACACGGCCACTTCCCCTTCTCAAGTCTCAGAGACTAGATCAGCTAGACTAAATTAGCCCGACTCCCCCAGGATTGAATTTCCTTCTGGAAAACGACCAAAACCAGGAGTGGCAGGCAGAGACAGGGTCTAAGTGGTCCTCACTCCCCTCCACCCCGTACCTCACCAGCTGCTCCCTGACACCAGCCTCCCATCTCCTTCTGGCCCTGCTGCTCCCCCAGACCACTTGCCTGGGTCTGCTGCTCATTGCACAGCCTGCTCAGGAGCTAAGTGTCCTGGATGCAAAGGCTGCAGGGAGGAAGGCAGGAGGAAAACCACCTTGCACAGCACCTGCTCAACTCCAGAGGCAGAGGCAAGGGCAGTAAGGGCGTCACCCCACCCCCCTTTTACAGAGGAGAGCACAGAGGGGAGTCACATTCACTCCTTCATTCAGAGGACAGCTTTCTGACCACCTATTTGCACTATGTACCACCTTCTATGCAGTTTTGCATATAAATTGGTAGATAGAAGGGGCCTGTCATAGTTTTGCAGCTGGTGGCAATGCCAGAATGATTCAAACCAAACTCTATAAAAAGTTCTCATCATCAAAACAATATTGATCACTATGGAGGGGATGGATGTTAACTAGGCTTATTGTGGTGATCATTTCATAACAGTTACATGTATAGGATCACAATGTTGCACACCTGAAACTAACGTAATGCTATATGTCAAGTCTCAACTAAAAAAAAAAACAAAACAGCACCCCTATTGTAACCACTAAGCCTCACTGGCAGCCCACAGGACACTGCACAACCCACAGGAGATGCCACTGTCCCCAAGGTAGGCACATGCCAGGCAGGGAGTGCCCAAAGAAGCCAGATTCCCCCCCAAAGCACCATCACCACCCACCCTCTCCCAGTCCAGCCACCTCAGCCTGGAAAAATGTGCTCCTTACTTGAGGTCTTCTACGCAGTCTCTGGAGGGCAGTATTGTCAGCACCAGAGAGGACTTCTCGATGGCTGAACAGGAGGCCACCATGTTCAGCTGGGGAATGAACTTGACCTGTTCACACCAGCTGGAATGCAAGGCCTGGGGAGAGGTCAGCAGTGGTGGGAGACCTGACCCAAAGATAGTCTTCCAAGGCTCGTCCCCAGGACAGAGAGGGAACTAAAGAGGCCCAGAGGTCCCCGTGTTCAACATCCTTCCAGTAATCACAGCTCTGCAGAGTGACATGGCCCTGTAGTCCTCATCCAGGGGTCTGTAATCCCGCCCCCACGAAGGCAGGAGAAAGGATGGATTCGAGTCTGCCTAATCCACAGTCCCTGTTATCCACAGGAGCCCCACCCCGACGAGCCTGTGCTTCCTGGCCCCAGCGCTGCCCCCCACATGTACCAGACCATTTATGCTCGCAGGATGTGTGGTGCACAAGGCTAATATCTGCTGCAGCTGGCGTAAGCCAGGCTGCTGCCATAAGCCAGGTAGCCGCGCCTGATCACACTGGCTATGGCTCTCAAAGTAGCCACGAACTAGCCTGCTGTCTCCACAGCAGTGGTGGAAGCACTGCCAGGGTGAAGCCCTGGGTCTCCTCAGTGCAGGGCACCTGGTCTTATCCAAAAGGTGGAACAGAAAGTGGGCATGAGAGTGACAGAGGAGATTCCTGGCTTTGCTACCAAAAGTAACAACTAACACTTGATCAGCGGGCTTCTGCTGAGTCTCTGACCCGAAGCCCCAGAGAGGCGAGAACTCAGCTGTCACAAACATGAGGCAAGTCCCCCACCCCCAGGCTCAACACACCAACAGCTGGACCCACCAAGCTTCTCCCACCAGACTGACTCAGCAGCTGCAAAACTGACCTCATTACTTACAGAACTCAGCAAAGGCCAAAAAACTAAAATCAAATCAAACAAACCACAGCACCACCTGTGGGAAAACTAAAGTTAGTACAGCCCTTTAAGGTACTGCTACAGACATTAAAAAACAGTACTATCTAACTAGAAATCAACCTCAGAAAGTAAGCAGGAGAAACTGCTAATATGTGCAGATGAACAACATACTACTAAATGACTCTTGGCTAATGAGGAATCAAAGGAAAAATTTTAAAAACCTGGATCCAAACAAAAATGAAGCATGAGTTACCAGAAACTTTGAGATGCAGCAATGCAGGTCCACCTCAAAAAACAAAGATCTAAAATAAATAATCTAATCTTACACCTTAGGGCACTAGAGCAAGAACAAGCAAAACTAAAATCCAGTAGAAGGAAAGACATGACAAAAATTAGAGCAGAAATAAATGAAACAGAAATCAAGAAGACAGTACAAAGATCAAAGAAATGGAAAACTGATTCTTTGAAAACAGAATAAACAAGCTTCTAGCTAGACTGGGGAGAAACTTCCATTAAATATGTAACAGGGTGGTCCCCAGGAAAAGGGGAGGTTCCAGGTTCTCTGCCCCACCCAGGAAGGGGTGGCGCTGACAGGGAAGAGAAAAAGCTGGAGAGGAGACTGGAGGAGGAAGGAAGAGAGGATGGAGAGCAAGGAGGAGACCTGGAGGAGGCACAGGGAACAGAGAGACATGTGAAAAAAACACCTTGCTTCTTGGCCTTGGACTAGTTGAAAGAGACGTGGGTGAGAGACCCATGGGCAGGTTAACAATGGCGGAGTTTATCTTAATTTTGATTTTGCTCTTTTCCAGACTTGTCTGGCCATTTCTGTTCCTAGGTCCCCACCAGGAGGTGCCTTAGACTTGTGGCAGGCTTTCAGGCCTCAGTGGCCCTGCATTGGGCCAACCCTGTTTGGCTGGGCATTTACCCACAAGAGCATGGGTAACTTCGGGTGCTTGATTTGTAAACTATACTCTTTCCTTTCTCTATGTTGAACCCTAATTGCATTAAAGTTCCTTTCCATTAAAGGTCTTAAGCACTAGAGTATGTTTTGTCTTAATGCAGCAGATGGCAGAACCTATTTAGAGTGGGCAGGTTTGGGGGTCTTGGGGTGCCCCTCATCCTGGCCTGTAACAAAGAGAATCAGAAACAAAAGAGGAGAGATCCCAAGAAATATCTTTGAAATATAGAGGGTCGTAGTAGGAGACCACTGTGACCATCTTTGCACCAATACATAGATAAACTAGAAGAAATGGACAAATTCTTAGAAATATACAAACTTCTGAGATTGAATCAGGAAGGAAGAGAAAACCTGAACAGACCAATTAGAAGCAAGGAAACTGGAACATTAATCACCCCATACTCCACCCTGGCATCTCTCCCAGCTGGCTGTTCATGAATTCTTTTATAAGACAGTGATCTAGTAAGTAAAATGTTTCTCCGAGTTCTGTGAGCTGCTTGAGCAGATTAATCAAACATGAGGAGGGGGGTCATGAGAACCTCTGATTTATAACCAGTTGTTCAGAAGCAGAGGTAACAACCCGGACTTGGGACTGGCATCTGAAGAGGGGCAGTCCTGTGGGGCTGAGCCCCTAACCTGTGGAATCTGACGCTATCTCTAGCTCTGGGTAGGGAGTGTCAGAACTGAGTTTGACTGTAGGACACCCAGCTGATGTCCGAGAATTGATAGGAAAAAACACCTAGTTGGTGTCAGATTCCTCTAAGCACTGCAGGGTGAAGGCAGAAAGGCAGGGCAGGCAGAAAGGCTATTCTAGAGTCATTGACTAGGAACCTGGAGGATGCACAGGGGGTGGAGCACAGCAGCCTGAAGGAAGAGTATGTGCCAAGGTCCTGAGGTAGGAAAGGGCTGGTGTGTTCAGAGAAGGTTGCCTGCCGCAGAGTAAACAAGGAGAAAGCAAGAGCGGGAACAAGTAAGGGGACAGGTCATCTCAGGTCCTGAGATGGGGAGAAATTTTGTTCAGACATGATAAGTTACAGGGGAGTTTTGAGCAAAGGAGGGATATGATTGTATCTCTAGATCATAATTCCTCTAGCTGCTGGATAGAAAAAGCACTGCGAGGAGAAAGAAAGTAGGAAGACAGCCCAAAGCCACCGCAGTCATCCAGGGGACTGGTGGTACGTGCTAGGTGGGGGCTGAGGATACAGACAGAGAGAGACGCGAGCCGCGCTTGGGATCCAGATAAGGATTGTGCTGGCAGAAGGGAGCAGAACTGAGCTGCCTCAACTAAGTTCCCGCAGACCAAGCCCCGAGGTCTAAGGCTGTCTCCAGGGGCAAATCCACTCTGTGCTTTATTTTCGAGTGGTGACGTGTCAAGAGCGTGGCCATGCTAACAGGCTAAGGACAGATGGCTTACCTTCAGTCGGTAACTTCTAAACAAGGGGGACATCTCACTCAGGAGCTTCTGCACGGAAACTGTGAACCACTGACTGTGACCTGATTGGGGAGAAAACCAAGGCCTGGGTCCCCAGCTCTTCCCTTTTGCCAGACAGGTCAAACTTCAGAGGGCAACTTAAATTAGTTCTCAACGACTATGTAGCTGAGTGACGCCCATCTATCAGTACACGCTTGTCGAGCCTTGCTGCGTCCTGGTGAGTTCAGAGGGATGGACTCAACACCCAGACCACAGGCCCGGCAGATGAGCACCACTGCCCAAGGGCCCCCTGCCAGCCCTTGGCAAAGTTCAAACCAGAGTTTGGGGCCCCTCACTCTCCCCAGCAGCTGCAATCTAAATAAGTTGATTCTCCACGAGGAATTTCCACTGACCAGGGGTGGAGAATGAGCTGAGGCCCTCGGCGCTCTCATTCTGAAAGTAACCACGGGGGACTTTGCCATGCTTCATTCACACCCATGCCCCCTCGTCCAGCAAACAGTTTCAAGAAGAGGCTGCAGGCTTGCATCAAAAACCAAGCACGCCTGGAGCACCTGCACTAAGCACAGCGGACTGGGAGTGCCCCAGCACAGAAACCACCCTCGGGGGCAGCTGAGTTCCCCAGAGAAGCACAGTCAGGCACGAGCTGAGGGGCGGGGACACAGCAGAACCTGCGGACCAGGGGCCAGGCATGGGCCAACCTCCAGAGCAGGGTTTAAGCAGGTAGGTCAGAAGGACAGAGTGGGGACTCAGGTCCGAGGAAACTCCCAGGTAAAAGGGAGAAAAGAGAGAGAGGGTCTGAGGGCTTATATCAACCCTTTTGCCGCTACAGAGTTACCAACCCCATCTTGCAGGGCAGGCGGAAGCTTGAAAAGAAAGCCCCAAGGGGGATTGTTACTCAAGGTCACTAGATCCCGGCAGGCTGTGCACGGGGCAGTTTGCCCACCTTCTGTCCCACTAGGCCGGGCGAGCCAGGGCAGGGTGAGAGAGGAAGTTGCCAGGCACCTATAAGTGCCTCACAAAGTGGACCATGACAACAGCAGCTTGCTCCTGGCCGCGGGTGGGGGACCGTAGGAGGCAATTACCCAAAGCACTAGGCACAGAGAGCTCAACAGAAATCCCTGCATTTATTCACATGCTGCGGAGTCGAGCTTTCCTCCAGACCCGCAGAGCCCACCATTCTGGCAAACTCCCTACCTCCTCCTCCCACCACCCAGGGGTGGCTCTCAGCCAAAGAGAACAAGCCCTCCTCATAAGCAGGTGCAAATTAGCACTCTCCCCCCAGGCTGAGAGGGGGCGAGTGATCACCACTGGTCACACAGCTGGCATGGGTACATCTCCCAAGATGAGGAGGGTCCTGAAGCACCCCCCACAGCCCTCAGCTGCACAGCCTCCCACCTGGGTTGACCTTCTCTCCCGCAGACCCCTGGAGCTGAGCATGCAGAGCTCGGCTGCCTGAGCTGAGGGAGCCAGGCTTCTCGAGGCTTCCAGACAGGGAGGCGGGGAGCATGAAAGGTCTCTTGGGGCAGGGCAGTCTCCACCCCCTCCCCAGAGTCTTAGCTACCCCATTTGGAGGCCCTGGGGAAGAAGTGGGGGTTGAACAGCCCGTTGTTCACACTGTCAGAGATGAAGATGATGACATTGCCTTTGGTGTCCCCGTAGCAGAACACACCTCTGCGATAGTCAGACCTGGGGAGATGGAGACACACACAGGGCTGTGGAGCTGGCTGGGCTCATCCGTCGCAGTCCTCCACCCTTCCTGGACTCTGCACCTTCCTCCACCCTGGGTGTGGGAACAGATGCCTCACAACTTTCTGCCCTTACCCTCAACATCTGCCAAGCATGGACCCCACCACCCAGATTCAGGCCACAGGTGAACCAGGTCCAAAAGAAACCAGTACTGTTTTTAACCCAAAATAAAAGAACCCCTGTTCCTCCAGCTGCTCTTTGTCAAGTGACCCCTACTAATGGACTGAGGCATTCCCAGTGGGCGCCCCAGTGAGACCAGCCTCTGCCAGGGTATCCTTGCTGACTTGCAAGGAGAGGACGTGGAAGGGGGCCCTGATGACTCCAAAGTCTGAATGATTGTGAAAGGTGGACCCGAGAGAAGCAGCCAGGAGGGAAGACTCTTTACAGGGCTGTTTCCAGAGAGGCTTTTGGGGGGTCCCAACCCCACCAAGTCATGTAGCTGCTACCAAGATGCCAGTCTCCCACAGGACTCACCAGTAGTCCATGACCAGCACACAGCTGTCCAGGTCCACGAAGGTGAAGACCCGGTCACATCTGTGCTTACTAATGTCAAAGAACTCTAGGGAAGAGACAGAAGAGATGTGTCCCAGGCCTCAGAATTAAACAGGATTCCCACAGCTTGTGCCTGAGCAGTGGGGCATGTGCCTTTGTTGGTGCCAAGCCAAAGCCAGCCTCTCCTCTGGCCTCTGCTCAGCCAGCCTGTTCAACAGCAGCAGCAGCTGCTCTGATGGAGGCAGGCATTTCCCCACCTGCCATTCCCAGTGCAAGCAGCCCCACTGGAACTCCTCTGACAACCAACCCCAGCATCCACTGTCTGCGGGCAGTCCCAGGCCACCCCAACAATGGGCAGAGGCTGTAGCAGCAGTGGCCACTACTCCAGAGCAAGCCGGCCCTGGGGCTCCTGAAGTAGAAGCAATCCCCAAGTCTCACAGTCCCTGTTTTGGGGCTGCTGGGAGCAGCACTGGGCCCCACTAGGATAACTGGGTACTGTGACTCCCTGAAGCTTCAAGGAGAGAGGCCTGCAGCATGCCAGGCAAACATGAGCTTCCAATAGCAGCCTGCCCTTGGCCACTAGGACCCATGTCCCAGCACTGCTGCAGGACTCCCTGCATTGTTATACACAGCCCCATTGAGGGGTGCTCAGTGCAGTGTGTCTTTGGTCCCACAGAGGCCAGCTCTGGCCGTGGCTCCCCAGAGCCCATCAGCCCACAAGCCTGCCCTGCTCTAAGTGCCGGTTAGGTCTGGACGGGCACCAGAGTTTTCCCTTCTGTGTCTGGTACTGGGATTGTGAATGGACCAATCAGGTTTGAGCTCATTAGACCAATCAAGTTTGAGCTCCCCAGTTGTCATTCAAATCCGTGAGCTATTATGTGGATTGAAAATGGAATGAGCTGACTGGTGTTTAACTGGCACCAATCAAAGCTAGGATTGAAAAACAATCCAATCAGGCTTGTTGGGTGGGGACCCTGAAGAGGATATAAGCAGCTCCAGGACCTTGTTGATGGGATAGCACCATTTTGCACAAGTGGTTTTGTCTAAGACTACTGGACACTGTGAACAGTATCGGGGCTAGGCAGCTGGCCACTTGTAGCCTTAGAAACTCTTTCCTTTTTTCCAACCTCCTGTTTGTTCAATAAGCCCCATTGTTGTACCCTGAGCCTGAACAGTCTTGCAATTGTCAGGGCATGGGTGAGAACCCACAATGACCTGTGTGCCCCATCTTGGCGCTATTTTAAGTGGTCTCCAGTGACAATGAGCAGCTTCACTATCTATCACCAGGCAACACTCCCAGAGAGCTCTAATCTACACTCAGTTGGCACGGTGCCATATCTCCGCAAGTGCAAATGCCTAGCTTCCAATGGCTGAGCACAGGCCTGAGCTGCTGCCAGTGACTCACCTATCTTCTGGTCTGTAGATGCAACAGCAACCAGGTTCATGTTGTGGAGACACACCATGTCCATAACCCACATTGGCTGGCTGTGAAACCGCTGGATCTGGTTAAGAGAAGGAACAGAGGAGACCTGGACTGGGTATCTGGCCCAGGAGAGCACATCGGGAGCGCAGGGCCCCCATTAGCCTTCTCCTGCCACCCAAGACCCTGGATCCAAACAAAGACCTGGTATGGATCCCAGCACCATCAAAGCCACTTATGATGGGGACTTGTATAAACTCCCTAACTTCCTGCATCTGTAAAATGGGCTAAAGAACACCCAAACTGGGCCTCCCCTGGTGGTGCAGCAGTTGAGCGCTGGGCTGCGAGGCTGCCCGCCAGCCTCTGCAGTACTGGTTCGTTCCCCGGCCGCCGGCGAGGGTCCCACAAAAAAAAAAAAAAAAGAACACCCATCCTCACAAATCCTTTCTAGAGCAGTTTAACAAGCTCATCAAAATCTTAAATGGGCTAGTATTCAGGATCTATTTCCCAGTTGCATGGATAGATGTGTTCACATGTACTCATGGGAAGTGTAAGCAAGGCTGGGAGGTCTTCTATGAACCCACACCTCAGACACCGCCCAGACATTAGGAACAGGAGTGTGCATGCTGTAGAGTGTGCATGCCAAAGTCTTTCATTAAGTAAAAAGGCAAGATAGAAAGCAACATTGCAATATGCTACCCACTCTAGCTAGAGCCCCAAAACTGATCTAGCAGTTGCCTTCTGGGAGAAGAACTGGGGTTGGTGAGTGGAAGACTCCTTTCCCCTCTCTGTCCCTCTGCATGTCTGAATCTTCTTGTTTCATTGTGCTGTCTTGGACATGTAACATGGTAGCCATATTTCTATGTCTATTTTGTCTGATTCTTGTTTACCATCTGTGGGTGTCACCAGTCAAAGCCGCTTATTAACAAGAATCTATCCTGCCAGGTCGTGAGGAACAAAAAGGAATTGTGAAAGCTAAAGCGTCTGGTGTGCTACCCAGGCATGGGTGCCCCCCACCCATGCTCTGATACCAGCCTACGCTACACTCGCAGACAGCACACTCAGGCAGATGGAATTTGAGCTGTTATTATTCCAGGCAGGGGACCCTACCTTGAGCAAAGGCCTATGAGCAAAAATGAGCTGCTATGGTCAAGGAAAAGAGAAGGCCAGCTTGACAGTCTGTGGGCTGGAGAAGATGGGGAATGGGTTGGGATGATCAGCTAAATAACTTGTATTTTGCTCCAGAATAACACCACAGGCCCTGAACAGAAGTCTGCAGACAGGAGTGCAATCTGCAGAAGGGTTCTCGTTTTCAGGGTCCATGGTCTAAGCAGCCTGCACTTGCAGCCCCAGCTCCTGGATTTTCAGACAGTTCGTCTAAGTGAATATTCAGAAGGGATGAGGAAGACAGGCACAGGAGGGAGGCTTTGCCATCAGCACTCAGGACACCAGGACTAGAGAGGCCTGTGCATGCTCAGGGCCCCCCCAGAAGGCTAGAGTAGTGAGGAAAATTGGCCAGGGCCCCCTCAGGCCTCTAAACCACACACAATGGAAGTGATGGTAACACTCATCACCCCCTTGTTAAGAAAAGAAACAGGGCCCTAAGGCATTCTGTGACTTGCCCAGGGTTGCAGCTGGGAATTAAAGCCCTGGCCCCACCCCAAGCCTTGGGGCTATCCACCTGCATGACCAGGGGCTTGCAGTGGGTGTTTGCAGAGGGTGCTTGGCAGCTCACACTGGAGAACATCTACTTGTCCAAGCAGCCCCTGCAGGGAGAAAGCCAGGTCTGCTGGGCCTTCCAGGGGAGCTTCCTCTGTCTTCTTTGGCCCTCCCACGCTTTGGCTCATGATGGGTATTGAGGGGCCTGTGTAACAGACACAACCAGAAGTTCAGGCTATAATGAGCACTCCCACCCTCACCCCCACCATCACTAAATAAATGCACAGAGGAAATAGAGTGGAGTGTGCTGGAATCCCTGGTCTCAGGAACACAGGTATTATTCGTCCTCTGGCTTAGGCAACCACACACACCCAGGAGAGTCGTGGCCCACCACAGTCCTTAGTTCCCTCCCCAGGCAACTGGAGGTAGAGGAATGATCCAGAACTCTCCCACCCAAGGGATGACCCCTGAAGCTACTATGATGCCCTCTGCATTTACACAAGGCTCATCAAAGCCTGCATGCTCATCAAAGCCTGCCCGCTGCTGGCCTCATTCTCAATAAGCCTTTCTTCTCTGGAGACTTGTGCCTTTCTCGTGTGCTAGAGGATTTGGGGTTGGCTGGCAACACCAAGTACAGAGGGTTTTCCTGTGTGTTTTCTCATTTATTGCCCTGGCTGGGAGCTGAGAGCACAAAGACAGTGATGTCAGCTTATATTGCTCAAGGACTTGCTGGGGGCTGCCTGCTCCAAGCACCAGCCATGCATTATGTCATTAAATCCTCCCACAGCCCAGCAAGGAGGTATTATTATTAGTCCCATTTGGACAGATGAGGAAACTGAGGCACAAAGAGCTAACCAATAACTTGGCCAAGGTCACAGAAGGTGATAGGTGGAATCCAGAACACATGCTCTCAACCGCTCTAATTTCCTACTTGGTTCAAGCAAAGGGTTGAGTTGGCACAACCTGGTGATGGAGTGGATGTGATGGGGAAAGAAAAGAGGCTAATTTCTAGCACAGTAGCCATGGTTCCTGAGATGGAACACAGGAAAAGAAATCCTGGTGGGCACAGAGGGCTACAGGGACAAACTGAGTTTGAGGAAGCCTACTTAGAGAATAAAAATGTGAGACTCAAGGTCCACAGCAGAGCCAGGAGCTGTGACTGTACATGCAGGCTGCTTAGACGACAAGCCCAAGAACGAGCCCTCAGGATCGGGGTCACCTTCACTACCAGGGTGCTCTACGTGTGGATCCCTCACCTTAAAAGAGTTGATCAGTAAGAAGGACTCAGACCAGATCTGCAGTGTCCCGTCCTTGGTGACAGTCACGAAATACCCAGTCTTCTTATATCGCTGAGTTAAGAACTGCACTTTCACCACCTCACAGCTGTGGTTCCTATGGGAGGCAAAGAGAGAGAGAAGTGGGGGAGCAGGGAACACAGAACAATGTGCACAGAAGAGGAAAGGCAAAAGCAAGCAAGAGCTTCACACATACACACACACCCCACTGAGAAATTGGCACAGGCCCTGTGACGTGGGGGACTCTGCCTTCCTCCTTCTCCATGGGAATTGCTACCATCATCACTGGTGGCCAAGAGAATATAAGACCCAAGTCTGATGCTACGTGAGGGGGGCGCCAGAAGCTGTGAGCTTATCCCATGAAAAAGCCAGTCACTTCCTCATGATGGGATGGGTCAGTGGAAATTCAGAGGTTTTTGCAAACCTTCTTTTATAGGAATAATGGCCCACAGAAGGGAAGTGGAGTGGGGCCTGCCTGTGATGGGAAACCGAAATAAGTTTCCAACAACTGCTGTAGCACTCTGGGGTGAGCAGGAACCAGGGCCCAAAAGTCAGATAATAGTGAGTAAGCGAACAGTGAGAAACCAAAGCACAGACACGCAACTCTTCAACTCCATGGACAGGTTCTGAGCACAGAAAGCAGTTCCTGGGGCAGGCCTGGCCTCACAGAGGCCTGGCCTCACCGCTCAGCCTTCCTGGCAAGTCGCAATGCTACCTCCTACCTTCCTGCACCAAAGTTGGCCAAGTCGGCCATCTTGGGCACCACATTTTGACACCCATACACAACACAGCCCACACTCTCATGCTTGATGTGCATGTGCTTTAACCCTTGCAGGGCAGGTAAAGTTACCTCACCCAAGCACTCCAATCCCTTCTCCAGCAGAAACTTTCCCAATGTTGGTGTGGATACGACCTTACCCAGAGCTCAAGGGTCACTGTGAAATTCTACTGTTACAGTCTTCACAGAGGAGAGTGGGAGTGGTGTCTCGGTACTCTCCCTGCCTTAAGCCTACTGCTCTGTGAAGAGTCTCAGTCATTCCCTGAGCATTATCACCTCCAATTCCACCTCAGGGCCAAGAGACAGGGATAGAGGCCAAGACTCCACAGTTGAGGGCAATGACAAGCGGACAGGCCCCAAGGGAAATATCACCTCTGCGAGTCTTGGTTTCTTCTACATGATGATGGCCCTGCCACCTCCTCAGATGGAGTGGGGATCAAGGAAATGCTGCATTTGGGGAGCTCAGCCCAGGCTCAAGAAAGGTGAGTCAATTTTTAAAAGGTACTCTTTCATGAGGATAATTAAATATTATTTGGCTGTTTTCTCTGCCAGATTGGAAATGCTCTGTGGGTGGTGGACTGAGCAAATAAGGAGAAAATAGGGGCAAGTTTCTTGGCATTCTTGGTTCAGACCCTTTAAGCAATCTTGGGAATCTAAATGTCTCAAGAAAAATGGAAAAGCCAGGGAAGGCTTGGCTATAACAAGCCAAGTTTTCATGTCAAAACGTATAAAATCATCATTCATATTTATTGGCTAGTCCTCAATTTATTCTTGACCCAAAAAATTGTTAAGTGCCCTTTTGTGGTTTTCATTAAGCCACCCACTCTATTATAAACTTGCGGTCTGCTCTAGGTGTGGCCCCCTGAGGGCAGACCCACCCACAACCCCTCCCAACCAGGCTGGAAACAAAGGTAGGCAGTCACCTTGTATCACAGAACCTGGCTCCCCAGCCCCAGCCACCTGCACCGGGCAGCCAGCCAGTGCCCAAACCCAGGCTCGGGAAAAGGAGCCGGGAGGCTAGGGTTAGCCAGCTCAAGAGGCCTGAGGCGATCCCTGGAGAATTCCCCATTTTCAGGGAGTTTAGAGGGGTGGGTGCAGTCAGGATCATGGCCTAGAGACAGGTCAAGGTGAAGGTCCAGGGGACCAGTCTGGGAGGAGCCACATGGAGGAGAGAGCAGGCAGGGTCAGCCAAAGGTCAAGGCAGGGACAGGCCGCATGCTCTGGAGTGGTGGACTGCCCCTTTTGGGCCTGGCGTGCGGGAGAAGAGCTGTTTCCTGCAATGGCTTGTATGCTCTGTCACCTGTCCCTTCTGTGTGAGCCATCTGTGCCCTGTGGACAAGCCCCCAGACGCACTCAGCAGCAGCTGTGAGAGGAAGCAGCAGGAGCTGTGCGCCATGCTTGGGGATAGGGACTGTCAAACAGAATAAGCCACCACTTTCATGTGACCTCTCAGAGCCTGTTTCCTTGTCTGTATATGGGCTCCCGCCATGCTTACCCCCACATCCAAGGTTTTGAGGCTGAAACGAGCTATAAACTATCAAGCACCAGGCCTGGTGCCAGACCTTTCATGACCCCCAACAAAAGTGGCTCTGGGGTAGAGGAAGGGGCGCTCACTGCAGATGGCCCTCGTCTTGTTTAAGCACACTCCTTCAGTTCAGGGAGAGGGTCCTTACAGGTGGATGATCCTCATGGGGAGCTGAAAGCGCAGGCGATACTGGCTCTGTGCCATCTTCTCTTTTCCTTGGAACTCCCGCATCATGTAATCCACGTACTTCTCCTGCCTCGGGAAGGAAGGACGGAAGGCGTCGGCCAAACGGTCTGAGCTTTGGGTTTGGGGAAGCCAGGCCTGGCTTCCGGTGGCCCCCCATCTCTTCCCAGCTCCTTCCAAGGGGCTCAGAAGCCACAGAACTATTCTTAAACCTGGAATATCTGAAGGGCTCTTGCCCACAGCACATAGCAGCGCCTCCCTCCTTACTGGGTGTCTGTAACGCTAAATATATCTTCACCTCACTTCACTCCCCGCATCTCGTTTAAATTCCTTTACTCACCGCCACTCTCTGGAGAATAAGACTGAGCGCATGGCAGTACATTGGAGCCGCCCCGGCTGCTATATCAAGCTCACGGCTGGAGAAGACCCCGAAGCCAGGCTGCTAGGACAACTCTAGACAGTACTGACCAGCCTCACGAAAATACGGCTGAGGCTGAACAGGCCGCCATATGAAGCTACACCAAGAGACAAGGAGCTAGTAAGTCTGCCATTGCTCAGGAGCAGAGGAGAATGCAAACCTGTTCATTGCAGAATAACAGAATAATAAAGAAATGGAAACCAAAAGAAGGTCCAATAACAGAACGTATGTCCAGCCTGAGGGCGGGTGTGGTGCCGCAGTTAACCCTTGGGCTCTTGAGGCAAACTCTAGACCTGAAGACCCGCTCAAGCGCTCACTAGCTCTGGAACCCTGGCTTCTCTAACCCTCCGTTTCCTGGCTTCTCTAACCCTCCATTTCCCATCTGCCAAAAGGAGGTAAATAACACCACCCACCCCGGACGATCTCCGTGAGGTTAAAGTAATACACAAAGGGCTTAGCACTGTGCCTGTTACCGTCATCACGGCTGTATCAGTATGCAGACTCTATCTGTACTTTTGCATTCTTCTGTATTTTGCATTCTTAAATGCTACATATGCTCATCATAGAAAACTTATACTCCAGGGGAAAAAAAACAAGAGTTGTGATTAGTATGCTCTAGAACCTGGACATTTTCGCATGTAACAGTCCCAGGTTTACCTGTTCCTGAGTGACTGCACAGGGCCAGGAGGTGGTTGTGGCCCTGGCTGGACTGCCCTAAGCCCAGCGGGAGGTGGTGGGCAAGACAGGAGAGGACCATAGAGGAGTGGGGGGGACCATGAAGAGGGGGATGGACAGGGTAGGGGGGAGAACCACGCAGGGGTCACTCACATGTCAGATACTCTCCTGTACCCCAGAAAGGGAAGGAGCCACAATGATCCCAGTTCACAGGTGTCTCAGGAGGGTCCCCTCAAAGACATTGAGGGTTCCCTTGACCCAGCAGGCACCCCAGGTTCCCCAGGAGGCTTTCGGATGTGTCTGCCTCCCCATGGTCAGTCGTCTAAAAGCTCTTCTGGTGCGCCACCCTCCTCCTGCCTCCAGCTTCCCCAGGCTTTAGGGCGTGCTCCTCACCCACGTCACAGAGCCCTTGCAGTCCGCGTCGATCTTCAGAAACAGCGCCTCCAGCAGCTCATCTGACAGGTTGCTCAGAATCTTCCTCATACCATTAATGAAAGTTTTCATGTCCATGGCTTCAAAAGAGAGAACACTGTCTAGTGCATCACTGGCCACAGTGTTCGTGGTGTCTGGGGGTTGAGGGGGGACACACAGAGCATCACGGTTGCGGGGTGGTCTCCGACATCTCACTAACGTTAGCTCGTTAACGCCGGCTGAATGCCTTCCACCCGCGGCGGGGCGGGGCGGGCGTTACTGAAAAGGGGAGCTCTTTTCTGAACAAGATGGACCAGGCATTGACAAAACTGGTGATAACTCTCCCCAAAAATGGAAAAGAGGAGGAAGCAGACTGTATTTTAAAAAAGAAAAGGTGGGCCTCCCTTGGTGGCGCAGCGGTTGAGCGCTGGGCTGCGAGGCTACCCGCAGCCTCTGCAGCGCCGGTTCGTTCCCCGGCCACCAGCGAGGGTCCCACAAAAAAAAAAAAAAAAAAAAAAGAGGAACTTCCAGGAACACAGGAGAGGGCAGCAAACTTTGGGATAAAAGTAATATGTTGAGTTGGAGGGCCCAGGGGCTCCCCTTGGAAATAGCGTGAGGAACCCTGGAGAGATTCTCTCCTGAGATGCAGAGCTGGCTGACTCAGTGAGGTCACTCGGGGGTGTCAGGCCATGCAATCACCCAGGGGAGCCAAAGAAGGTGGAGCAGACAGTGGGGTGGGACCAGCAGCCCCAGAGGAGCGGGCCTGGGGACTTGATCTACAGCAGCTCCCTTCAAGAGGGGTCTACTCAGTAAAGGCTGCAGAGAGGTCTTCTGACCTCCAGCTCTGTCCATGCTCATGGACGGTCATCCCGGGTCCCTCTCACACACAGAGGGACCATTAAGTATCGCTCCAGGGCCTCCCCGGTGGTGCAAGGGGTTAAGAGCAACCCACATGGCACAGCAGACCTCTCCTGTTTCGCCCACTGCTCGCCTCAGCAGTGCATTTCAGTCAATCTACCTGTTCTGTTCCCCACTCTGTCTCTGGTGAATTCTCTCACCCCCCCACCCCGCACCTCTGGCCTGTACCCCAGTTCTTCTATGCATAAATAAATAAAGTCTTTAAAAAAAAAAAGTATCGCTCCAAAGGCATACCCCCTTTGGTTATGCTTTGGAAAAGCAAGATGGAGGCTTTTTTTTCTTCCTATGTTTATTGAGGTAAAATTGGTTTACATCGTTGTACATTTGGGAGTTACAGTTAAAAACCCCCACAAGTGCATATCTTCACGTGTCCACCACCAGTGCCCCAATAATCTGCTACTCCCACCCTGCTACCCTCCCCTTCCGGTTGCTTCAGTTTTGCTGTCAGATGTTAAGAGTTCATTACTGATTTGGTTCTGACTGGCCCTTAGCATGTTTCTCTATATTCCAAGATGGCTCCTTCTTTAGCAAGGTGTGCTTTGGTCAGGCTTTCATCTGTTGCTTAATGTAGCAACAAACAGTAATCACTGCTGCTGTGGTGCTGGGTGTTTCAGGAGGAACGGGGCATAGGTGAAGAGCTCTGTAGCCTCTGTAGCCAGACTGTGGGGTTTGCCTTGGGCACCACCGTGCCCAACCCATGGTGACCCCCGTGAGGTAGTCAGTATAAAGAGACACACACGGCTCCGTCCCCGCCACAGCCTCGTGCCTTCAGAAACACTCTGGGGACGGGTGTCCTGGAGGGCCAGGCCCGCCCTGGCTCAGCAATCACAGGCTAGAGTGGAAATGGGCAGTATCAGGGAGGACAGAGGAGCCGGACCTCCTCGAAGCCCAGGCGGCCTCCTGTGGAAGGAACCAGATGGTGCAAAGGGCCTGAGGTGGTGGTGTGTTTGGTGGTGTGAGAAACTGTGGGGACGCTGTGACTGGAGCAAGACTGAGGGGGCGGGGTGGGAGGGGAGGCCGAGCGAAGCCAGCGGTGCACAGCCATCAGGCCACCGCGAGAAGTCCAAATATTTGCAGAGGGTTTGGGAAGCACTTTAAAAAGACTATGCTTATTTTAAAAAATCCCAGTTTGAAGACCAATCTTCTTATACCACAAAAGCCAATTCTGGGAGAATATTTTCTCTCTGCCCGCTCCACCTTGCCCCTCCCCATATTTCCCTACACCCAAAGTTCATATTTGAATTTCCTTTAAAAGATGCACTTGCCTGCTCCCTTGATAATTTTGAATTCATGTATGTCTTTGTTGTCATTATTTACTTTTGTGTTTTCCTTCTTCACCTGTGTTCACTCAGGGTGTGACCTCCACCAGACACCCATGGCTTCAGAGGTCAGCTCTTCACCTGAGAGCAGGGCTCAAGGCCACCCCCAATCTCACAAAAATCCTATTGTCCTAGAATACGAGCACTTTCATTCTCCTCGTTTTGGACATGAGGACACAGAGGTCTGGAGAGGACACAGCTGAGACTTGAAACAGGAAGCCAGCCCACCTCTCCATTATAACCTCTGCTGCCCTCTGGGTAGCCTGTGAGGGTCACCTCCCTGTCGCTCCACTGCTGGAGTTCTCAGAGGGTGCCAAGGGCACTAATCGCCTCTCCCTCCATCTGGCAACACCTTTGAGCCTCCTGCACCTCTCCCGCACTGTTCCCTGACTGGAACGGCTCTCCTCCCCCAACTCTTGGCAAGTAGAGGTTATTTCCTTGATTGTAAGGGGGGGCTGGGGGAGGAAGAAGAGGGGAGAAGCTTCCACCCCACAGTCTGCAGCTCTCTGTGCTGTCTGAATTTTCTAGCCACACACACTTCTGTTTTCAAGTGACATCCTGCACCCCCCCCCACCCTTTTTCTTTGTCTGTAATGCCAAGAAGTGGGGTTATGGGGGTTAACTACATTACCTCCATTCTTATATAGTTATATTTTAATATATGTTATATCAAAAATATTTAGGAAAAAAGATGTTTCCTAGCCTCCCCTCTGCCCTCCAGGGTGAAATAAGCACAGGCATGGCTGCCCCTCTGGGGACAGGGTGACAGAGGGAGGGCGCTGCAAGGAAGCTCTCCGGGGAAATTGGGAGCTACCACCAGCGGGCTTCCTTCATTTACTTTGGTGTCTGAGGTGTTGCAGGTGTGGGGGGCTGGGGTGCCTAGGAAAGCATATAGGCCTCATGTCAGAGAGCTGCTCTGTTGGGGCCTGTTGTGAAGTCTGTGTGAGCAAAGCCCCAGGCTTCTGAATAAGACCCAGCAAGGGCTTTGTAACCCAAAGCTCTGTCCCACACTGGTGCTCACAGTGCTGGGTAAAATGTCTGCTGATGAAAGGGGGCATCCACTGGGCACGTAAGCCACCAGAGTCTACTCAGGAAGGCCAAGGCAGAAGCTAAGTGCCACGCTGGTTAGAGGGCCCCCATCAGTAGCTCTCCCCTGACTCTGAGATTTCACCCTCATAAGTAAATTCTGATTACTAGAAAGTATTGGGTGTAAAGGTGAACTTTTGGTGAACTATACACTGATTCTTAAAATAACCATGTTGCCATTTATTTACCTGAAGCAATGTACTAATTGTCACCTTCCCGGTCCAAGGAATTAATATTTCTTAACAGGCATGTGATTCTCTGTGGAGATGTGACCTCCACTGAGCCAGCCTCTTTCCCAACTAGTTAATAATATAAAGCTAAGACAAGGACAAAACAATCCATACGTGTGATTCCATGGGCCTCATTAACTATTACAGTCTCCCTCAGTGTCATGCTGACATTCCTCATCCGCTGGTCCTGGTCTCCACATACCATTCTCTGAGCTCTCAGGCTCATTTTGGTTAAGAACACAAAATTCTAAAGGATTCAGGGGCCGAGTGAATAGGGTAAGACCCTCAAGGTCTCTAAATCTCATGTGAGAGATGTCTGTCTTTTTTCTAACATGTACGTCCCCTGCTAGTTTACTTTATGCACCTTTAGCTAAAGGTACATGCTCATCATGTGGGCACTTTGTCACAAAAACCACACTTCATGCTTCTGGTTTAATTTCTTGATACCTAAATGTCAAGGCATTCTGTTCTACATCCGTAATGCATTTCCTTATTTCTTCCTTTCTGTTGGTCATCATGTGTCAAAAGTGAGCACACTCAGATCCAACAGAAAAAGCCTCAGAACCACATCCTGGGAAGCAGATCCTGTGCCCGCTCCATCACAATTTCGAGATTGTCCTTCTCCCCCAGTGCTTACTCCAGCACCTTTGTTCTGGTCCAATGGACCCGGCTGTGCAACTTCCAAACTTCCACTGTTCGGAATCTAACTGCATCTTCAGAAACAGAAGTCTCAGCAAACAAACTTCTTTTTGGATCGGCAAGCCAATGTGAAATTCAATAAACTCTAATATTTTTAATTCCACATTTATAATCATTTTCAGACAAGCAAAACATGGATTACTGGGAAAATAAAAATCAGTTCTCAGCCCTGACCCATACTAAGAGCAATTTTCCCAGCACGTAAATCTTCACTGGAACAGTGAAGGCCAAAAAATGTCTACTCTTCACTACTACAGCGTCCATTTTCTTCCCCTGCCTGCTACCCTCCATCTCTCCATCCTCTTCTTAGGCCCAGGTCTTCCCTCTTCCTTTCTCTGAGAGCCTGTCCTTGCACTCGCACTGCTGGGAAGGGCTCTATCCCCAGACTGAGCAAAGTGAACATGACTTCACGCTACTAGTCTGGGTGCTAAATGGGACCCGAACCCTCCTTCAATTTTGCACCTGACCTGCTTCTTTCACCCCAAACAGAGTGGCTTCTGCTGCCCAGGAAACCTCTTGGTCAGACATGACCTTGGCCCCAGCAGCTCCACCTCTTGCCTCCTCCCAGCAGCTGCCAGCTCACACAGCCCAGAGACTTCCGTAAGAGACAAATAATCCCATTTTCTTCATCCTACATCAACTAACAGTGAACTTCCCTCCATTTAAAACCATGGCCAGTGGGCCTCCCTGGTGGCGCCGTGGGTTGAGCGCAGCACTGTGAAGCTGTCCGCAGCCTCTGAAGTGCAGGTTCCATTCCCTGGTGGCCAGGGAGATTCCCACATGGCACAGCAGACCTCTCCTGTCGCGCCCGCTGCTCCCCTCAGCAGTGTATTTCGGTCACCTGCCTATTCTGCTCCCCGATCTGTCTCTGGTGAATCCTCTCATCCTCCCACGCCTCTGGCCTGTATCCCAGCTCTTGTATAAAAATAAATAAATCTTAAAAAATAATAATAATAAAATAAAACCATGGTCAGTTTTTTTGGTTGGGTCTTTTTTTCTTTTTTTTTGGAGGAAGCTCTTTTTTTCATTGCTATGAAGAGATCTCCAAGATATATTAGGTAAAAAGCAAGAGCGGAAATTTGCTACAATTTTTTTTCAAAGGCTGGAAGAAGACAATCGTGGGAATCTTTTCACAGTGTTTACAGATATCAAATTATCACACTGTACCCTTTGAAGACACAACAATTTTATTTGCTAATTATACCTCAATAAAGCTGGGGGCAGGGGAAGCAAGGAGTGCACTGTTGACAGCACGCTGCCGCTGCGTGTAAGAAAGAGGGGGGAGGCCAGATGTGCGCCTGTGTGTGTAAAGGTCACAGGAAGCTGCAAGCAGCCAGCCAGCCGGAAGGGATGGAACTGTGCCACACAGGCTTGGGCCAAGGGAGCCCAATCATGGGAAAAGCACTTATAGAGTTTTGAATGGTGTGAACATATTACCTATTCAAAACAAGCACAAACACAGTAAAGATCATGGCCAAAGTTGGCACTGTCAGGGTCCTCTTGGAAGACAGCAGGGGGCCACTCCTGGCTGCCCAAGTGCACTTAGGAACCACCTCAGCTGCAGGTCAGACACGAATTGTCTCCCCTCGGCCTCCCTTCACTCACTGGTGAAATGGAGGCCTCTTCCCCTTCTCTGGCCACACCTCAGAGTGGCTGTAAAACTCAGAAAATATTGATGGGGTGAATTGTTACAGCCCCAGCATTGGCGCTCACAGCCTAGTGGCTAGAAATAAACATGCCTGTAAGTATCCCAATTATTCAAATATTCCTATTTGTTATTATTTGATGTATCACGCCGAGGGGAAAAATTAAGTTCTAAAGGGAGAAAAAAACTTGTTGCCCAAAGATGATGTTCATAACATTATTTAAATGCACTAAAACCTAGATGTCAAATATAGGGGCACGTGCACTCAATAGTAAGACGGCTCGGTAGCCACGTAGCCACATGGAAAAGCCCATAAGGTATTTATTTACGCTAGGAAAACAAGAAGGGCCTGAAATCACACAGGCGGTACAAGCACAGACAGGGAAAGTCATGGCCACATGTGGCAGAGACTGGAGGCCACCCCATGATGTCCACTTCCTGGCATTCTTGTCCTCCTACGATCCCCTCCCCTCGAGTGTGGTGGGAATGTGGCTGGCTTCTAACTGATTGAATATGGCCGAGGTGATGATGTGCCCATGACTGCCTGGTGATGAGATTGCTGCATCTCCGTCCCTAGGAACCAGCCAACAGAAAGGAAAGGAAACCCTTGGTCCTGCAGCTCCAAGACCCGATTGGAAGGTAATATCTTGCTGGTCAAGCCCCTGCAGACACCTTAGTTACAGACTCGTGAGCCCCCAGCAGGGGTGCAAGCAAAGCCTGGACTCCAGACCCACGAACACCGTGAGATAATAAGCACGTGGTGGTCGAAGCCACTAAGTTTATGGGACTACTGTTCCACCTAATAGATGATAAATCGACATAGGAAATTGTTTGACCAAATCCTTTAAGAATTTTGATTACATGAAGTTGTATTTAAGTGAATAAACTAAGGATATTGTTTATAAGTAAATATACAGGGCCTCCCTGGTAGCGCAAGGGGTTAAGCACCGCACTATGAAGCAATCCTCAGTGTCTGCAGCACGAGTTCGATCTCGGCTGGCCAGGGAGCAACCCACATGGCACAGCAGACCTCTCCTATCTCACCCCTGCTCCCCTCAGCAGTGTATTTCAGTCAGTCTGTCTGTTCTGCTCCCCACTCTGTCTCTGGTGAATCCTCTCACCCTCCCGCATATCTGGCCTGTACCCCGGCTCTTGTATGTATAAATAAATCTTTAAAAAAAAAAAGTATGCAAATAAAGTTCTTATTTATGTAATTAAAAAAAAAAAAAAGAAATTGTTTGGCTAAAGAGATACCGAAGTACTGACAGTGACTATTTGGTGTCTGAGTTGGGTTTTTTCCCTCTAGATACTAAATAGCCTCCAATATGCCCACCATGCTTACAGTGATAAAGGACTTTTATTTTATTTTTTTTTTAACACATTTTTTTTTTTAATTTATAGAGGCATGTTTTTATTTATTTATTTGTTTGTTTGTTTGTTTGTTTTGTTTATACATGCACTGGGTACAGTCAGAAGCACGGGAGGGTGAGAGAATTCACCAGAGCCAGAGCGGGGAGCAGAGCAGGCAGAAGGACCGAAGTACACTGCTGAGGGGAGCAGCGGGCGGCAGGAGAGGTCTGCACACCATGTGGGACCCTCCTCCGGTGGCCGGGGAGCAGCTGGGGATCGAACCGCTGCGCCGCAGAGGTCGCCGGCAGCTTCGCAGGCTCTCAGCTGCTCCCCCGATATAAAGGACTTTTAAAGGTGACACCAGATGCAAAAATGTTTGGCAAATCTGAACCCTCCACACGCCCCAGGCACTGACTCTCACCCCTTGCAGAAGCCGCAGAGCCTGAGACCTCAATGCATCTTTACCTCCAGTTGAGTCAGCATCGGTCACAAAGATTTTCTCCACCTCATTCAGGTCTAGCTCAGTAAACAGCTGAGGCTCTTGGAGTTTGCGTGTCTGGCTCTGAGTTAAGGTGGTCTTGGATGGCATCGGGGAGATAACACCCTCCGTGTTCTTTAATCTGCCAGGGATGGGTAGCTGGAACAAATATGATGACAAGAACCAGGGACTGAGAGGGTTAATTTCCTGAACTGAACATTTTTATGTACATCTTATTTAAAGAAAGCCCCCCCGGGTGGATAGGGTGCATATTGTTATGGTGTATTACAAAGCGACACACACAAAAAAGTCTTAATCACTTGCAGACCTAGGAAGACCAAGAAAGATCTAGATTGCTTCTCCTGACTTTGAGTAACTATTATTCTACTTTTCGAGCTGTCACAACTGAGGCTCAAGTGAGGTAAACAGACATAGTCAAGGTCCCACTTTACACATAACAGGACACGATATTGTTTCAAATCTTTAGTGGTCTGAATTGAGGACCACAAGCAATCCAGTTCCAGCTACCCCAGTCCATCAGATCTGGCCCCAAGCAGCTCAGACATCCCACTTGGGTGGGACCAGCGCACCTGCACACATCACAGTCATGCAGACCCCCTGTCAGGGTCTCTCAGCTCCCTCCTACTCACTCTCCTGGATTCTCCAAGTAGCCGCCCCACATTTCCAGCCCTCTTCCAGGCTGCCTCTGCAAAGCTCCTACATGTGACTCATTTTGACACTTAAACAAGGTTTCAGATCACCAAAGGCTCAGATCATCAGGCTAACATCCCAAAAAAGACTCAGGTGCGGGCTGTGGGATAACCATTAAGCGTTAACATGCTGAGAGCTTTGGGCCTTGAAAATTTAAAAAAAAAAAAAAATCTGGTTCAAAAATCCAAAATACAAGGTGGAAAAAAGTTTAAGTTTTTACAAGAAAAAAAGAATCTTGAAATTGCTAACATGTCAAAAGAGAATCCAGGACTCAAACTGAGAACATCTTTTATAAATGTATTCTTTTTTTTTTTTTTAATATATTTTAGGTTTTCTTTTTTTTTTTTTAGAGGCATGTTTTATTTATTTATTTTATTTGTTTGTTTTGTTTTTGTTTATACAAGCACTGGGTACAGTCAGAAGCGCTGGAGGGTGAGAGAATTCACCAGAGCCAGAGCGGGGAGCAGAGCAGGCAGAAGGACCGAAGTACACTGCTGAGGGGAGCAGCGGGCGGCAGGAGAGGTCTGCGCGCCATGTGGGACCCTCCTCCGGTGGCCGGGGAGCAGCCGGGGATCGAACCGGCGCCGCGGAGGCTGCGGGCAGCCTCGCAACCCAGCGCTCAACCGCTGTGCCACCGGGGAGGCCCAAATGTATTCTTAACTTTTACCAACTTCAAGCATAAGGCAACACGTTGATATTTGACATGTAAAATATCCCTAAATAAAGAAAAATTAAACTTAGGTACCAAGTATGTAAAAATCACTATTAATTAAATATTAGACTCTTTTCACTAAAAAAAAAAAGCTTACTTTAGACTTATTACTTAAAAAATATAAAATCGTGAAAAAAGTAACTCTAGCAGAAATACATGGGGGGTAAGAATCGATTAAAAAAGGAAGGAGGCCTCCCTGGTGGCACAAGGGGTTAAGATGCAACCTATGGGGCTGTCTGCTGCCTCTGCAACACGAGTTCGATCCCTGGGCCAGCGAGGGAGCTACCCACATGGCGCAGCAGACCTCTCCTGACTCGCCTGCTGCTCCCCTCAGCAGTGTACTTCAGTCGATCTGCCTGGTCTGTTCCCCACTCTGTCTCTGGTGAATCCTTTCACCCCCCACACCTCTGGCCTGTACCCCAGCTCTTGTATGCATAAATAAATAAATCTTAAACAAAATAAAATAAGGGCCTCCCTGGTGGTGCAGAGGTTGAGCACTGGGCTGCGAAGCTGCCCGCAGCCTCTGCAGCGCCAGTTCAATCCCCGGTCACCAGTGAGGGTCCCACATGGCGCGCAGACCTCTCCTGCCACGCCGGCTGCTCCCCTCAGCAGTGTATTTCGTCAATCTCTCTGTTCTGCTCCCTGCTCTGGCTCTGGTGAATTCTCTCTCACCCTCCCAAGCTTCCTACTGTACCCAGGGCTTGTATAAATAAATAAGTAAATCTTAAAAGAAAAAAAAAATAACAAAAAAATAAATAAATAAATAAATAAATAAAGGAAGGATGAGGGCCTCCCTGGTGCCACAAGGGGTTAAGTCAGCACTATGAAGCTGAGGCCCAAGGGGTTAAGTCAGCACTATGAAGCTATCCGCAGCCACTGCAGCACTAGTGGCTCCCCCTAACTATGACCAGAGTCTTGCCTCCCTTCCCCCTCTCCCAACATGGCACCAATCACCTTTCTAGAAGGCAAATCTGATGGTGACACCCCTGGCTCTGGCACTGTGCAGGCTGTGCCCTCACGCCCAAGTCCTGAGCATGACAATCCCCTGCCCTTTACCATGTAGCCCTAAATTGGCTTCCCATGGGCACACGCTGGTCCGCACACCAACTCCCCTCTACCATCCCCAACACAGCAAGCAGTCCAACTTTGCTCACACTGCACCCACTGCACCATAAGGGCCCGCAGCCCTGAGGGGTAACTCCCACCCATGCTCCCCAGTCTGGCTCAAATGGCACCTCTTCTAAGTTTCCCTAACTTTCAGGAAAGAATCATCACTGCCACCTCTGCACTCCCAAACTCTATTCATAGCTGCCATGCCTGCGTGGCATGATGCCGTGTATGACCATCCCTGGAAAAAGCAAAGTGTCAGGAGCTCTGCATTAGAATTCTGCCGGGCTCCCTGCTCACAGGCTAATGTATCTTGGGCATGTCCTATCACTTCTCAAGTCACGTTTCCTCACCAGCAAGACAGCTCCGTCCCACCCACCCTGCCAAGCTGGGCTGAACCTAAATGACACCTCAACATGTGAAGTCCCAGCAAACTAGCCTCACATTAAAAGTGTCCGAGGAAGCTTTTTGAAAGCAAGGGCATATTTATCTTCATTTAATTTATACTAATTATCTCTATGTTCCCCAACCCCAAGTACAAAATACACACATAATACTTATCTGGCTGGATAAAAATATGGACAGCCCATCCCAGCATTATCTCAATTTGGCTAGACAAAATTTAGTCCTTGCAGAGACTGCGAATGGGTAGCCCGATCTGTTGCCTTTGACCATGTGGTGCTTTCAAGGGAAAAACCGGCCGCTGCAGCACACAGTGAAGGCCTCACAAGGCCTACAGACACCTGAGCTCGCTGCCCCTGAGACTGATGATGAGACTTGTATGCGGATGAGTGGTGTTTGGGGTCACACAAGAACATCCCTCCCTTTATCGACTCTGCTGGCTTTCTTACCTTTTCGTGTTGAGTGCTTTCTCTTAAGTCATGGGGAGACACTGGCTTTAACCTAGAATAAGGAATCAGTTGCTTTAACTCAAGTAAGTCTTTATAAGGACCAAGTGTGGGACCCACCCAGCCACATCACAGGAGGGTGGAAAAGAAGTCCGTCCATGGACACCCCAACCCCGGCCCAGCACACGTGATGAGCGTCCCTTTTCCTGCAGGGGCTTCTCCAGCAGGGAGTTTTTCCCAGCTTAGATCTTGGGGCCTTCTTCCCCCCGATGGGAAGGAGTTGCCTGACTGAAATTGCTGTGCTCCTGGCTGAAGGGCAAAGGTTTCAAGGGCCCACGCAGTGGTCCAACCGCAATTCACACATTAGGCCCAGGTGTGGGCATGTGCCCAAAAGGTTAACTTATGTTCAGGAAGTGGGACAGGGTGGGTCTTTCCATTTCACACCCCCCAACCTGCCCTTGCCGACACCTGCCCTTGGATGCCTCTGGAGACAGGTCTTCTGACAGTAGCCTCCTAGCCTCCTCAGGGGGTCGGGGGTGTGACGCAAAGAGTCAGTCATGGGGATCTGCTCTGAGGACATAAAGGGCCTGTTTCCACTGGGTCGCTGCACCTCCGTGCAAGATGGAAGAAAGTGTTGTTAGGATCATTGGGGGCACGGCTCCACCCCACCGATGAGTCCCTTCATAAGAATCAAGAGGGCACTCTAGGATGGCAGAGGAAAGGCCAGCGGAAGGGCAAGGCCACACGTGCACAGGGGACAGTGCGGCCAAGCCAGCTTGGTTTGACAAAGTGCCCCTGAGAGGTGAGGGAGGGAAGAGAGATAGTGAGCGAGAAGAAAAATTGGAAAAATGGAGACTTTTAAAAAGTTCACCAGAGAGTCTGAACAGGATAAAGGACAATTGTGGTAATTCATCAGCATAAGATGGATGGCGATTGGAGGCTGGCCAGCCGTGTCCGAACCTGACAGTATCTTGGCTACAGCTCAGAAGTGAGCGCCTAAGGAGAGCAAAGAGCCAAAGGAAAGATTTGGAAGTCAAGAACCCGGGTGACTAAGGGCAACGCTAGAAAAAGCATTTCCAGAAAAGAGAACAAGGAGGAAAAGTGACTTCATGCATGTGATCCCGGGCTGTCCGATGAGAAATGAGACACAAATACTTGGGAAATAGGACTGTCGCTTGAGGAGGAACTACACGGGGGGCTAGCGGAAGGAGGAACACACAAAGTCAGGGTGAGCCAGCGAGGATGGGTGCTCCAGAGTGGATCAAGGTGATAATGACCTTGGAACATGACAACTAAAGGTCACCAGTGAAGACAAGCTACAGAAGTGTGTTGACAAGTCCATGTCTGTCAAGAATGTATGTTGCCACAGGCATAGAAGAGACTGGAAAAATATACTCCAAATTAATGGGAGTTATCTCTGGCAGGTGAGATTATGGAGCATTTTTATAGTCAAAATGCTGCACTTTTTTTCAGTTCAAAAAGGCTGATGGCGTCTTTAAGAAGTATTTCAGTGGAATGGTAAAGAGGTGGGAGTGATTCGTATCTCTCACCTGTGGAAGACCCCTGTACAAGAATGGTCTGGGGAGGGCTTGTGGGTTTTGGCATGTGGCGCTCAGCCCATGCATCTGGGATGCACCTCCCTGTCACTTCCATTGTCCCACCACCACCTTAGACCCAGGAAAGGCTGCTCTCAAAAATGATGCCCTGCGAAAAGGAACTGCCCTGCAGTCAGGTTCAAAGTCATTTGAGTAGAAATTCCTGGACTCGGAGGCTGGAGAGCAGAAAGGGGAGTACGTTGGGTGGCCATGTCCCTTAGGTTTCCTCACCTGGTGGAGAGGGACAAAGCCAGGTGAGGGACACTCTAAAGCTCAAGGCTCAAGTCAGGGGCCTTGACTTGGGCACTTCCTGCTTGGCTCTGAGGGGATACTATACTTGAAGTACAAAATCATGAGTGCTGAATTATATAAAATAAAATAATTTATTAAAAAAATAAAGTTAATTAAAAAAAATCATGAGTGCTGAGAAAATTAAGGAACGTCACACCCATTGATATGGGTTATTAGGGCGCTGGGAGCCATTATGAAGAAAAAAAAAAAAAAAAAAGCGTGCGCACATTGTCTCTGCACTAACCGGCACGTGTATCACCACATTTCTATAAAGTAGGCAAGCGTGGGTATGTTTAAGAAATTGAATTTTGGGGCCTCCCTGGTGGCACAGGCGGTTGAGCACAGTGCTGTGGAGCTGTCTACAGTCTCTGCAGTGCGAATTTGATCCCAGCCGCCTGCGGAGATGCCCACATGGCGTGGCAGACCTCTCCTGTCTCGCCCGCTGCTCCCCTCAGCAGTGTATTTCAGTCAGTCTGCTTGTTCTGTTGCCCACTCTGTCTCTGGTGAATCCTCTCACCCTCCCACACATCTGGCCTGTACCCCGGTTCTTGTATGCATGAATAAATAAATCTTAAAAAAAAAAGTGAATTGTGCTTTGCTCTGAGGTCTTCACTACCAAGAGATTAGTATCACCCGAGGGCACATACCCATAGTGCACTGTACTCACAACCCATCACTCGGGTAGTGCTGCCCACCAGCATGGGCAGCCTAATGGACTCATGGGAACCAGACCACCCCAAATTGCAGGACAGATTAAAGGTGGTTAAAGAAAGCCAACAACTAAAGGCAACACATGATCTTAATTGGATGGCAGGGGAACACTAAGGGCCATTTTAGGACCATTGAAGAAACTGAATAGACTCTACACTCTTAAGAGCATTTCCTGCTTTTGACAATTGTACTGTGGTTATGAGAATGGCCTTGTTCTTAGGAAATACACACTTAAGTATTTATGGATAGAGGAGCATAATGCCTGTACTTTATTCTCAAATGGTTCAACAAACACATGGATAATAATAAAGCACATGTGGCAAAATATTCAATTAGTCAATTGGGCAAATGGGAGTTCTTTATACTATTCTTACAACTATTTCCTATGTTTTTAACTATTTCATCAACACAAAGTTGGATGAGAAATGTTTGTAACCAGGGGCCTCCCCAGTGGCACAGCAGGTTGAGCACAGCGCTGTGAAGCTGTCCACAGCCTCCGCAGTGCGGGTTTGATACCTGGTCAGTCAGGTAGATACTCACATGGCGCGGCAGACCTCTCCTGTCTCACCCGCTGCTCCCCTCAGCAGTGTTTTTTGGTCTGTCTGCCTGTTCTGCTCCCCGCTGTCTCTGGTGAATTCTCTCACCCTCCCCCATCTCTGGCCTGTATCCCAGTTCTTGTATAAATAAAACTAAATCTTTAAAAAAAAAAAGTTTGTAACCAGAGAGAGAGGTTCTGTGCATGTTCATAGACTGAGGCAAAAGCAACAAGTGGGAGAAAAAAATATTGAAGACACTGAAAAGGACAGGAGAGTGAGAAGCTGTCTTCCACTACTGGATGAAAGGAAGGGGAAAATTAGGCGTAGCATGAACTTTCTATTTAGAACTAGAGAACAGTAAGGTCAGAATTAGAAAACAAGAACCCACATCCTTAGGGTGCAGATGGGGCAAAACAGGGGTGACGGTTTGGAGCAACCATCAGGGAAGCACCTGCTAGGGATGGGAAGGGGATTACTGGTTTGCTACATTCATTAAAAAGCCAAACGCCGTCAGAGGTCTCCTGATCAGTCTCTGATCTCAGGCAAATGTATCATAGAGCCCAAGTGCCCAATCTTTTAAATACTAATTAAATCCCAAGCCCTCACTCACCCTGACTCAATTTGAGCTCCCTGGTTTAACTTGCTGACTAAACCTGATAGCAGTTGACTGATTTTCGACTTCCCACTCGTCTCAGACATCTTGGCGGTCGTCCCTACATCCAAAGAAGCCCCTCTATGATGTCACCACGGAATTCCAAAGGCCTCCACCTGATTGCTGAGTGGCATGTTTAGAATCGGGAAAATGAGAGAATTCCATGTGCAGAACCCAACAAAATATTAACCCAGCCCACAAACTACAACCAGGCAGCCATTTTTTATCCATTTGAGATATTCTTTTTATTTATGTTGAACTTACAGCAGTGACAGGAGCTACAGCACATGCAGCCAGGACAAGAACGAACACAGAACCCCCCACAGGACAAGTATGGCAAAGAGTGCCTATCACTCATGGAAACTGGAAAATGCCAGGGACCCTTATGATAAAAAGCAAGGGTCACCAAAATCAAAAGGCCACTGGCTCCAAGTTGGGACAATGAAAGGCACAGTAGCTCTCTGCCTGCCCTTTGCATGAGCTCCATTTCTTTGAAAAGAGGAGGCTACAACAGCATTGTGGAGGGTGGGGGTCTTACAAGCCCAGACTTGAGAGCAGGCCTGGACTGGATGGGGCACTATTCAATCTTGGTCCAAGAAACAGTGCAGCCAAGATGAGTTGGTCAAGGGTAAATCTCCTTAGAGATGGATTCCAGATTGTAAAATACTCATCTCAGTCATATTTCACGATGACCTAGATGTTACCAAAAAGCTAACTGACCACCAAGCAAGACATTCTCCCCAGATCTGAGCCAGCATAAAGGAAAACTTCTGCTCCCATATCGTCAATGAGAACGACAAAGGATCTTATATTGTAAAACATCAGGGAAACTAGTGGATGAATGCATCAAAGGTGCAAGCAGTCTTTTAAATTGGGGTTTTTTAAAAGTGGGAATTTATAAACTAGAAGGGTTTATTCTTTTTTAAAGGCTCAACATTTAACTGTTTCCTACTGTTGTTAATTGGGTTTCTTTTTGCTGTATGTGTTCACTTTTCAATCCAATGTTACCATTTCTAATTACAATTCCTGCATTTATCAATAATTTACATGGGCTTAAAATACACTATTTTCTGTCACAATAAATACATACTTCCCACCCTGAGAAAAACATCAGAAAAGGAGGGAAATACTAAGATGCAATCCACTTTTTTTTTTTTTTTTATACAAGCACTGGGCACAGTCAGAAGCGCGGGAGGGCGAGAGAATTCACCAGAGCCAGAGCGGGGAGCAGAGCAGGCAGAAGGACCGAAGTACACTGCTGAGGGGAGCAGCGGGTGGCAGGAGAGGTCTGCGCGCCATGTGGGACCCTCCTCCAGTGGCTGGGGAGCAGCCGGGGATCGAACCGGCGCTGCAGAGGCTGCAGGCAGCTTCGCAACCCAGCGCTCAACCGCCGCGCCACCAGGGAGGCCCCAATCCACTTTTTAAGTAAGGAAAAGTTCAGAAACTTCCCAACTAAAATGAGTGAAAATACAATCATCAATAATTCAAGTAAAAATATAATCAGACCAAATTTAAAAAGTTAGGGGAAGGGCAGTTAGAAAAAATCTCCTAGATAAACCTCTGTGCAAAAATAATTCTGGGAAAAAAAAGCTCAAAGTCCTATTTTAGACGAGTTTAGGCACCATCACCAGTCCTAGGGAGACTGTGCCCCTGGAGAGGAAATGGGGCGCTGGGAGGAATGGGGGCAATTTGGGCAGCCAGGGCTGCAGTGAACACAGACACATGGAAGTACCCCAGAAAAGGCACTCCCCTTGATCAGCAACATGGCCAATACTGTCTGCTCCAGCTTTACCGTTCTGGGTTGGAAAATGTCAACACTCCTGTCCTCCTATAATTTGTCAAACTTTTAAGATGCAATTTGATAGCCACGAATAAAGGGTTTATCCTTTTCAACACACTATATTGCAATTGGAGGGGACCCTGAAGATTAGGATTGAGGTCACACCTTGAGTTGAAGTCATATGACATTTAAAACAATGCTCTTCCCACCACACCATGCCAAAGAACTCCAGGTTCAAATGTCAAGGATTTAAACAACTATGATTCAAGGAAAAGGCAGATTGTCGAGTCTAGTTCCACAGCTTCTTACTGATGTCCTTCCCCACCAAATCCCCAGCCTAGAGGAAGAGAAATATATCTTCAAGATTGGGGGTGGGTGGGTAGGAATTAAGTCAAAAGAAAGCTAAAAATTCTTAAGAGATGTCTTCAAGTAATTTTTATTCCATTTAACATCCAATTGCTATTTCTTTTCTCTGCCTTAAAAATTAACAGCAAAGAAGGCATGCACACGGGCAAACTGGGATAGTCTATAAAAATCTGTCAAAAACACAAATAGCTTATTCCATTCCATTCCAAGCAAGGTTTAAAGTTTCAGAGTAAAAACAGCAATCACATAATTACACATGTTCAACTCTCACAGTATTTTGTAGAAAAACATATAAAATATCCCAAAAAGGTGGTTTCATGTTAGAAACCTTTAGAATTCTAAAATCCAGATGACCTCGAGGTATGGTAATTCTTTAAAAAAAAAAAAAAATCACTGAGCTACCTTAAAATACATCAACAGGTCCCAGTATGAAAAATGTAAGAACATGATAAAACAGTGAGAAGCAAGCAAGAGAGGAAAGACATCTGAAGGTCTCTCAGACTTACACAAGGATAGACTGACAGACACTGGCACGCCAGTCTTGCACTGAAGGGTGATGTGACACAGGGGTGACTCGTCAGCAAAGTGCCCCCTGCAGCTGGCATGTGGGAGGAGTCAAATACTCACGTTGAATCAGTTACTTCTCCTGTCATAGCTTCTTTTAGCACCAAACCTGTATTAAAACACAAAAGCTGTACACTTCACATCATTTGTCAGTGAGAACTGTTTTCAAAAAGTCACAGGCGAGATGTAGCTGGTGCTGAGCAACACTGCTTTTCTCTGAACCAGAACTGTCCCTCCACTGACAAAAAATGCCTCCAGACGCAACATCTGCCTGGACTGCTCGTACAGACCCATGTAACTTTTTCTAGCCCAGAAAGGATCTTGGGGAAACCATCCTCATTCATTTCTGAGCCAAAGAAATGTCATGCTCTGCAGACTGAGGATACAAAGCCTGGAAAAACCCGGTCTCAACTCCTGCCCCTGACCTTCTGACCATGGCACTGTCTCGTTCATTCTGATCAAGGTCAGCGGGCAGGTGCCACCCGACCCCTTTATGTATTTAATCAGCGCACTTGTGTGCTTGATCTCAGGCTTAACTTGAATAGCTTCCAATGCCATCAGCCAACAAGGCTGAATCTTAGAAACTGCTCTCTGACCCCATTGGGAACTAGTAAAAGCCAAAAAGTGGTGGACTCAAACTCAAAAAGTGGTGACCTACCAGCAGCCCCAAATTCATTCACCACCAAAACTTAAAGTAATCCATAATTCATCCCATTACTACTACTCCCACCTGCACCCACACTATCATCACCAGTGATTCCTACAGACTGCACAAAACACTCAAAGTAAATCAAGTTAATGGGAAAACTTAATGACATTTTTAAGATATAACAGAATTCCAAACTGCTGACAGATCATTTTGCAATTCTGGATCTATATTTTGACACGATTTACAAAGTTCTATGCTTTAGTGGCTAACCTGGTTTGCGTTCAAACAGTCACAGGACTAGTTTGCCTCTCCCCACCAGCAGAAACCTGTGAAGGCTATTTTCATTTTACATTTCAGAACCTCAGAGTCTCAAATACAAGTGAAATACAGGTTGATTTACATTTCAAGTTTTAATATTAAGTGTGTATGTGTGTGTCTCTCAAAATTTAAGGTCCTGGGGCCTCTCTGGTGGCACAAGGGGTTAAGTCCCAGCACTATTAAGCTATCCACAGTCACTGCAGCACGAGTTCAACCCCTGGCCAGGGAGCTGACCCACACGGCTCAGCAGAGCTCACCTGTCTCGCTCGCTGCTCCCCTCAGCAGTGTACTTCATTCAATAGGTCTGCCTGTTCTGCTCCCCACTCTTTCTCTGGTGAATCCTCTCACCCTACCCCCGTACCACTGGCCTACACCCCAGTTCAGTTATGCATAAATAAAAATAAAAACTAAACTAAAGGTCCTGGATTGAGGGACCTAGAAATCTGATTCTGAGGCTGGATCTGTTACCCAGAAAACCAAATTACTGAAGCTACCTGACTACCTGGGACAGCAAGATCCTGAGCTCCAAGGATTAGTATAACATTAGTTTCCAATTTAGATTTAAACCAAAAGGAAAACTGACCCTTCACAGATTCTACCTGAACAACAATGTGCTTCTAACTACAGTCCACTTCACTCTCAGAGTACTGAACGCCTCCGTGGGTGTCCTTTCAGTCCAGGGCTCTCACATGTGGACACGTGAAAACTACGAGAAAAAAGCAGCAAGTGTCAGAAATAACTATGATCTCATCTGGTTTTTCAATTTTATGAGTAAAATGTGTGAATACAAACGTATGACATATTCCTAATTTTAAATCAACAGCAACAGTGCCAGACCAGCGAAATGCTTGGCAATTCATGAAAACCGAACACAGGCTCAAAGCAATTACTTGCAAGCTCTCTGCTGACAGCAGTTGGATATGGGGCACCCACGCTCTAGTGAGCTAATCTGGCTAGGCTGATGAGGCTTAAAGTCGAGGTTCTACTTGAAGACTATGGTGAACTATGGTAAACATCACAAAAGGAGCACCTCATACCAAAGCTTAGAAAAGACCCTTAAAGAAAAACATCTCTAGAACCCCTTTGGTTATTAGCAAAACTGCCGCTTTTCCAACACCATTTGGGTTCTGGAGTAAACCCTGAAGAACATACAACTTTTCAAATCAGTGGATGTGAATTAGTACATCATGAATTTTCATATAAAAGAAAATGGTAGAAAGTGTGTTTAGACCTCAATTTCACTTGGGGGAAAAACTGGATGGAAATGAATCTTTTCTGAAAATAGAAAGGAGCTGGACACATCAATGCAGCCTAGCCAGAAAAGAAACATCAAAAGAACTTATTTTACAAAATATCCAAAGACTATCTAGGGTAAGGAACACCCTCCTGAAGTCTCAAGACACAAAAACCCTGTCCTAAGCTTTTCTGACCCATAAACAGAGTTCAGATGATCTGGAGAGCCCATGCAGGGATTCTAACAGTGTGGCTGCTTTTATCTGTCAGCTCATGCCGATCCCACAAGCACTCAGTGCGGGGGTATTTCGGCCAAAGTCATCATCCTAGCTTTGCAGGTAAGAACAAGAGAGTTCAATGAGCTCATGCCACAAGGTAGAGGGACCTGCAAGTATGCCAATCTGATGTCCCCCTGCCAGAACTGAGACTCAAGGTCACAGGCACATCTGCAAGGCCAAAGCACAGGTCGGAGGACTCCACCAACCCAGGACACCTGAGGGACATACTAAAACATGATTTTCAGTCCCCTCCGAATCGCAGACACTTCAGAAACATTTTATCACCGAAGCACCAAAGGTGATTCTGAGGTTTGAGGACCATTAGCTGGACGAGTGAACTAAATCCAAATTCAGTCAGAAAACCCATTTGCTCACTTATCCTCCATGCAACAGAACGTGCCAAGCAAACCAAACAGCTTGTTCAAGTTTACAGCACTAGTAACCTACCCTGAATCAGTCACATCAAAAGATTTGTTGCACCTCAGCAAGGACTAGGTCAACGGACTCAGGCCAAGTACAGTCAGCAGCAGCCTCACTCCTCCCAAGGTGACTTCACCCAACAGCACCTTCACAACTCCACACCTTCTGCAGGTATCTTCTTAAGAGACTGCCAACACAGATGGGGTCACCTTTCTTCTGATGGTGAATGACATTGCAAGGAAATTATTTTACTTCTACAGGAAGTAATGGTGTGGGTATAATCCTAGTCAAAAGCAGCATCGAGTTGGGTTTACAGAACACCTGTAACTGTGTAGGTGCTCAAAATCATGTGGAAGACTACTTTTTGCCCATTTAAATTTCATACTAAAAAAGGTAACAATTCTTCTTTAGAACTCATTTCTTAAAGCATATGGAATTTTAAAATGCAGGAAAAATGGTGACAATTCAGATCATTTTATAGATAAAAATTGTGTTCGCTACCTTTGAAATATATTTTCAGAAAAAAAAAGCCAAAAAAGAGCATCCCCCATGGTGTCCACCAAATCCTATCCTGTTGTATTTCTCAGGCTGAGAGAGCCCGAAAAGATTTCAGGGCAGCTAGGCCAAGGCTAG